CGTTGAGGGGAAGCCGGTAGGGTCAGGGATGTGGCTGTAAAGCAAGTCGACAGGTAAACTAGACTGGACTGGATTTCCGGGTTCGACCAACGCATTGAGAGGGAGACACGGAGGGAGAAGATGGGGAGGGGAAGGGGGTCTCAGCGGGGAGGGGTCCTTTTGGATTTGTGATACATCACTTCTGGCTGATCTGGAGTATTGGTGGCTGGTGTTGTTCTGGTTCTTTTTCTTTCTTTCTTTTTCCTTTTCTGTTTAATTGTTTTGCCCTTTGGGGACCATTCTAAACCAAACTGCTCGACAGGAAACTTTTCGTGAATGATAGGAAATCCAGTCTCCCTTGGCTGAAGTTTATGCTTGTGGTCTTTCTGACCAGTATCTGTCAATTTTCTGCCAGTGGACTACTAAGGACTAAGGCGGCCGGCGTCTGCTGGGCTCGCCCGTCCGCGTTACTATTGGGGACGCGCTAGAGCGAAGGGGATGTTGTGTAGCGGCAATCCACAGTTAAATCGAACCTAACCTTCTTTTCCGCTCTCGTTCGCCTCCTTGTCCCAATGATACGATCGGCCACCCACGTTAATCCAGAAGACCTTCATGTCAAATTGACTGTCTTTCCTCTTAAGTTGCCGGGCGAAGTCAAATGATGACCCTCATTACTCAATAGAGGAAACACTTCAACCAGGAGCCGCATTAAGGTTCAATTCAGCCCCTCCCCGGGATTCGTTTTGTTTGTGACTCTTGGGTCTCGCTGCCGGAAGTCCCTGGCGGAATCAATACATTGGTAGTAATCGATGATTCGAGACCACGATATATCGGAAAATAAGCGAAATTTGTTTGATACAGAAGTCAGAGGGCCTGCAAGCACAACCCCCCGGACAATATTCCTGGCTGAAGGTTCATCCATGGGGCCCGTGAGCGCTATCAAAGTATTCAAGCCATGTATGGAACTCTGCATGCCATCAATAGACGGGAGGGAAACTCTGTAGGCTACGAATGAGTTCGTGCCTGGCATCCACAGCGTGCGAGGTATCTCTGATCGAACAGGGGCTCGGGTCTCTTGAGGATCGCGTTCAGTGTTTCATGATTCTTTTCGCAGGTGGATATATGTATTGCCAACTCATCGAGAAATGGAGAATGGGTACTTTCGGCCTCCACAGCGCTCGTTCAGTTGGTCCTCGCCGGGGGAGGGGGGGGCAAATTAATATATTCCAGGCTTGTTAGTTGATACCTTCACATTTCCAACGGCGGTCGCCGACAACAAGTGTCTAACCACCTACCATGACTACCCTTGTCCACAAGGATAGTATCATGGGATAACAATTGGGTATGATGGGGTATGTGAAGCATACCCTGGTCTCCTTAACTGGTTTTAGGGCTTTCCTCATTATGAGAAAGAAGGGGAAGTGGAGCAAATCCACCAGCTCTAGGGTGGGAAGGTAGAGAGAATTGCCTATACTGGCGCAATGTAACCGGCAGTGCTCAGGTGGGAAAGACCATGTGGAAGGGGATTATGAAGGAACTTACGGAGTACAATGTGGCTGATCAAGATAGTAACGATGATGATGACGGTGATCTGAAGGGTGATGGGACGATAATAGTGACGAGTATGATGATCGCCCCCTCAATCCTCCAAACCCTCTACTAGTCGCCTTAAAACGTGGGGCTACCCAGGGATGGTTAGGGCGTGAAGTACGTACAGTATGCCCATACAGTATTGTAGGTAGGTATCGATGCCGCAATCTTAGATCCGGGGGCTCTCAAATATGACAGATCTAATCGGGTGGTCCCTCTCTCCACTTAACCTACCTCTAACATTCAAACCCCCTGCCTACATTTATCCCATTGTTCATAGTACGATACTGTACGGTGCACTTACCCTGAATTAATTCGTTCCTTCCCATACGGCTGCTATTGGGCAAAGCCTTTGAATCAGAGCATTGCTATCTAATTCACAGCAGAATTGAATCGCTTCGGTAGGCTGGCTCCCTGCCGTTACTTTGGACACGGTTATCATAGTGACTCGGCCTAGTGGCGTCGGCACCGGAATAAATCCAAATATTACCATATTACAAAGTATAAATTATGGGCGGATCATAGCGGCAGACGATTAACAGCCGCGCGTAAGTAACTAAGGAAAGAAAGTAATCCAGAAGCTACTGGGCACGCTTGACAGCCGTCACACCCTGGTCACTGGGATCACCCAGTGACCCAGTTGGATGGGCCCTTTCTCGACTGTGGGCCATCCAATTCTATGCCGCTGAGGTTTCGACCCCCTTGGGTCGGGCCCATCCGGCCTTTCGTACAATGATGGACGTTGGACCACCTGCTGCATTTCCCAATCGGGCCATTACTTTGAAGTTGAGCCGAGCCCTGAGACCACTGCCAGGGTGGTTGTTGTTGTTGTCTCTCGCAAGCTCACCACAAATTTGGAGCCTCAATGGCACCAGCAATAGTGATGATGGTTGTTTCACCAGCCACGATGATGACATCCTTTCTCACTCATTGTTAATCCTGAATCTTAGGATAGAGAACGACATCGTGATGAGCGTCATCGGTTGGGAGCATCCTTGCCATGACGCTGGACCCATGGCCTCCTCGCAGGGTTCTCTCGCGTACTTTTGGCGTCTTCTCCCTCGAGTCCTTGCTTCGTGCTAGTAAGTTCTGATCTCCTGCTGCCGCAGTGACGATCTGCTTTGGGGAACCTCCACTCGCCTGTGCGTCGGGTCTTTATGTATAGTACAAACCTATTCTAGGTCATCATGTCCATTTATTGGTACTTTTGTCCTTTGATGCAATCATGTCGTTGTTGTGAACAATAGTGAGTCTGTGGAACACCGAGTTCCATACGCCCCGAAACCCTCGCCTTTGAATTGCAGCCTCACAAGTACAGTCACACGTCGTACCTAAATCCTGGTTTCTATCTTGGGTCTAATGTTTGAATTCGGCACAAGGGTTCAGGCATCAAAGGAGAGGACGAGAGAGATGATCTCGCAATGCTTCCCAGCTGAATGGTCCGGATGCCTGGTCCGATCTGCGTTTCATAGTTCCCCTCTCTCCCCAATAATTTCCTCTACTAACTTGACTTTCTGGGGCACCTGTGCTTCCAGTACCCCGCGAAGGCTGACTGTTCCACCAAAGGTCAGAGGAATAAGCGCCGGAGATTCGGTTCTCGCTTCCGTATCAGCCACTGGGTCGCGCTTGTCCAGACAATAGGAACGTTTCCCACCTGGACATCATGGATTCACGGCTGCACCACTGTCTGACTGGAGCCATAGACACCCCCAAGTGTATCATGGCAATTGGCCCGAACAGACTATTGACGACTGCAATGCAAGGGGAGTCGATACCTTTTGCCCCGTGTAGATCCGAAACCGCTGCAGCGGTGACAAATCAAAGGTCTTCGATGCCCATTTGGCTCTCTTCGTCATCGGAATCATGGCACGTTGATTCGTTGATCCGGTGCTGCCTCACGTCTGTGCCACTTTGTGATAGAGATATCTGTCCCAGAATGGACCCAGAGGACACAGAGGACCCAGAGGACCCAGAAGGACATTAGCCCGGGCTGTCGAACTTTGCCGGAATCTTCTTGTTGCTTCCCCGCGTGTCCTCATGGAGAAGAGTTTGATGAAGAGGCAGAAGCCCATCCGCAATAGGAAAAAATATGAAGCAAGGTCAGATAGGCTTCAATGTTCCTGGCCCGAAGGTCGTCGGAAAGAGTCTGGATGCACGAACTCGAACCACCATGACAATGCCAACTAAGGAATATTCAGTACACCAAAACCATTATGGTAATGTCGCATAAGACCTTGACTATGATAGGTTGGAGAGTGTGTATGGTTTCGAGAGGTCCAAAGCAAATATCTGCTTCTGGAAGCATAAAAATGAGAATAAAAATGAGAACGACCGGAAAAAAATAAAGCAAATTGAGGTAGAAGATAAATTCGAAAAGAAAAAAGAAAAAGAAAGTATTTCCCCAGAAGTAAAAATAACATCAAAACGCCCGGGAGGGGAGCTGTATGTAATTGACCTCGACGGTAGCCCCGTTTCCTTCTTGAGGTAGTCGCAGATCGAGCTAATCCATTTAGCTCAGACTAAGAAAAGTACAAGCCCCGTAATCATTGGCTGGGGATGCTTGAGGGGCCGGACTGGTGGTAAACGAAGAAGTACCACTCTGGGATCGGATTGTTGATACATCCTCTCTTCACTACAAGCTTGCAGTACTATCTACACTTGCACACGCACAACGCACACTTAGACGGACACTATCTTGCCTATCCTCCGGATCTCCCTCTTCCCTTCATCTGATGGAGTTCATTGCCAGCTCAAACTGCACGTCTGAGCGCCACCACAATGGCGTCTATCCGCACTCGCTCCTCCCCTCCCCCCCACCACCTCCTTCATTGGATTCATCACTCCCCTTCCTGTCTCCTCGTTCACCTCCTGCAATATAAATCATGCAGCGGAAGCCTCCCGTATCCCTGGAAAGCACAATCCCTCATCCATATCTTCTACTCCTCGTGGTTTTCCATTGAATACTCTCGGAGTCTCACAGCTCTCCATAGCAACCCTTCCCCTTGATCCCAATATTGCTTACTAGCATCGCAACCAATCGTATCTCCATCCTTGATTACCTGCCTATCCCCCTTGAACGGCATCCTTGAAGCTATATATACGCCATTTGGGTTTGTTCCCGTCGTCGAAATTACTCTCAGACATACCGCAACGGTGCAGGCGTACATATCAGAGACATTCTCCAGTTAAGACGCATCAGCCTCAGACATACAGCACCACCCCAACTGCAAGAGACGGCCCCTTCGTCTTACACACAAGCGGATAGTTCAGAGAATTGTGGCATCTGGAATCTGACAAAATGTCTGACACCATCTGCCGGCGCCCCTCATCGTGAGTACCCTTCCTCTGTCCTTGCCTCCAAACGCAGGACTGACAGCTCTCGGCTGCATAGCGAAATGCGCACCATCTCCAGTGCCTCCAGTACTGCAGACATGAGCGACGACCGTCGTCTACCTCCGCTACCTCGCGTGGAGCCACTGCCCCGGGGTCCCTTCAACCCTTTCACTTCCGGTATCCTTGCTCATTTTCAAGCCACTGTTGCCCATACCAGCTCCAGCAGTTTGGAGCAGATTCACCATCAAGTTCCTAGTCCGCCCACCTCTCACGATGCTTTTCCCGTCAAATCACCTTGGCCACCAGCGGAACACATGGTGGCACCACCATCGCCAGCGATCTCCGCTGATGGCTCTTGGCCAGACTCTTTGCCATCCACCAAGACTCGAGAATTTCACACGCAACTCACTCACATTGAAATCTGGGCCTTGATATTCCCCAAGAACATCAACCGCAAGCCACCGTTGCAGCAACTTTGTGGACGTAAGCGTAAAGGAAGCATGATCACTGGAGACGGGGACGGCCAGAGGGAGAAGCACAGAATCGCAGAAGGTAACCGCCGCAAAAACCTCAGCCACCTGCATCGGGATCTCGACAGTCGCATCCACGACTTCTTCCTTGAGCGCGCAGGCTGGAATCCATCCAAGAGCCTCCCTGAATCGAAAGAACATATTGTACAGGCTGCCATATTTTTGATTGATTTCATGGGCTTGATCATTGTCCACTTGATCCGACAGGAGAACGAGATGCCGCATGACCTGCCTGATAGGCTGCAAGCCCAGATGCGTTGCATGCATTTGCAGGAACTGGTGACCAGCCTGCAACAGCAAAATCAGACCTCTCAGCAACAAATCAAGGCTTTGAAACAAGAGAACCGGATGCTGGAAGAACGCAACCAGACGCTTGAATTCCAGCTGAAGACGTATGAGCACATGTTTCGCGCGTCCAAGGGCGAAAATATGCCCCCTCAATCAATGCCAAGTCTTCAAGAGGTCAAGCCGCGGAACATGCTCCCTGGCTTGAGGGTTTTTTGTGACGAGATCGCCGTCAACAGTCCTGATTCTCGATTGGAACCCATTCCAACTGCACCAAGCCAATCATTTGGTCATTCTTACCTGAGCCACACTCCCCCCGTCACTGGACCCTCCTCACCGATGTTTGCGCAAACTTCTTACTCGGTACCGGCTTCGCGACGCCCATCGCTTCCATCGCCCTAGTCAACCTTGTTGCCTACATGAAATCAGCCGAGGACCCTTCCTGGCCGTACAAAACTGTCAATTCTGTGTTGCATATAGAGGCTGGTACATATCGCAATTGCAACTTCGTCATCACCTCACACAACCGTGTTTTTCTTGCATAGCGGGAGCGTTTATCATCGACATACACTTGCGACATATGAGCTTTCCTGCATATTGGTTCATTTATTACTTTTTCGAGTTTGGAATGCACTCGATGGACCTGTCACCCTCCCTGGTGCCTGCCGAATCGAAGAGATAGAGATGTACATCAAAAGAAAAAGGTCGTTTCGGGGAACATCAGCGCCGGGGTTTCTCATGGAGTTTACATAGTTTCTTTCATTGTTTATATTGGGAGGGGACCAGCAACGGAAGTATAACTGAGGGCTATATTTATTGGCGTGAAATGGAATCTACTTGGAAAGCCATCTTGTCATTTACTAGAGATATACACATAAAATCAATTTCGGTATTCTAACTCTTGTTTCAACTTCTTGTGCGCTTCGTTAGCTCCGGCTGCGTTTCAGAACCAGTAGAAATCGGTATGAGGGAGTCTCAGAGTGACATGCAGATATAGCTACGCCAGTTCAGGGACTGCAATTGATAGGAAATGAATAGTCCAGGCAGCAATTGAGCAGAATTTCTGTCCGGAGAACCTTGTTGTTTTGAGGAATGGTGTCTTCGTGATGTTATGCAGGGTTATACAATGACTAATGTGTCATTAGTAAGTCACGCTCTAAAAAGCAATGCACCAATCCGAGAGCGGCCAACTGGATTCTGGCTGGACCTCCGGGCGGGTCGAATCTTCCAATCCCTCGCTGTCAAACTGGGACTTCCCCTTCGACGACTGTCCCGAATTCCTCCTCTTGGGCTTGCGACGCTGGCATTGAATTGTCAAGGATCAGCAGCGCCTTTTTCGAATCTCTTGTCCGGCTCACGTCTACGTTCGTTTCGTGCTTAATTCTCCCTCGTTGGGTTTTTGGTGCCGCGCTTTACCGCAGCCAGCCCTTCGATCCCCTACAACCCTTTTCCTTCCCCGGGCGATCGCAGGCTTCCCCCCCCCTTCTCCATATCGCATCGTCAACATTGCCCACTTTGTCAACCCATCGGGCTCGTACCCAACTCAGAGGTCGACGTTGTTCGGCTCCTACGTCAAATAATCTTCGCTTTGCCGGGTGATTTGCCTCTCCCTTCATTCGTCTACCTCCTCGTCGATCGGAGAGCGTTTCACTGGCCTCCTTGAATCGGGGCGATACATCAGCCACGAGAAATTGTCGCCTGTTGTGAGCGTCGGCGACTTCAAACCAAGTGAAGCAAGACAAATAACGGGGGCTGACTTGCGTTCAACCCAACTCTCTTTCCTCTACAAGATGTTGCTCCCCAAGGGTGGTGTAACGTGGAAGTCGGCTAAAGCCAGGCTGCCTCCATGGCGGGCTGTCTTGTTCATGGTGACACGGACTAGATTCCTAGTATCGCTGGCCGTGACTGGCTTGATGGTCCTTTTATGGCGTGGAATTAGCAAGTCAGCTTCAGAGATGCAGAGGTGAGTTCCACCTTCACGTCGAGCGCGCAGGTCGCGGTGCAATAACCCCCTTGCCATAAGCTCAGCCACGCGACGAATTGAGACGCTGATGACTGCATGTAGCTTCTATTGCTATGGTCCTCCGAAGTCGCCAATGGATATGTCCATCAACGAAATGGTTGAATGGAATGCACACCTTCAGACTCCTGTGGTCTTCAATCACCATGACGCCTATCAAGTCAACTCGTCCAACATCAAGCATGTCGATCTCAACCCCATCAAGTCAACCCAGCAGGCCGTCGCGAATGCCGAGCGAGTACTCATTCTGACCCCGTTAAGAGACGCCTCCGCTCATCTGATTAATTACTTCGACCTTCTCTACAAGTTGACATACCCTCACGACCTCATCGATCTGGCCTTCCTCGTTGGCGATAGCAAGGATGACACTATGGCTGTTCTTACCGCCGAGCTGGCTCGTATCCAGTCACAGACGGATGAGAAGATTGCGTTCCGCAGTGCTACAATTGTGGAGAAGGATTTCCATAGCGATTTCCAGATGAATGTCGAGGATAGGCATTCATTTGCGGCCCAGGGACCTCGTCGCAAAGCCATCGGCAGAGCTCGCAACTACTTGCTCTATTCTGCTCTCAAGCCCGATCACGCCTGGGTCTATTGGCGAGACGTTGACATTTCTGACAGCCCTCCCAGCATTATCGAGGACTTTGTTGCTCACGACAGGGACATTCTCGTGCCAAGTATGTAACGCATCATAACGTGTCCTCGATGGACTCCATTCTAATTGTTATTTCAGACATCTGGTTCCACCGCTACAGGGATGGCCGCGATATTGAGGGTCGCTGTATGTTTCCATTCAATAAACTACCTCATTCACTCTTTCGCTAACTCCAGCAGTTGACTATAACTCGTGGATCGAATCCGACAAGGGACGCAGACTACGCGAGACCCTCGATCCGGATACTGTCTTGGCTGAGGGTTATAAGGAGTACGACACTGGCCGCAAGTACCTCGTTAGTATGGGCGACTGGAGAAACAACAAGGATGAGGAAGTCGAGCTGGACGGCATTGGCGGAGTTAACATTCTCGTCAAGGCTGACGTTCATCGGTCCGGTATTAATTTTCCTGCTTACGCCTTTGAGAACCAGGCCGAGACCGAGGGATTTGCCCGCATGGCTAAACGTGCTGGGTACGGCGTCTGGGGGTTGCCAAACTACGTCGTCTGGCATATTGATACTGAAGAAAAGGGTGGCAACCTCGGGGGCCGCAAAGCGTATTAGCTGCGTTCCGGGTTGATCCTATTTCTATGCAGTCTGAATGAAGCGACCATCTTCATTCCTTGTTACCAAAACTCGAATACCCCCTGTTTCCTGTGTACATCCGAGCCGTTATGATGGTCATATATGTGGAGGCTCACCTATTACGTCTTTTTCCTTCAACATTTGTCTTCATTTCAATATTCCTATTACATCTGTTCTCTTTGCCTGAATGCATTTTACGGACGCTGAGACGGAAACCTCACGATCCTGGTAATTACTCTTCTTTGTGTTGCGTTCTAGGGTCATGTCTCGATTTGTTGGCGCTACAGGAACAATGTTCAGAGGTACTGAGAGGAGCTCATAGAGCGATAGTTGTTTTGGGCTCTGGTTGGAGCTTGCCATATTTCTTTGTTATGGGTACTGTGCGAGCGATGAGCATGATCGCGCAGAGGATTGGTGTCTGGTGTCCATGTGCCTATTAGGAATGTTCGGTGGTGTACAGCTCGTGCACATGGCGCTTGACTGTCTCTATCACTGGACCAGAGCCTGATGCAAGGCCCAAGATCAGTACTTTAAGAAGTGCACAGTACGATCTCTGGTGTCCAGTTGCTGTATGTCCTGTATATCAGTGTAATAAACAGAGAGGCTAGTAATCTGTCAGGCTTGTGCTGACTGTCCAGGCAGGATAGCTGAGTAAATAATCTATCAAGTACTTCGCCACAACTGATAAGCAGAGCCCCGCTTGAAGAATGATCCCTGCTTTGAGACATCTTCTGATCTTCAAGACAGCATTTGAGACATGGGGGTAGACTAAATCCCCGTGAGACCCGAACCGGATAAGTTCTTGCGCCCTCAAGCTCCTGTCCCCGCCCACTAATTAGCACTACCCCCGCTTTCACTTCCCCTCGGTTTATGTTGACTTCGAATGCTCCTCTGCCTCCCCGTTCTTTACTGCTGCCTGTACCAAACCAATACACTGCATTCCTCATCGCCGACTGTCTTGCAAGATGTCTGTCAAGAACGAATATCTTTGCATCCTCCCGGACAAGCCGGACGCCCTGGCCAAAAGACTGGAAGTACGCGCGTAGGTTTGACCCTCCAACCACCACCGCTGGCACAGGGCTGAACATTTGTTTAGACAACATCTCACCAACATCACGCCTCTTGTTGACTCAGGAAAGGTGGTTCTGGGTGGTATGTTCGCGGTTTCCCATCACCTCAGCATTTCACCAGATAAAATCACTGACCTTGTATAGGAGCCATGCTCGACCAGCACCCCAACCCAGGTGACGCCGTCTCCTTCAAGGGTAGTGTTCTGATGTTCGTGGCGGAGAGCAAAGAAGAGGTGGAGGAGTTGGTCAAGAATGATATTTATTCGAAGTCTGATGTATGGGACCTGGAAAAAGCGCAAATTATTCCGGTATGTTCAACACTCATATTCATTGCGCGCGTGCTGAGATCCTCCGGCATACTCTAGTTCAAGTCTGCTGCCCGGGTGGCTCTGTAGATCTTCCTGATATAGTCTTCCAAATGCGATAACATCGTGGATACTCTTGACACACTTTGACCATGCCTTGCTCGTTGTTATAGATCACTGAGCCATTACGGCATAACAGCCATGTGATCTAGGCTAACTCAATATCGCCGAGTTATCCCCCGCAACACTTGTTGCCGGGCCACCTTACGCTGCGTCTCATGATGACTGCCAGGTTTCTCTCCGGAAGCATTGACTGTACTTCTATCCTACCGCTCCCCGTACGCCTCCACTGCATTGCTATGCATAATCGAGGGGCTATCCGCATTTGCATACGTTGTACCGCTAGGCCTTTCTCCTCATTCGGAAGACCATGTACACGCGGCACTCGCCCTGTCGTGACAACTGTCGCCGATTTCTGGTTTCTAGGATGAAGCCTATGCTGCTTGAGTACCCTAGCTCCAGCGCTGCGGCAAGCTAGTCGCAGAGTAGTCTGCATGGATGATGAAACGGTCGTTCCAGGCATTCGTTGAGCCTTCTATCATTCGGCAAAACATGCAAATCCTGGGCTTGGCGCAGATGCTTCGATGCGATGCTACCTCGAGTCACCAACTCGTCATACCATGCACTATGATCGACCCCTGTTGTTCCGTCGTCGAACTGGAAGCCATCAGACTACATGGATTGCCAGTAAGTCAGCGACTATGGCACTTACCTTTAGTAAGGATGCTAAGTCGCGTGATGGAAACAAGATGCTTGACGTAAAGCCGAAAGGCAAATTGGAAGCTGATGTATGCATTAGTCACGAGTAGTCAGACTGGTGAAACGGTGACGTTGATATCACACTCTCGAGCAAGTGATCGATTACAGGGTTAGGATGAAGTGCAGGGTCAACCGCCCTTGCGAAGATCTCTTACGGAATCTGATAATGTAGATCACTTGATTATGCATCAACAGCGCCCTGAATCTCCGCTTGGTATGTACCGGTCTACTGATTCGCATTCTCACGTCACGGATAGTATACATGTTCCATTATGCTCAAGTATATTAGACAGCCATGAGAGACGGACAGGGGCAAGTGTGAGATGATGACTACGACTCCTTCACAACACAAAACAGCCCGCGGATCGGAATCTTCTATCGTCTGTAACCCACGGAACTAGACTCCGTTCTGCCTTTACCTTGAATCAAGTCTCCATGCCTTCCAACGAGTCTCTTACTCACGCTGCCCCGGCCAACAATGCTGTCCTCCGCAACATCAACGCCAACTATACCGGCTATGACTATGTAAGCTGGTACGTCGGCAACGCCCGCCAAGCGGCCACCTACTTTGTCGCCCACTTCGGCTTCAGCATCGTCGCCTACCGGGGACCGGAGACTGGCTCCTATCTCTCGTGCTCGTACGTCGTTGCCAATGGCACTGCCCGATTCGTGTTCACCGCGCCCATCGTCGCACCCTACAACATCTCCGAGAAGCGTGGCGCGGCCGAGGATCGCAGGTTACTCGAAGAGATCCAAGCGCACCTGAACAAACACGGGGACGGGGTAAAGGACATCGCCTTCCAGGTCGACGATGTGGCAGGGGTCTGGGAGCATGCCGTCCAGAACGGGGCCGTTTCGCTCCAGGAACCCACGACGCTAAAAGACGACGTCGATGGCGAGGTTCTCCGTGCCACCATCAAGACTTACGGCGACACCGCGCACACCCTCATCAACCGATCCGCATACCGGGGGGCTTTTCTCCCTGGATATTCCGCCGTGTCGGGCTTGGACCGCTTGAACGACTTCCTACCGCCTATCGATGTGATTGAGATTGACCATTGCGTCGGCAATCAACCATGGGATGGGTTGGACACGATTGTTAAGTTGTAAGTTGATTGTAGCAGTGTGGTTTCAAATCGTTACCACAAAACGCATTGTAACCGCTAACCATGACCTTCTCTGCCTTCGTTTCTTGCCTGCTTCAGCTACGAGGATGCACTGAATTTCCACCGCTACTGGACCGTCGACGACAAGGATATGTGCTCGGATTTCTCCGCCATGCGCTCGGTGGTCGTTGCCTCGCCGAACGAAGTGATCAAGATGCCGATGAATGAGCCGGCTATCGGTCTGAAGAAATCCCAGATTGAAGAGTAAGCGTCCATCGGCCGTCGACTTGACTAGATCGAATAATCCCACCTCTCCCCTTCCTCTTATCACAGATGACTCAAAACTCAAGAGACCGAAGAAACTAACCCAACCACCTCTTTTTTCATTCTCATAGATTCGTCGACTACTACAACGGCGCCGGCTGCCAGCACATCGCCTTCCGAACCACCGACATCATCGCCGCCGTCGAGAACCTAGACAAGCGCGGCGTTAACTTCCTCTCCGTGCCGGACAACTACTACGCCACCATGAAGAAACGGCTCGCCGCCAGCAGCCTGACCATCGCGGAAAACATCGATACGCTGCAGAAGTATAACATCCTGATCGACTTCGACGAAGGGGGCTACCTGCTGCAGATCTTCACGAAGCATGTCGTCGACCGGCCGACGGTGTTCATTGAGATCATCCAGCGGGAGAACTTCGATGGGTTCGGGGCGGGCAACTTTCGGAGCTTGTTTGAGGCGTTTGAGCGCGATCAGGCTGCTAGGGGGAATTTGTAGAGCGTTGACTTTGTTTGGGTCTGTGAGCGTTTGCTTTGATTGCTTTGCGGGTGTCTGGATGTTATTTTTCTATGAAGAGGGACAGGGGTGGCTTGAGGATACTAAATTGTGGCTGTACGGCGGATGTCTTCACTTTCGGCTGTACTAATGAAAGCTTTGGGCTGGGACCAGATTGCGAATGCGTTGGAAGATGATAGAATGACCAGCAATAGTGGTTTCAGGATTGACATAAGAATAGCAGAAATTCTATACTTCCATCTTCCCTTTTTCTTTTAAGCTTGCGCGAGTAGATCTAGATTTATAGTTTCCAATCATACAGTCTATAGCTTGGCCTTAACCTTCAGCATCGCCTCGGCGACCTTGCGCCGCTGGATCTTGCCTGTAGCCGTCTTGGGGATCTGCGGCACAAGCCAGACCTGAACAAATGTATTAGCATGCCAGCGTTCTCGACCCCCAAACAGAGACTAAAAAACCTACTTTCTTCGGCGTCTTGAATTTCGCCAACTTCGACTCAACCCAAGCCTTGAGTTCTGCCTCCGTGGCACTCGCGCCGTTTTTCACAACCACCGCGGCGCCAATATCCTCACCGTAGTGGCCCTCATCGGGGAGAGCGAAGCAGACCGCCTCCGCCACCTTGGGATGATGCAGCAGAGTGTTGTCCAGCTCGATGGGACTAATCTTTTCACCACCCTTGTTGATCAGCTCCTTGATCCGGCCCGTGATGATCACATAACCATCCGCGTCCTTCTTTCCCTGGTCCCCAGTGCGGAAGAAACCGTCCTTCGTGAAAGATGACTTGTTGGCTTCCGGGTTGTTCAGGTAGCCTTTGGTGACGTTGTCGCCTCGAACGCAGATCTCCGCCTCCTGGCCTTGCGGCACTTCATTGCCCTCCGCGTCTAGAATCCTCACTTCTACACCCTGTCCAAGGCCCACGCTGCCTGGTTGGCGCTTGGCTGGGGGGAGAGGGTTGCTGGTCATCTGGTGCGCAGCTTCGGTCATCGCGTAGGCTTCCAGGACTGGGGCTTTCAGGGCCTTCTCGAGGTCCTGGAAGGTCTTAGGGGAGAGTGGGGAGGAGCAGGATCGGATGAAGCGGATGGAAGGGACAGGGTTGGGCAGCTGAGTCTTGAGGAGGATCTGGTGGATGGTGGGCACCGCAGAGTACCAGTTCGCCTTGTAAGTGATGAAGTCAGACCAGAACTCCGAGGCGGAGAATCGCGCCGGGACGATCACCGAGCCGCCTGAGTATAGAGGCGCCAAGAATGCGGCGAGGAGCCCGTGGACATGGAAGAGCGGCATGACCAGGTAAGTGCGATCTGTGGGCGTGAGGTTGTAGGTCGCTTTGATGTTGCCTGGGTGGGAGTTGTTAGGTCAACGGAATTTTGAATATAGACTGGAATCAAGCCTGGCAACTTACGCATAGATGTAGTCAAGTTCTTGTGTGAGAGCGGGACCTTCACCGCGAGTAAGCAATGTTATATTATAAGATGGTGAACCTGAATACAAGGGAGGGCGATACGTACAGCCTTGGGCCTGCCAGTTGTACCGCTCGTGTGCAAGACGAGAGCAATGTCATCGGGATGAGCTTGCTGAACGTCCACGCCTCCATTTCCAGGAAGCTTTCCACGTTCCTTCACATCAAGAACGATTTCCTGGCCGTTCCAGTAGCACTCCGCGATGGCGGCATTGTACTTCCTCCCCGCACGGACCGCGGGTCCCTCCTTCGCGTATGATCCTTGGGGGATCAAGACTAGGGTGGAGCTGAGATCGTCGATATAGAATTCGAACTCTTCCTGCTTATAGGCAGGGTTGAGAGGAGCGGCGATCGCCCGCTGCCACGAGGCGGCTAAGAATGCGACAATGAACTCGTACGAATTGGTCAGCGCCAGTGACACGGCGGCGCCATGTCCGACCCCAAGCTTGGCTAACTTGGCCTGGAAGTCAGCAACATGGCTGTGTAACTGCTGATAAGTAATCGCCAGAGGGCTGGTTTTATTGGGCACTAGGATGGCGATTTCCGCACTATCGGAGGAGAATGACCGCGCCAATGTTGCCATAGCGAGTAGTGTGCTGCACGAGGGTGACACTTAAGTCTTGGCTGTCAGGGGTCTTGAAGGACGATGATTTGAATAAAGTAAGTAGGATGACAATCGATCTTCCGAAGTCACAATACTATTCTTTTCTTTGTTTGAGTCTCTACTTCTGGGGTCAAGAGACAGCAGACAGGAAATTGCATCATCTCCCTACCGCCCCGGTTAATCATTAGGCATCCATAATCTCTTAATCCCTACCTAGTGATTAGTGCCAGTACTACGGAGAGTTTGTTCCGTTTGGCCTCGGGATTTCCTATTTCGGTTCCAAAGCTCTTCGCCACGCTATCAATCCCCCGTCTCGGCTTGGCAAGCGGTGAGTTGAACACTTTTGCTACTAAACATTCGCCAGCCGTTGGTTTTCTGTAGGTTCCACTGGAAACCTGCACTTTTCCTCCCGGAGTTGCGGATATTCTGCCGCCGATGGCGGTGTAGCAGGCGGTAAGGACTAGCCGCCGCCCCGGAACTGCCGCATCACAGTACCATTAACCTCATACACTTCTGGAGTTATTGGCTGATTTGCGCTGTCTAAGCTTACTGGACTTGTGTTATCTATCGGCATCTCGCTTCTTATAGCTCTAGCTAGAAGTAACATTTGACTACTCCAGCTGCCATTCATAATGAGCTCCGATCCCGCCCCCGCAAGGCCCGGGGGTGGCCTGTCACTTTACGCCAATCTGCTGGATCCGTCCGCTGATAATTCCCCCGGGACGATTTCACGCGCGCCTGTTGTTTTCAAACAGGGTGCTGAGGCTGAGGCCCAATCCGATGATCCAGCTGCCAAGAAGCAGCAACTCAGTGCCGGTAGACCTATGCCCTTCTCCATATAACGAGCTTTCCTGTTTCTTTGACCGATCTGATTGCTCACTTGTCCGCTCGGTGATTCACGTTGATGGCATTCAGCTTCTCTGCGATTTCAACCTACCAAAAGACCACAGCTCGCGAATCAGAAACCGAAGTTAAAGCCCACATTGCCTAAGGGCCCCCTTGCTGCCGCGCCGGCCACAGCATCAGTCAAAACCACTCTTGCAGACTGGGCGGCCACCGAAGATGACGATGTCAACGGATTCTATGCCGGGCCGAAGAGGCAGCGCGGAGGCCGCAAGAAGCGCAAGAAGAACCGAGAAGCGCAAGAGTTCATACAGAACTGGGACGATATCTACGATCCGTCCCGGCCGAATAATTATGAAGAATATAAGCATAGCGATGAGCAGATAGCAGAGATCCGAGAGTGGAAAGACCGCCTATATGCACATCGTATGGCCAGGTCGCCTAGCAGGGATTCATACAGCGATGATGAAGGCTACGCACGTCCTCGGAACCGTGAGTTGGCGCTAATCGCCCGACAAGGACAGTTCACTTGCTTACCATGAGATGCCAGGTCAATTCGCGCCCCCAGGCAGTTTCGCACCGCCCCCGGGCCTCAATGATGTATCTCACAGGCCACCTGTTGAATCGCCTCCCGATGAAGAACCAACCGAGATCCAGAACGATGTACCGATGGCAGGAATTCCTCCGCCTCCACCGCCAGATGAACCACCGGTTCATGTTCCGGAAGACCCGACAGGCGAGGATGCTTATCTGCGCAGGTTCCAAATGTCGACGAGAGAAGGCTCAACCATTCCTCCCCCACCACCCCCATCTCGGCCACTGGACGCCTTGCAGCCAGCGTCTGCGACTATATCCCGTGCTCCAGTCCGATACACTCTACCTGCTCCTCCCGAGGATATACCTGCCTCGGAGGCAGAGCTTGAGGAAGTGTTCGCGATGGAGGAGCCAGGAGACGATGAGCCAGGAGACGATGGACAGCGCTCGCTACGCCCGGGCCAGAAGGGCTTTGCTGAGCGACTCATGGCGAAGTATGGCTGGACGAAGGGCTCTGGTCTTGGTGCTACAGGGTCAGGAATTGTCAAGCCATTGCAGGTTAAGGTTGAAAAGCAGAAGAAACGGCCGGACTCAGAAGGAGGTGGCTTTGTGACACCCGCTGGACGGGGTAAGGTTATCGGGGTTGCAAGAAAAAGTGAGGAGGAAGGCAAATTCGGCCCGATGAGCGAGGTCATCATTCTCAAGGGTATGCTCGATGGGATGGATCTTGAGGCCGAACTGGTTGGAGACGGAGAGAGCGGTGGCCTTATGCAGGAGATCGGGGAAGAATGCTCCGACAAGGTTAGTAATCCTTTGAGAAAGTTCTTGCGATTGCCATCTAACTGAGATGCAGTACGGCCGTGTCGAGCGAGTATATATTCCGCGACAGTCCAAGCCTCCTGTTCCAGTTTTTGTCAAATTTACTAATCAGCTTTCGGCATTACGGGTAAGACATTCGTGCGAGCAGCTCATGTCGATCGTGCTAATGAGGCTTGTAGGCGGTTAATGCTCTTGAGGGCCGAATATTTAATGGAAATGCCATTACTGCGCGATTCTACGATACACAACAATTTGAGGAAGGGAAATATGATGGTTGATATTGCCTAGAATTTAGTGCTTTTTAGTTACCACCAAACGCCGAGAATGATGCGACAAAGGGACATTTCCATAGCATTTCTAACGCTCACCTTGACTCCCATACATGGCAGGCCCATGTGGTCAGAATGTGATTTTATCAAACATGTCCTTATTCTGAGAGGGCTTGGTTTTGCCTGGACGCTGCAATTTAGTCTCAACTGCGTTACCCGCTTTGGCTTCTCGCTTCCTAGAAAGTGGGATGCCTGTCTGAGCCTTTGGCTTCTTGTCACCTTCGTTGCCTGCCTTAGCTACTTGCTTTCTAGGGAGTGGGATGCCAGTCGTCGACTTTGGCTTCTTGTCGCCTGCATTGCCTGCTTTAGGTTCTTGCTTCCTGGGGAGTGGAATGCCAGTCGTCAACCTTGGCTTCCTGTCACCTTGGCTGCATACCTTGGCTTCGTGACTTTTCTGGACCGGGATACCAGACTGGCTCCTTGGTTCTTCACTCGCATCGTTGCAGCCGCTGATCTCTTGGCCTTTTTGGATTGGAATGCCAGACGTCGACTTTGGCTTCGCATTACTTAGGTCGCATAAATTGGCGTCCTGACTCTTATGGATCGGGATACCAGACTGGCCCTTTCGCTTGACATCATCCTCGTTGCAGCTTTTGACCTCCTGGCTTTCGACGCTTGGAAGGTCCGAGGAGACTTGGGTTTCAACTTGACGACTCTTCTCTATATTGTCGTAAGCCCAGCAAACAGAGCATGTGCCTTTCATTGGAATCCCAATGGCTTGAGTATCAGTGCATTCATACCCCAGCTTGAAGGCCTTTTCGCATCTGATATCAATATCACGAGGCGCTTCGATGCAAGTGCACCAATAGAAGTAAAAGCGGATTTTGCAACACATATTGAGAGAGCTGTACAAGCTGTGTTGAGAATTCATTCAATAGTGCTCCGTACAGGAAGGAGGACGGGTCGGTCCGGTTGACACGGTTGACTCTGCTAATGAATATATCCTTCGTATCCTGACTAAATCATCTCTGGTGTTGGATCATACAGTCAGTCAAGCTAGGTGATATGGGAAACAGCATGTTTGAGCCAACAGCAAATCAAGCACACTTAAATAACCCAGCTGGTGCACACGAGACCCAGCTTGGATAGTTACAGTCCTATGGAGTAGATGGAGACCTTCCGACAATGCTTTGTTACCAACGCTTTGAAGACAAATCGTTGCTGGAGTAGTCATGATAGATATTTTACAACCTATGGTTCCATCCTTTGTGTCACTATAACAAAGACATGTGATGAACATATCACAAAGTAGATCATGCTCGACCAGTAACGAGGCAGGATTGGGAGGCAACTATAAACCCACGAGGTCATGTGACGAGTATGACCTGCAGCAGTGTCTGAGACTGATTGGCTGTGGGGCTCGTGGAATTGAGCCGGCGGGAAACAACTGGACATGGAACGATGCTCTGGAACTTCCGCTGCACATCCATTCACCAGGCCTGGACCTCACCTGCTCACTCTCTGTCAATATATATAACACATTCGTGTTCCTTTCATTTTCCTTCTTTCAAGTTCCTTATCTCTCATTCGGCTATATCTCAGTACTCCTCTTTCAGACTCACTTTTCCTTTACTACTTTGCAACTGTGAATCGCGTGTATCCGAGATGTCGCTTTGCATAAACCGCCTGACGGAAGAAAGGTGAGGGGTGGACATCAACCCAATTTATGGTGCGCTATCGTATGCCCAGTGAGGTGAGCTAACTTATGGCCTTGCGCTGCCCATACAGAAAGCAGTGGCGTCGAGACCATCCCTTCGGATTTTACGCGAGGCCGCATCGCAACCCTCAAGGCGCGCTTGACCTCAAGAGATGGGAGTGCGGTATCCCCGGAAAAGCGCAAACGTTGTGGGAGGGTGGGCTTTTCAAGCTTGATGTTACATTTCCAGATGGCGAGTTCAATTCTTCCTGTTATCGGACTTTTTCGATCCCGCGACATGGTATAACTAACCGCCGAATTCTCATCGCAGAATACCCTACCAAGCCGCCCAAATGTAAGTACAATCTTAGTTGCAAGATACCTCCATTCGTGCAATTTTGTAAACCCCTGCAAAATCTTCATTACATTGCGCGCAGTTCACTAAACATGTCTTTATGTGCTCTACAGGCAAATTCGTCCCTCCGCTTTTCCACCCGAACGTCTACCCCTCCGGCACCGTCTGTCTTTCGATATTGAACGAAGAAGAAGCATGGAAACCCGCCATCACCATAAAGCAGATTCTTCTGGGCATTCAGGACCTATTGGACGACCCGAATCCGGAGTCGCCCGCCCAGGCCGAAGCATACAATCTGTTCAAGAAGGATCGGCCAGCATATGAGAGACGCGTCAAACAAGTGGTCAAAGAAAACCCCGCACTTTGAGTAGTAGTACCCATGCATACATTGGATGTTACTATGACTCGTATAACTTCTGAGACCACAACCCTCTACAGTTGTCGCGTTACTCGGACCCAGACGTTTGTCCACGCGCTGATGCAGGTTTCGGCGATTCCCTGAATATGTGGCAAATGAGCGGATTGCTGCGGTTGGTGTCCTCTTTACGCTGAAGAAATTGGTGGTCTTCCAGCAAAGGATCTCTGCAACAGAAGGGTGGTTGATATTTAGAGGCTTGAGTTCTTCCAACCTATGACTCCACGGCGTCTTATGTCCTGAAACGTTTTGCATGTTGTTTCCCTTTCAATCTGCCGGCTGATTTATTTTATGTATTCCCTTCATATTGGCCAGTCCTTTTATTCCTTAGCGAGAAGCATGGCGTATCACAATCAACAAATTTGCAGAGCCATGTATGGCGTTCAGTAAGAGAGAACCTTTGGCTGAGGGCGTTTGAAATCCTACCGCACTGGCCGGCTTGGTGTTCTCCGTCCGTCATTTCTTGGCATTCCTTCTAGAACGCCATTCATTTGGGGCGGGATGCATGGGACGTCCGCGAAGACAGAACAGGAATTGAGCCATGGATCCCGTCGGGGTGATTCGCCTTGAATTGGGGACGGTAGACAACAGTAGAATCGACATACTGGCCTTGAGAGTCATTTCCTCTGCACCAGAGTTTACCGGGCATGATAGGATGAGTCCTGCTCAGTACTACAGTACGCTACTACTCATAGGATCCGTAACCTCCCAGACTTCACGAAGACTAGACCAATGGGGGCCGGGGAGAAAAGTCCAACGTCCGTCGGAGTTGGTTAACTAGTTATCTTATCGGGTGAGTCAGTCCAATTAGTTTTGACCGAAATCGCCCCGCCGGGAACGGGTTACTCATTCCCAATACTTATTTAAAACCCACCGGCTTCCTCCTTCGCCCCCAGACGGTCTCTGTAACGCTCGTCAATTGCTCCTAATCTCCTTGCTGTCAGATTCTCTGAGTGGTCGCTCAATTGTCGCCAGGATGTGTGGAATCTTCGCGTGTCACCAGTATGTATTATCTTGGAGAATAGAACAGAACTTTCTTTTCTCCATTCTTCCGAGCCCGCCACATTGCTGGGGTTTGAGTCAACTGCTAACCATGACCTACCAGTCACCCCGATGTGCAAACATTCAAGCCTACGGCCCTGCGCATGGCCAAGGCGTAAGTCATGCTCTCACTATCTGCCATTTCCGCGATGAGCTTTGCTGAATATTGCTTCTAGGCTGCGCCATCGTGGACCCGATTGGAGTGAGTCATAGTGCTTTGGAGAGTGGCCGATAGTAGCATTTTCTGACCCAAGACTAGGCGGAAGCTTCATCTCTGAGAAGACCAGTGAGTCGAGCATAATCGCATCGCCTCCGTCCGCAATACTAATTGAAATGTAGTCCTCACGCACGAGCGTTTGTGTATCGTCGGTGTCGGTATGTGGGCGTCATCGCTTACCCTTCCCGTGCGCAAAGTACCTCAAAATACCTAACAAGAAACCCTTCTTCAAGACTCCGGCGCTCAACCTCTTGTGAACGATGATGGCTCCCTCGCTCTGGCTGTCAACGGCGAGATTTACAACCACCGCATCTTGAGAAAGGGGCTCAAGGCCGACTATCAGTTCAAGACACACTCTGACTGTGAAGTTGTGATCCCGCTGGTATGTGTGACGGATCTCGAGGGACTTATTCCATGGCGCATCAGGTGCTGACAATCCTAGTATATGGAATACGGTCTGGACGCCCCCAAGCACCTCGACGGCATGTTCTCGTTTGTGCTTTATGACAAGAAGCAGGACAGGGTTGTCGCTGCACGTGATCCTATTGGTGTTACCAGCTTCTACATTGGCTGGTCCTCCGAGACTCCTGGTGCTGTTTACTTCGCCTCGGAGCTGAAGTCTCTGCACCCTGTCTGCGACAAGGTTCAGGCTTTCCCCCCTGGCCATATCTTTGACTCCAAGACCGGCGAGTTCACCCGCTACTTCCAGCCTAAGTGGTGGGACGCTGCCAATGTCCCTTCCACCCCTGTCGACTATAAGGTCATCCGCAACTCCCTGGAGAAGTCTGTGCGCAAGCGTCTCATGGCTGAGGTTCCTTACGGTGTTCTTCTGTCTGGTGGTCTTGATTCCAGCTTGGTGGCGTCTATCGCTCAGCGCGAGACCTTGCGCATGCAGGAGGCTGCCCGCTCCGCTCAAGAGCAGGGAATCTCATCCGACTTGGTTGGTATCGATGACGAGAACGAGCTTTCCACAGTCACCACCTTCCAACAGCTGCACTCTTTCTCCATTGGTCTGCCCGGTGCTCCCGACACTCAGGCTGCCCTGGAGGTTGCCAAGTTCCTCGGAACCAAGCACCACGCCTTTACCTTCACCGTGGAGGACGGCCTCAACGCGCTCTCCGATGTCATCTACCACCTCGAAACCTATGATGTCACCACCATCCGTGCCTCTACTCCTATGTATCTCCTGAGCCGCAAGATCAAGGCCATGGGAGTCAAGATGGTTCTTAGTGGAGAAGGCAGTGATGAGATCTTCGGTGGATACCTTTACTTCCACGCCGCCCCTAACAGGGAGGAATTCCACAAGGAGACCGTCAGACGTGTTAAGAACTTGCACTTGGCCGACTGCTTGAGAGCGAACAAGTCTACCTCCGCCTGGGGTTTGGAGGCTCGTGTGCCCTTCCTCGACAAGGAGTTCCTGGAGACTTCTATGGGAGTCGATCCCGCTGACAAGATGATCACCAAGGAGCGCATTGAGAAGTACATCCTGCGCAAGGCTTTCGATACCACGGACGAGCCGGATGTCAAGCCCTACTTGCCCGACAACATCCTCTGGCGCCAGAAGGAGCAGTTCAGCGATGGTGTCGGTTACAGCTGGATTGATGGCCTGAAGGATCAGGCCGAGGTGCAGATCACTGATGAGATGATGAAGAACCCCAAGCCCGAGTGGGGAGACGATATTCCCGAAACCAAGGAAGCGTATGTTATGCGTTATTCCACCTTATGGATGTCGAAGTTGTGTGAGCTGACTTGGAATTTAGGTACTGGTACCGCCTGATGTTCGATGAGCACTTCCCCCCCACTTGCGCGGGCACCGTTGAGCGTTGGGTACCCACATGGTCCAAGCAGTCCGATCCCAGTGGAAGGTAAACATGTGCCCTTGATATCGAATGACTAGAATTGTTTCGCTGACCGAGTTTAATCTTCTAGAGCCATTTCCACTCACAACGCCAAGTACGACAACGCTGTTTAAACGAATTAATGTGATCCTAAATAATGTGTATCGGGACTCAAATCTCTTGGGCATAGAAGCATGCATCGGTGATTTTATCCTGGAGTCAGGCATGGGGATGCGAAAGTAGAATTTGCCTTTATCATCTTTACCAGAAACTAGTTGTGTAAGATTGTACTGTAGCTGTGGCGTCATATCTCCAATGTATCTACTTTTGGATAACTTGCAAAAACATTGGTGAAATAGATCATAAAATTCCATGGGGAGATGAAAGTGATGCAGGACCGCAGGTACAGTAAAGCCGAGGCAACAATGGGAAGCTGAGATGGACGACCGGACCGGAGTCCCAACACCGCCAGCTCACGGCAAAGCAAAAGCACAGCCCCAGGCATCAGCATCACGGGACTTAGCGGCTTTTACCGGTGCCCGAGCGTCCACCAATCACGGTGTGGCATTTCTCCCGTGGCTTCCCCATTGTTTGTCTGCTTTGGCGACTCAACCTCGACCTCTTCCTGCCCTGTTTCCCCATCGTTTCCCTTTCCCTTCTTCTCCCCTCATCACCTCATCCTTTCCCGTCCACCACCTCCTCATAACAAGACCTTCTATTCCTCCACCCACCTCCATTCACAATGTCTGCTCCTGCTGCTTTCTCCGACATCGCCAAGGCGGCCAACGATGTACGCTGTCCTCATCAGTCGTTCTGAAATTTAACACCTCGGACGACCGCCTTTCCTCGAAGGGTTTTTCGTGCTAATGAACAGCGCAATAGCTCCTTAACAAGGACTTCTACCACGCCAGTGCCGGTGAGTCCCCCGAGTAGCCTCCGCGCCTCCACCAGGACGCGTTCGATCCTTCCTCGCGCGCAACCCTGCTAACATACCCTGCTTAGCCAGCCTTGAGGTCAAGTCCAAGGCTCCCAATGGCGTCACCTTCAACGTGAAGGGCAAGTCTGCCCACGAGGGTCCCATCGCTGGCTCCGTAAGTTGAACCGAACTCGTTTTAAGTTAGCTGCTTTGATACTAAACGTTACATGTATCAATAGCTCGAGGCCAAGTACGTCGACAAGCCCACCGGTAAAGGCCCCCTCCAATCACGCAAAAATTCATGCGAACATCCCTTGCGCAAACCTCCCGACCCTCCACCCGGAAGAGTGCCTGAGAATAGGCTCACGTTCATATTTGCGTGTGGCTATGCCTCGTCTAGACGCCTCTTCTTTCACTTCATGTCAAGAATTACCGAGCATGCGGTAGTGCTAATGTTCCGTCCTCGACCAGGCCTCACTCTTACCCAGGCATGGACCACTGCCAACGCTCTCGACACCAAGCTCGAGCTCGACAACAACATCGCCAAGGGCCTCAAGGCTGAGATCCTTACCCAGTACCAGCCCGCTAAGCAGTCTAAGGGCGCTAAGCTCAACCTCCACTTCAAGCAGCCCAACCTCCACGCCCGTGCTTTCTTCGACCTCCTCAACGGTCCCTCCGCCAACTTCGACGCTGTTCTCGGCCACGAGGGCTTCCTTGTCGGTGCTGAGGGTGGTTACGACGTCCAGAAGGCTGCCATCACCAAGTACTCCGCTGCCGTCGGCTACAGCGTTCCCCAGTACTCTGCTGCCATCACCGCTGGCAACAACCTGACCGTCTTCTCCGCTAGCTACTACCACCGCGTCAACGAGCAGGTTGAGGCTGGTGCCAAGGCCACCTGGGACTCCAAGGCCGGTAACTCCGTTGGCCTTGAGGTCGCAAGCAAGTACCGTCTTGACCCCTCTTCCTTCGCTAAGGTATGTGCCCACTGTGGATGTCGGGGGTGATTAGTTCTAACTTGTTTATCTTCAACAATTATAGGCCAAGATCAACGACCGTGGTATTGCCGCTCTGGCGTACAACGTTCTCCTCCGTCCTGGTGTTACTCTTGGCCTTGGTGCTTCCTTCGATACCCAGAACCTGAACCAGGCTGCCCACAAGGTTGGCGCCAGCTTCACCTTCGAGGCTTAGAGGAGCTATAGTTAGCATCTGTCTGCAAACAGGAGTCTAGTGTGTTCAATTTAGCCGATTACATGGATTTTGGGAGCCGTTAAGATAGAAACTTGATAGCTTGCTTCCGGTCTCTGGAAGGGCTATTGGCTTGCGCGGATTGGCCTTGTGAGTGGACGTGGGTTTATATGGATGTCTAGTTAATAATCATGTATCGTACTTACCGACGATAAGTGTATATCAAGTCTACAAGTCCCGTTTGTTCAATACTGTACATGCTGCAAGGTAGCAATTGACCCAGCCCGTCATCTGCATCCGTATCCGTATCCGACATGGTAATCACCATACTCCTGTATCAAGTATGTGTATGTATCCAGGTGTCCAACTCACTTCAATGCACATGGAGGCTAACTGAGCCATGAACCCCAAACCAATTTATACAAACACCGCTAGCCACAGCCTTATGGGTCTTTCCGTTTTGTTGCTTTTTCGTTGGGCCACTGAACCCAACCCGCCATTGTACCCGCTCCAAGCACGATCCCACAGACGGTGACGAACCGGACGGCGGTCGCCCAAGGGTTCCCCAGGTACTGTTCATTCAGCGCATCCATGGCTTTTCCTCTCCGCTCTCTCCGCCGCGCATCCTCCGCTGTTTGCGTCTTATAGTGACCCCTAGCATTGAAATGATGAATGGGATTCCTGTCAATGAACGAAGTCGGATCCTCGTCATTAGCAGCGGACGTCTGACCCGCCGAAGAAGCGCCGCCGCCACCACCACCCCCAGAACCCGGGCCTGGCGCACTCCTCCCCGTCCGACCATACCCGCCATTGGCATAAAAACTCGGCGGCGGGCCGCGGAATTGGCCGCGGCGATTACTCAACCCGCTGGCGGGGCGGGATCCGGCATACGACGTCCCCTTCGTATGGAGGTTGGCGCTGTGACTGCTGTAGCTGCCCATGGGATGTTGGCCGGCCGTCGCGGTGGACCGGGTGTTCTGGTACTGGGCATAGATCCCGTGGTCGCGGTCGTAGGCGGCGCGTTTGTTCGGCTGACTGAGGACATTGTAGGCGGCAGAAATCCGCGAGAAGCGCGCCGAGGCCGTAGGGTCGTCGCGGTTACGGTCTGGGTGGTGGCGCATTGAGAGGGTGTAGAATTGTCTGTTGTTTTTGAGGGGTTAGTTAGTCTTTGGGGAGGATTAAAAGGACAAGGGGATTTTAATTTTAGCTCTGGGGTAAGGGGAACGCGCGCACTTTTTGATCTCGCCTTGTGAGGCGGTTATTGGGACGTCGAGGAGCTCGTAGTAGGTTGGTTCGCGGGCGGAGGCGCGGTGGTGGGAGGTTGTTGAGAACGGTGTGGTGTGTGATTTTTGGGACGAGACATGTTTGTGTGAGTGTGAGAATGGACTTGAACGATTGTGAAGTCTGTGGATGTAGCTGGGTGTTGTAGATGATGCTGTTCGGGTTTGGGGTTTACAGCGTTGTTGGCGTCGAGTGGTGCAGGTGATGAAGGAGGAAGACGACGAAGAGGAGGCGGCGGTCCTCAGGCGAGGCAGTGACATTTCTCCCGCGGATATTATTGGTTACATGTAATGATGCTTTAGTTCCAAGTAATTCAAGCGGACCATTGAGGAGAAATATAGATGCGAGCAGAGTATAGGATGCACGCACGGGTGGAGGAGAGTGAGGGAGGAAATTCCGCCGCTCTTCGGAGGCGGGCTGCGTCATCGGGTGGCTTATCTGATCGAGACTAATCGAGACTAACCCATCTACCTGCGCATACTCCGTCCGTACTACAGTAGGGCTGGACTCGAGAACACATGAGGAGCTCTTCTCTGCGTCTGAGCTGACGCTACTGCATGCCTGCTAGGATATCCTAACCTATGTCCAGGGTCTGCTTTTAACCGTCGTGGCTCATGCTTAGTGTAAGGCCGATGAACCCATTCCTGATGCTTGACAAGACTTGTTTTGCGCATGATATACAACTTATGGTCTATGATAAAAATCAGATTGGGATTTTGCTTTGTAGACTGTGGCAGTCGTTGTGTTTGATATGACTGGAGATACTAAGAAATATCTCGAGAATTTAACCCATTAGCCTCTCCATTGACTACATGTACCGTCGCTCTTCACTGGCTGGATCATGCAATCATTATAATTATACCTGCTATCGCTGGGATGCCTAAATGCAAAGCAAAGACGTTGAGGCAAAAATCGTACTGCAACGAATAGTCGCAATCCAGTCGTCGAGCAGTGCACAAAGGTAGCTGAAATTCTATTAGCCACAAACAGTATTGGTAGTAATAGCACCCGCCAGTTGGTGCATCGCCAAATCCCAGTCAATCATCTTACGTCTTGGCGCCGACCGTCTTTTCCCCGTCGCCTCCGCCGAACTTCAATTTCCCCTCTTTTTTTCTACTCTTCCTTTCCACTCTCAAGTCTCACACCACAACCGGTTTCTTTCCAGCTTTTCAACATGGCTGCTCAGGCTAGTGAAAAGCTGCAGAAGCTCGACCGTAAGCGATCATTCCACTCTTCTCCATCCTATTTCTCCTTGTCCCGACATGTGACTGATAAGATTTCCCCGCGCCACTAGTCAACGGTCAGAGCGGCGATGCAAAGGCCGACGCTCCCGCCGCTGGTCAGGCTGGAACCGGAGAGGCGGAGGATGATTCCGACGACGATGAAGTTGAGGACAATAACACTGCTGCCGAGGGCGCAGCCAATGGAGGTACGGCTCAACGAGTATCCCCCGGACCATCTTCAGGCTCTCCCAGTGCTAACAGATTATCTTCGTCATGTAGCCGCCAAGAAAAAGAAGAAGCGCAAGTCCAAGAAGAAGAAGAAGGGCGGCGCCAAGGTCCAGAGCTCTCCTCCGCGCGTCCCGATCTCGAGCCTGTTCCCGAACAACCAGTTCCCCGAAGGAGAAATTGTCGAGTATCAGAATGAAAATTCATACCGGACCACCAACGAGGAGAAGCGTTATCTCGACCGCATGAACAATGACTTCCTGCAGGAGTACCGTCAGGGTGCTGAAGTGCACCGCCAGGTCCGCCAGTATGCACAGCAGAACATCAAACCCGGCCAGACTCTGACGGAAATCGCCGAGGGTATTGAGGATGCTGTCCGTGCCTTGACGGGCCACCAGGGCCTGGAAGAGGGCGACAACTTGAAAGGTGGTATGGGTTTCCCCTGTGGCCTGAGTATCAACCACTGCGCCGCCCACTATACTCCCAACGCGGGCAACAAGATGGTGTTGCAGCAGGGCGATGTCATGAAGGTTGATTTCGGAGCTCACATCAACGGACGGATTGTCGACAGTGCCTTCACTGTTGCCTTTGATCCTGTCTATGACCCTCTTTTGGCGGCCGTCAAAGACGCCACCAACACCGGTATCCGGGTATGGCTTCAGTGCTCCAATCTACTTATCCACCCTGAACTAACGATTTTCGACACATAGGAAGCTGGTATTGACGTCCGTATGAGCGATATTGGTGCAGCTATCCAGGAAGTTATGGAGAGTTACGAGTGCGAAATCAACGGAACCGTGCACCCCGTTAAATGTATTCGGAACCTCAACGGTCACAACATTGACCAGCACATTATCCACGGTGGAAAGAGCGTGCCTATCGTGAAGGGTGGTGATCAGACCAAGATGGAGGAGGGTGAAGTCTTCGCCATCGAAACCTTTGGAAGTACCGGAAAAGGCTATGTGCACGAGGATGTGAGTACTTGAGCTCCGAGGCGAGGCTACTTGCTTACTGACGACGTCGGATTAGATGGAAACCTCTCACTACGCTCTGGTTCCGAACGCCGCTCCGGTGCCTCTGCGTCTTTCTTCCGCGAAGAATCTGTTGAACGTCATCAACAAGAACTTTGGAACACTCCCCTTCTGTCGTCGGTACCTCGACCGGTTGGGTCAGGACAAGTATCTCCTTGGGGTAAGAGTATAGCCCGCTTTCATGGCGGAATCAGTGCTAATAGAAAGTCACAGTTGAACAACCTGGTACAATCGGGCATTGTCCAGGACTACCCCCCTCTTTGCGATATCAAGGGCTCTTACACTGCCCAGTACGAACACGTAAGTCTCATTTGCAGTGTCATTGGTATGTGTTCAACTTGCGCTGACTTGTCATAGACAATTGTTCTCAGACCTACCGTAAAGGAGGTAATCAGTCGTGGAGACGACTACTAAGAAGGCTGTTTTCACGCCTACAAATTTTGGCAAAGCATGTGACATGTCTGCTCCGTTTAGCATGAATATAAAAATACAAAACAGGATTATTCAGGAAACTGTTGAAAATACAGACAACATCAAGCTGGTCTTCGATCTCCACCTCATCGAGCCCCGTGTTTGTAAATAGTAAACCGAGTCATTCGAAAGGGCGAGAGCTGGATCAAACCATAGTCGGCATGCGGGTAGCCCCACGTGGAAAGCGTGTGCTCCGAACCTCTCAGCTTCTTGCTTAATCAGATCACTTTTCCTTCCACCTTGCGCTCTCGCCCCCTCTTTACTTCTTTTTTCTTTTCTTCTTATCCATGGCGTAGACTTGCCATTAGATCAGTCTCTCGTTTCACCCTTCAATTGCTGACCCATCCATTATGTCCTCTTCTGTTGTCGAAGCCGCCGCGGCAGGAACTTCACCGCATCTCCGCGTGTCCGCAGCCAAGAGTCAAGATCCCCAGTTCACAGCACAGGGTGACGAACCCTCCGCCAGAATCGCACCTCCGGAGAAATCGGCGGTCGATGATCATTTTTTTTGGACTTACACGGAAGAGCCACATCGCTCAAGGCGTCTAGCCATCATCAAAGCCCATCCGGAGGTATGTGATATTTATCCCGCCATCCGAACCGTGTCTTCTTCGCCGCCGGGCAGTCAATAGCTAAACAAGTCCCTCAATCTTCTATAGGTCACCAAGCTCTGTGGACCGGAGCCCCTGACCAAATATGTCGTTCTGGGAGTCGTCTCTCTCCAGATCCTCTGCGCCTACCTCCTCCGCAATACCTCCATGCTGTCCTGGAAGTTTCTCGCAACGGCATACGTGATCGGAGCGACTTCAAACCAGAACCTCTTTCTCGCCATCCATGAGATCTCCCACAACCTTGCCTTCCGGTCCGCAATGGCAAATCGACTACTAGCCATCTTCGCCAATCTTCCAATTGGATTGCCCTACAGTGCCGCCTTCAGGGTATGTGACTACACAAAACCCTCAACATCCTTGCCTATGTGCTACGTGCGGAGATATGATTCAAATGAAGAGGTACTAACATCATGGCGTTCCACAGCCATACCACCTCACCCACCATAAATCCCTCGGTGTGACAGGTCTGGATACCGATCTCCCAACCGCCGTGGAAGCGTTCTTCCTTGACTCGCTCCTGGGCAAGGCATTCTTCTGCACCTTCCAGATCTTCTTCTATGCCGTGCGGCCCATGTTCATCTACAGCCCTCCGTTCACATACATCCACCTCTTGAACCTCGCCGTGCAGCTGTCCTTCGATTACTTCCTGATCCAGTTCTGCGGCGGTTCGATCCAACCCGTCCTCTACCTCCTCATGAGCTCGTTCCTGGCCGGCTCGCTCCACCCCTGCGCCGGCCATTTTATCGCGGAGCACTATTTCTTCTCCCAGGTCTCGCACGGTACCGAGTCCCTCCAGGAGCTCAAGCAGAAGCAAGAAAAAGCATCCACTCCGGCCCCGCACCCGCTCGACTCACTGCCCCCGCCGGAAACATACTCGTACTACGGGCCCCTCAACTTCTTTACCTACAATGTCGGCCTGCATAACGAACACCACGATTTCCCCGCCGTCCCCTGGACCAGACTCCATGAGCTCCACCGCATTGCCAAGGAGTTCTACGAGCCCCTGCCTTGCCACCACAGTTGGGTGTGGGTGATCTGGACATTCATCTTGGATAAGAATGTGGGCATGTGGTGTCGCGTCAAGAGAGCACAGGGAGGTCGCCTCGTCGGAGGAGGAGGCGGCAACGGTCGTGGTGGAGAGGGAATCTCGGCTTCCTCGTCGGCTGGTCCGCAGGAGTCCGGAGATGGCTGGAAGGAAAGCGAGATCCAGAACTGATCTCTGTTTTACTTCCTTCCTGTCTGCCGTGTTGATATCATTATATATGGTGTTTGCTGGTTGATTGATTGACTGAACTGATGACCTCCCTTCTTCAAGTGTACTACTATCTATGGCAAGAACAGCTAAACATGACAAAAACCCCCTCCCTTCTCTGGTTCTCGGCTTTGATTTGCTTCTCCACCACAGACTTCGTGTGCGGAGCCCCGAGTCCTGTTTATGAGTTTGATGAGAATCGTGTTGTGCGATGATGGAGCATTTGTTTCTTATGATGTCAGAGAAAAACAAAGTATAGGAGAGAATTCATTATCATGGGGACTATCAGCTGTTGGAACAATATTGCAGCAGCATGAAGGGGAAAGGGGGACGGACAACCCCCCGCAAGCAGTTATGGACATTCGTGGGGTAGCATCATCGTAAGTAGTTCGGTAGAGTTTCGCTGCCTGGCTATGGGACGCATGACTTCCGTCTAGACCAAATTCTTGCTCATCGAACAAGATGAGGGGTCAGGGGGGAAGAAAGACGACGAAATCAAGACAAAAAAAAAAAAAAACCGTGGTTTGACTAGAGTCGAAAGCGAGGGCATCAACAGCCGAAACTCTTAGTTCGGGAGGCTCGCGACATGAGAGCGCATGAGAAATGTGATACCGACTCGCTCGGTGTTGCATGTGCCATGTCGCAAGGATAAGCTTTAGATCGCCGCGAGTTAGGATGGTTGAACCTCAAGGTTTTCATGTCTGACTGAAACGGGAACTCTGCCTCCATTTACATCACATCATCAATTATGAAAAGTCACAAGGTGAAGAAACAACAAGAAAAGAAAAAGTGCTCGGATAAAAGAGAAAGAAACGGCATGGGGAGACCGGGCGCCGCGTGAAAGCGACCATGAAGGATAAAAAGGCTGTGAGGAAGGATAATATAAAAAACACCATACCACTGCTGTTGCTGTTGAGGTGATCAAGTAAGGGAATTGACAGAAGGGAATACAGTTGGTTTGTAAAGAAACATAGATGGGAGAGAAGTGGTCACAGGAAAGGAAATTCAAAAGAGTGGACACAAAGAAGGGATCCAGACAATCAGAAGAAGAAGTATGCGATTAAGAAGCTCAGCAGGCACAGACCTGCCACGACCTGCACTGGTACACCGGCCTCCACGGACTGTGGCTGCTGTTGTGCCAATGGCGCGGGGACCTTCTCGGCCTCGGTCCCGATCTTTCGCTGTCTCAGACCCTGATCTGCCAGCTTCTCCTTGAGCGCCGAGATCTGTGAATTAGCTTCGAACAATTGAGCTTTCAAATCCTCACTAGCAGCTGCCGTGGGCGACTTGGAAGATGTGGCCGAGCTTTCGATAGTCTGCGGGGTGGAGACCTCTCTCTTGGGCTTTTCGCTGAAATCCGGCGGTGGGATGGGTGACGTGTCGTTAGCGCTTTTCGTAAGCGCGGCGGCAGGAGTCTGGTAGTTGGGGTTCGGAGAAGTGTAGGCAGGAGGCTCTTCATCCGGCACATTCTACGTGACGTGAGCAATCAACGAAGTTAGGACAGCAGAAGTAAGGGGTAAAAATGACAACTTACGCCAGTCGTCTCGACTCCTTGTTCGCCAGTCGCGGCATCTTCAGGGGCCAGCCAGTTCACACGGATCTTGCGTTCTTGGAGTGCTGTCTTGGGGGCTTTCTCAAACTATACCAACCGTTAGATGACGCCTTGTACTAGATCTGGAGGCCTAGGTGAATAGGAGACTGACGATTGAGGTAACATTGGCGAACTCCATGTCACGAGTGACCGCGACAGTCTGGACGAGAAACTTATCCTTGCACTTGGCATCTAGTGTAGGCTCTTCCTTCATGGCTTGCAGGAGAACTATCGTGATTGTCAGCTACCGAGCCGAGAGCGAATGGGTATTAGATGTCCTCTCCCCAACAGTGAGACTAACCTTGGACATCGACATGCTTGCCAGGTTCTATCCGGCCGGAGTTGGGACGAACACAGTAGCTTGTCCGCGGTCAGTCGTAATTCAAACTAAGCGGTTACCCAGGGGTTCTGAGTAGGAGTGGCCACGTACTGCTTAGGGGCGGTTGTTTTGACCTAGTAGATGGGAGCTTATTAGAAGGCTAGTCATCTCATGATGAGTCCGAGGCGGCATTTACACATACCTTGAACACAACAGGCTCCGCACCTTCGTTCTTCAGGTGCAACATCTGGCATACCTCACGGTTGAAGGGGCCTGGATCCGGTGAGCGGATGGTCCATCGATTGTATAGATGCTCGGCCAGGGGAAAGGGAGTATTGCTCACGTTGAAAGCCCAGCTCCGGAGGATCGAGAATGATAGACATAGCGAGTGCACGGTGTACAGGTATTCAACCGAGGAGAAGGGGGGCGCGCGGATAAGGAGTGGTGTAGGTACCAAGGAACGACTGAAAAGGGCGGGAGAGTCTTCCTGTCTACAGGAAACCGAGCGCTGGAGTAACAAAGAGAATCAGCAAGGGTGTAGATACACGGCTGCGACTGAGTGCCGGAAAGATACCTGATAGAGAATTATTGAGGAGATAAATAGCTGAGCGAGGAAGCCACAGGAGGAGTCTATAGCCAGCCGCAGCGAATATATGTTTAGGCGCAATTGGAATCGGGGGTGAGGAGACGGAGGAGACACATGAATAATGATGAATGAGCTGGACTCGGCGGCGTCGCAACTGCTGGTTGGGTCGGGATTGGCTGACTCAGCACGGCCACGGGGGATCTAGTCAGGTGATGTCATCAGCGCTGTTTGGCATTGTGTTTCAGGCAGTCGTGGCCAATCTTCGTCCACCTGGCGAGTACCTGCATTCTAGGCAGACGACCTAATCGCACGATTATGAGTACATATATTGTTCTGGCTGCTGCATCGCAATCCTCATGGCCGCTACGATCGGACATTTTGGACAGATCTACCGACTCCATCTCAATTATCGGCCACGCCCTGTCTGGGTCCGTAGATTCGGGATCCACCGCTTGACGTCGTCTAAAAATACCACTGATTGACCTGATACTACTGATAATTCGGGTTAAGTGCCCACTATTTTGCAATGACAAATGAAAGCAAATGTCTTGCATGTACTGTTGGTCTTTCATGATCCTTCGAAGGAGAATCCAGCCATTTCAGCCTTTGGTGAACGACAGAACCACACCTGAATTCTTCAGGCATGATCTCTGGAATGCGCGGTCTCACTTTGATACTGCTACGACTCCGCAGCATCAGACCTCATCGAAAATGACATCGTAATAGGTAGGTAGCCTTCTGGTGACAATCAGCTTCGCACACCGATACTTTTCGGTCTGTTATGAAACATCACCATTGGGTCAGGGCGACTCACCGCTAGAGAGTGAAATACGATCTACGGAGTGACACTGGCGACAACGTGTACATGGCTGAGGCGCAGCTGCTGAGACTACAACTCTCGCGCTCAAATCCAGCATTCAAACCTTTGAGATTTCCTCTACTATGACGTGGTCTTTGAGGTTAAAAATTAGTATGGGCATTATCCAAAGAAACCGGAGGGGTGAAACTGATACATGGGCCCGCCAAACCTCGCCATGAATGAACACGAGGGTTGGATCTTGTGAAATGAGCCACAGTATACTGATATTAGCCGCATAGACCGAAAACTAATATCAGATAACTTCAAATGGGACTTCTTCCCATAGTCAATCTTTCTCGGGCGGTTGGCTTTGAGGATTTGTGTTCTGTAGTGGCAGATCATATACGTTGATAGATGAATTAGCCGTCCACGCTGTGGATAATCTACTATAGCTCTCTCTTGTTGTTGTAGATTAGTGTTTTGAGACTCTTCTGATTTTGTCAGACATACAAGTCGAGCAAGTTGCGTCGGTAGCATGGCTGCTTCTGTGAGCAACAAACGATGGCAGAATGCACCGGAGCTTACAGGCTTCACGAAGAACTCCAAAGGAGTCGTATCTTAAGATGATTTTGATCCGACAAAATTGTCGTGTGTGGATAGACTGGTAGAGTGCAGACTGTGGGACTCGAAATGAACCCTGGACTGCCTCAACTCTCAAGCTTAGCTAGCGGGTCATCCCGCAGTTGACTGATTCCTCCGCTCCGCTCTCGCAGCTTGTCGATACGTCACCCGCGTCCTCAATATTGACCTCCCCTCATCCACTCCACCATCTCAAACAACAGCTTGCAATTCTTGCGCCTTGAAAACCAGCTGCACTGATTGAGGTGTGAGTTTGTGATACACATCTATCGACCGCTTTGCTACACTATACCTTCGCCTTCGCTACCCCGCCTTCGGGCCCGCGTTCTCCATTCACATCGATCCCATCGTCAAGCAATCGTCGCTTCCACACCGTGCAGCCATGGCCTCTTCCGACCTAGATCAACTAATTGAGATGGGATTTGATAAGGAGCGAGCACAACTTGCGGTAGCCAAAGGCAACGGATGTACGAATCCCCTGTCCTCCGCTGTCGCTTAGTGCTGACATTCTTCGTTATCATGAACACAGTGCAAGGGGCTCTAGAATGGCTTGAACAGAACCAGGATAAATCGCTTGATGAGATCAAGGAAGATGAGGAGACGGAGGGCCCTGCACTCGCGCCTGGTGAAGAGGCTCGCAGTCTTGTCTGCAACGAGTGTGGCAAGAAGTTTCGGAGCCACGCCCAAGCCGAATTCCACGCCACGAAATCGCAACATACCGACTTCTCCGAGTCGACGGAGGAGCTTGCACCCCTGACAGATGAGCAAAGGAAAGCCAGGCTCGAGGAGCTCAGAGAAAAACTTGCCGCTAAGCGGGCGGTGCACTCGGAGCAAGATAAGGTTGATAAGAAGAGGAATGAGGTACGTTGGCTACTGTTATTGTCGGTTCGGATGATTCGACTGACCCGTCATGCTTCAGGAAATCCGGCGGAAAGCTACCAAGGATTCACAAGACGCCAAGGAGGAGCTGCAGAGGAAACAAATGTTGAAGGAGGCAGAGCAGAAGAAGAAGGATAAGCTGGCAGACATCGAAGCGAAACAACGGGTCAAAGCCAGGATTGAAGCGGACAAGCAAGAGCGCCGACTCCGAGCCGAGCGAGAGAAAGCCGAGCGAGCTGGCGTCGCACCTCCTGCACAAGCAGCTCCTGCCCCAGCGGCTACCACATCTGGACCGGTGGCCTCGAAGCCTGCATCAGCCTACACCGAAACTCGTCTGCGGTTCCAAACGCCCAAGGGCAACATCATGAAGACGGTTCCGGTTACTACCACCCTGTTCGAAGTTGCCGCAGCCCTCAAGCAGGAGGATGGGATTGAGGTGCGCAGCTTCGTCCAAAACTTCCCTCGGAAAGTATTCGATGCGGAATTCTTTGGCGAATCCTTGAAGGATTTGGGACTTATTCCGAGCGCGAGTCTTGTGATTCAGTGACAGCGTGAAGCTTATTCTGCTTTTGCCTACCATCTACATAGCCCGATAGAAATATTGCTGGAAGCAAGACATACACGTGGAACGAAATGAGAGCGGAGTAGTGACTTGGCTCATAGTAAAACCGAAGGCTGCCAGATGTTGCCTGCTCCGATTAATAATCAGACTTTCCTTTTTCCTTTAAGCTGCAACCTGTATACATTGCGAGCTTCATTGTCTAACTTTATATGCTCATCATATTTGCCGTCAGTGGGTAGAGAGAATTGAATAGTCGGCCTGAATCGACAACCTTCATCGCTATCTGCGTGTTGATTGGTATCACGTGATATCGCGATAAGGCTGTGTCGCGCCTCGACACGTCGGGGGCAACAGCTTCATTTCATTTCTCCTCATCACTGGCTCGACTGGTTGTTGTTCCTCGGAGAAGTATCTCTTGCAGAGAAATATCTTCCAGACAATAGTCCCGCTATGCCCGCGTAAGTCTCCTACAAACGTGTTTCATCCCTGAATGAGGCCCATTCTGACCGCGTCTGAAGTGTTGGCGACCAGCACCGGGGCGGCCCAGCGACCATCATGATGCCTAACTCAAGCGGGAATCTCTCCGCCAACCCATTCGAAGAACCACAACGACGCATCAGCGAATATACCGCCCAGGAGATCGCGACATTGCAAGCACGCCTCGACAAGAAATTGGGCCCCGAATATATCTCGTCTAGGCCGGGTGCTGCCGGACAGCGCGTACACTATCTATCGGCTGATAAGTGTATCAACCTCGCGAACGAGGTCTTTGGGTTCAACGGATGGTCGAGCTCAATTCAGAATATTCAAATTGACTTTGTATGTTTCCGCTTGAGTACCATCCCATCGCAAGCGCTAGTTTCGGGTCAAATACTAAGACGCTGCATTCGACAGGTCGAGGAGAGCCCAAACACGGGGAAAATCAGCTTAGGTCTTTCGGTGATAGTGAGAGTTACCTTGAAGGATGGTACATATCATGAGGTATGCGCAGCTATGCTGGTCAGAAATCGAATGCTCAGACAACGAAATACCACTAGGACATCGGATACGGGCACATCGAGAATTGCAAGGGCAAGGCAGCCGCTTTCGAGAAAGCGAAGAAAGAGGGAACCACAGATGCGCTCAAGCGTGCCTTACGAAATTTCGGCAATGTGCTGGGCAATTGTATTTACGACAAGGACTATGTTTCCAAAGTCACGAAAGTGAAAGCCGCGCCCGTAAGTGATGCCTTTACGGACGAAACCCCTCCGCACCTGCTAATTTGTTCCCGCAGGCAAGATGGGATGTGAATGAGCTGCATCGTCACGCGGACTTCGTTCCCATCAAGAAAGAACCAAAGCCACCACCGGAGGATGATGAGTTGCCGCCGCGTCCAGCAGGGATCGCGAAGCGACCTAATTTTGATGATTCGATGGCATTCGACGGGGATGGAGAATTTGGAAGTACGCAGTCATCACTCTCATCACTTGGCAGAAAGGGCTCACTAACATCATGCACTAGGCGATCTCTTCGATGAAGCCGATTTCGGTGTTGCGGAAACAGGCAATCCAGACGAAATTGTATTAGGGCCAGAATCGCAGAGAGCACAACAACAACAACAACCACCACCAACACCGCTCAACACCCATCATCGACCCCTTGACAATAACTATCGGGGACCTATCAGACCGAACTCAGCTATGGTAACGCCATCGAAGCCCCCAGCCCCAAAGCAATACCCCACCCCGCAGCCATTTAACGGACGCCCAAATCACCCCGCAGCCGGCGACCAACAACACCAACGACAGACCGTGCCCCCCGCAGGGCCGCGACCCAACTTCCACAATGGAAGAATGATCCCACCTCCTCCCCAGCAAAGACAGCCCCAGGACCCTACCGGACCAACAGCAGCATTGCCAGCAGCAGGTCTCAACAACCAAATGTCCGTCCCAATCAAACGCGAACCGGGCACCACCACGTCCACGGGACCTCCAGAAGCCCTCCCATCCGGCACGCCCTCGGCCTCGTTCTTCTCCGCCCGCGCAGTCGACCTCCTCCGCGACAACCCTCAAGGCGGTTTTCCCGCCGCAGCGCCGGCCTTCGACCCGCACGCCGAAAGCCCCTCGATCCGCAAGACCGCCGGGTTCGACCACAGCACCAGCAAGCCCATCTCGAAACCCATGTTATCCGGGGCCAACAACGCATCGCCTGCTGCGGGGTCCAACACACGGGACTTCGTCAACCCGTCGCAGGACATGCATCGGAAGATTGGCGCTCCCGGGAGCAACAACGTGGGCAGCCCCATGACGATGATGAATCGAGGCCCGTCCACTTCGTCCTACCGTCCTCTAACCCGACCAAACATTGAACCTCGGATTGCGACCACCACTGCTGCTACGGCTGCTACGGCTATGCCGAACCGTCCATTATCTGGTGGTGGTGGTCCTCCGCTGGCTCAGAATGTCAATGGGAAACGGCCTCCCCTGTCCGACATGACAAATGCTCAGGCTTCGAGCGGCAGCGGGTCTGCTCCCCTGGCCGGGGCCTTGGATCCCAAAAGACCGAGGATGAACCAAAGTGGGTTGCCCCAAGTTACACCTCAGCAACAGCAGCAGCAGCAGCAGCAGCAGCAGCAGTAGTAGAAGCGACTTTGTTGTTATATAATCTATCAATTCTGCACGCAATCTTTGATGATGAACCTGTCTTCTACGTTCGGGACGAGAGGTCTATGGGTTTTCGGCGTTATGAGGACTAGGCATGGTAATGGGAACGGAATAACTGGTTTGATCAATAGATCTGCTTGCTGAACAACTTGATTGATATTGGGACTACATACATAAGGCTTTATTGCCTTTCAATGCATGCTTACACATAGTCGGGAAGAGTCTCGCATATTTAAGTCATCTGATGGAAGTGGCAGCATTAGAGTGAACACAGCTTGCAGTGTTCGCTTGCCCCATTGATCGCCCCGAAAGAACAGATACACAACAAATAATCGGATTGACACCAAGACAGTTTCCACCAGTCATTGAATTAGAATGCAATAGATAATTGGAATCTTTCACTGCAGGACAGTATGCTATGTCCGCAATCCCTTGCGAGATGCTCAGCGAAGCGGCTTGTCTGACGCAGGCATTGCATATTTGGAGCTCTCCAGTCCTTTTGGGGGAGCCAAAGCTGCTGGCGACTTATTCTCTGACGTTTTTGGAGCGTGCATGGACTTTTGCAATGCAGGCGAAGCCGAGTTTGCGTCTGTCTGTGATAGTGATGGAGTTGTTGACTTCCGTTTGCCTGGAGTTGAAGTGGGAGTGCTGGGTCCAAACCGCCCAGTGAATGATGGCACCTGCAAATCTTGGAAGACCGAGACGGGTTGAGCACTTAAGGCAGAAGCTAATAGGAAGTGTCAACATAATCCAGGCTGCTCAATGCTTGGAAGACAAGAAAGAATAAACACTTACCGTTAAGAGGTCGTCGAGTCCCACCCCTACTTGGGGGCAGATCATTTTGGGCCAAAGGAGTGAAAGGGTTCCCACTCCTCCCTGGAAGCAAATGGTCACCGAACAAATGAGCACCAGAGATTCTGACAGGAGGCGGTGTGCTATGTGCTTGCCCAGTATTTGCTAGGCTGGTAGAAGGAGGAGGTCCACGACGTATCTGCTCAGTGTTTGCTTGGCTGGCCGTGCTGACGGCTGACGTTTGAGACTTCTTTGGGTAGAATATCGGCGCATCCACTTTCAGACGTGTCTGCGAAACAGGGCTTTTGATCTGTGACTCATGCGCAAGAGGCGTCAAAGGGGACTTTGCACCTGTGGCTGCGTTAGATGGAATATTCGTGAGCACTAAACTAGCCTCAAGCGGCATCTGGTTATGAGCTTTATGATGTTCCGCTCCTTCACGGTAAGGTTGGTGTTTGGAATCAAATTCCTTTCTACCGGTTATACCTCTGACGAGATGGTCAAGATGCTCGGTCAGCCATTGGCGGCCTTCGTCCGACAAAGAGATGGATTTCAAGTGGTCGCAAAGCTTCTCAATTTCGTCGTCACCCGCCAATTTGTCCGTGTCGATTGAATTCTCAGCGGTAGAGGTTCCTTTGCTGAAAAGAGCTCTCTCGGTGTTAGGAAACTTTGTTGATGTTGAGGAAGCTTCACTACACGATGAGTCGTGTTGACCAGAAGATCGTTTACTACTCTGCCGAAAATCTAGTCCCTGTAGCAGGAGATAAGAAGGACTCATTATAGCTGTAGCGGTTGAATCCTGTTCACCCAGACCACCCTCAGGTGGCGTTGGGGCGCTGAAATCGACGAGCACTCCACCAGCTGCCGGCGGAGATGCTTTCATCTCCTCCTTATCTTGCAGGACAGAAGTACTGGCGTGGCTGGCTTCCTTCGGCGTAGTTATAGCCAGTGTATCAGGTTTGGGCTCTGACCTGGCGGGAGGCAATTTCGCGACGATCTCGCTTGCTGAAATTGCCTTGTTCGTAGAATTCTGTTTCCCTGTAAGATCTGGCCTCTTGGAGTCTGGCCCCACATCTCGCTTTAATGGAACGACTTGGCTTGTAGTCTTTGCTGTGGGAAGTGTTCGCTTGCTTGCTTCTCTCACTGCGTCGGGCTCGGAAAGCGAAGGCTTTCTAGAAAGAGCTTGCGGAGCTTGGACCTGAGAAGTGGGAGATTTCCGAGGAAGGGCTTGGGCCACATTTCTGGTGATAGAAGCGGGTCTTTGGTTTGGTCCATCATCTGCTCTATAAGCAGGTTGCGTAGCGCGAGAGGAGGCTTGGCTTGGGTTATTCTTGTTCGCAGAAGGAGGTGGTTGGCTTGACCCCGAACTATCATTGTTAGTCACAGCTCTTGCAACAGCAGTGTTCATGATGGCATTGTTCGCGCCGCCAACTACATTGTGAACAGCTGCCATAAAGTCTTCAGGGGTGCTGATCTCTACAACACTGAAGACAGGCGTCAGATAGGGGCTTTTTTTGATGAAAAGAAAAGGTGGCATACATGGGCCGCCGAACTTTGGTCTTTTGACCGGATTTCGGCTTCTGGGAGTCTAGGGATACTTGGTGAGCAGTGACGACGGATGTGGGCACAGCTGGAGCCTCACAACTCTGCATCCGATTTGCTCCCATCGCGCGGGGTTGTGCGTTTGAGGCATGATTGCCGGTCCTCCAGACGCCTACTTGACCCAGAGATCTACTATCCACACTGCATTGGTCAGTACCTCAGCCTCTAACTATTAGTTTGTGGGTTTACTCACTCCGATACGCCTGGCTTTCTCTGGCGCCCCCGTGTCCCTGCTACGCCTCCTCCACGACCACGACTCATACCTCCCCTCGTAGTGGTGAGCCGCTTCAAAGACATCGCATTGGAGAGTCCAAAACGGTGAGTCTGGCCCTTTAACATCTGGTCGAGGTTCTCGAGATCATCAGTGTCCCCTATTGTCTTGTAGACATCTTTGGTATCGCGTTAGAGCGGAACGATGAATTCACCTCGAACAAAATCGACTAGGAAGCGATGGGACATGAACTTACTTGCCCAGGCTGCGAGTCTTGTCTTGTTCTTCTCCGCCATGAACTGGGCTTGTGTTCCAGGCACGTTGGACTCCCTGATTGCCTCGATGTCTTCCAGTCCCACGTTAATGTCCAAGTTGGCATGTCGCATATCATCCTTCGTTGAGATATATTCTCGTCTGGCTGTGCCAAGATCGTCCTATACGGAGGCAAGTCACGTTAGTTGAGGAGAATGAAGCAAAGTATGACGAGGGGAGTTGGTAGAGGCCCACGACTTACCATTTGAAGCCTTTTCAGGCGTTCCGAGGTGTCTGTATTCATGGTTTTCGATGGCTCGAGACCAAAGATGAGCTTGAGATAGAAGAGTGGAGAAGAAATGCAAAGATACTAGATAACAAACTCAAGGCAGGCAGAATGACAAGATTGTTGAAGGAGAATGAGAAGGAGGAGAAGAGACGAGTGGCTGAGACTAATCCAGGACTTCGAGAAGCTAGGATCGACAAGAAAATCACAGCTGTCGTCAATGGAGTTGAAGAGAAGCGAGAAGAGTTGAAAGCACGAGACCTGTATTCCATACACTTAAGAAGCAGAGGAGCAACTTTACTAAGATCACGAGATAGAGCCAGCCTCTCGCTTGAAATCTCTTGGAGAGTTAAAGATGAAGCAGAGAGAAGAGTGAATGTAGAACACGTGCAAAAACAAATCATGGGGGGAGGTTTGGGTGAAGGCAGGTAGGTGTGGTAAGTGAAGATGGTCAACTGCGTTACCATGCAAACGCACGCAACACCACACCTAAAACCTGGCAAATCGCACCCTGCTCACAGCCCAGTTTTTGTAGCAACTGTCTGACTAGTCCCACTCGCAGCTCCTATCGATTCTGATCAACTACCTGTCAACCAGAGAGTGCTACTAGAAGAATATTAGTGCAAAACAGATGGTACCACCCTCAGCGACATTGTTGTTCCCACGCCAAGTCAAGATAGCTGTGGTGCTCTCATAGCAAAGACGCTTTCTCACTCCTCACTTGAAAGCCGGACACTTCTCAATATAGCCCTGGACGGCGTTGTTCTTCTCGATCATACACTTCTCTATGTACATCAGTTGTGAACGAAAGAACTGGAAAAGTCTATCGATTATATGACATGGGTGAAGGAAAAATAATCGTTGCACAATATAAGCTGTCCCCAACAGCACTTTGCCTAGGCACCACAAGTGCTGGCGCCGCCTTCATCTATATTGAGGGTAGAATCAGTTAGCATGGAGCATTTTAGGGATCTAAGGTTCGAAACTTACTACTTATCATTTTCGCGACTGCTTGCAGCAGACTAACTCCCATAACGACAACTCCGAAGACAATACATAGATATGCAGGTATCTTAGCTTTGTGGGAGACATTGCTCAGCTTAATGTAGCACAGAGGAGGAAAGATATAAGCCAATGCTGCTGCGCTCGTTGCGCCGATCAACTCGAAAACTGCCCCTAGGTCACACGTGATAAGAGCCATGGCAACCGCAGTAATAACCAGGGCAGAGGTAAAGATCAAGTGCCGGTTCATATTGAAGGGCTCATCAGGGAAGTAGTATGTTGTCATGACCGATCGGCATACGAATGCCTCTAACGGGAGAGTTGTAAGCATGTTCAGGCCGAAGCAACTAGCCGAAGTCAGCCTCATGAATACCCCAGGAAGAGAAATTAGGAGAAAATTACAGCCTTGCTATGTTGATCAAGATGTTATCCGACGGGAAATTGTTGAGCACATTGCCTTGAGTTTGCGACCCAAAGAACAAGAATCCGGAAACACCCATGGCTAAGCATGTCAGAAGCGAGACTGCAGTAGAATAGTGCGTCACTTTTGCGAAACGATCCAGTGTTGGTTTCTTGAGCGAGCCATAGATCAAAAGGCTGTTATGGTCTTCGAGTTTGTTAGTCCTGGAGTAATGCGATCCATATGACGGAACCTACGGCAAACAAATGCTGTGAACCGTTAGTACAGGAAATAATATGGAGTTCATAACAAGGGCATACCAAATGATATCACCCCAACAGCCTGGAAAAAGCCTGAATTGACAAACAATAGACTTTTCACGTCCCCACGTGACTCAGAAGGCACTCTAAAGCCTTGCGTGATCACAGCAACCACGATTATGATCATACTAATCAAGGCCAGCGCGGATGCTTTCGCCAGCTGATGGTCTGTAAGCTTTGAGCGGAACGGAAGCATGGGCAAACGAACCTTAGCAATGTCCCTGTACAGAGATAACGGGTATGAAATGCCCAGAACAAGGAGCACGATGATGGCCCGTCTATCAGTCAGTAGCCAGAGAAAGGACATGTCACGAAGCGAAGGGAATAAGGCACCCAAGACATGTGGTATAGTATCCCCAACGATGATGCAGAACGCGATCATTCCACCAAAAGCGAATGCCCATTGAGCAACGGAGATAGCGATAAGTCCGCTCTTGCCAAAGCAATGCTGCATGGTCGCCTGGAACGAGTCTGCTCCGCTCAGCTTCGAATTGACCACTATAAGTCGAATTGTCCAGTCTACCGCAACCGTAAGCCCAACGAGAAGCACTAATCCCATCGTCAATCCTGCCTGGCGGAGCGCATAAGGCTGTCCTATGATGCCAGCTCCAATGATGCTGTTGGCCATATTCATGAAGGCCATGCGCATCCCGCTCCTTGGGCGGGCACTTTCCAGGTGTTCTTCAGGGAAGAACTCATCAGACGTCGCGAGTGTGACACTCGGGGCCTCGATATCCGTCAACAAAGGAACCATCTGGCGCTGCCTGCCATCGCCGCGGCCAAAGTCCTCTTCTTCGAGCCATGAGATATCGTCTGAGTCGCGAGAATGATGTTCCGAGTGACGCTCTTCCTCCGATTCATCCTCCAGGTCGAAACGAACGCGATTCATGGTCCGAGGGGTGCGTCGTTGTCCCTCTGGGACCGGCTGCGATATAGAGGAGTGGTGCGGCTGTCCGTGGCGGGTCGCGCTGGCGGGATTCGCATGGTTTGTAGTTTCGTGGTCTTCGACGGGTGGCCCTGGAAGAAGGGGCTGGGAGTCCAGCCCATTGGGGCTATCTTTGTCCGCCAGGAAATGATGTTCACCTTCATCCCTGGGCATCGCTGATTGTGAGACTCCTGAATTCGAGATTCCCCGATGCGGACGATGCCTAGGGGCCAGATAATCAAATCTGGGCACGTGATAGTCTTATCGATAAGAAGCTCTAACAATAAACATCAATAAGGCTCTCAATGAGCTGTCACTTGCTGGAAATGGGATTAACTACTTCGTAAGGAGCTGAACTGAGATCTGTATCTCATCAATCATCAGCAGATGGCATAGTGGTATGCTCACTTGCTGGCGCTCACTGGGCGCGCTTCTCGATCTTACTTTTTTCTAAGTCTCCCTTATCGTGCTTGGGGCCTCGGTAGCCAAGTCTATGATGACATTACTAGGAACAAGGGGAACAATGTTATAGATCCTCTGTTAGTACACATCTATAAACATAGCAAATATGATTTCTGCGCGATATCTTCATCAGACCCAGAACTAAGCTTAGCTCTGTGTCCTATTCAATCTCTGTGTGTAGTATTCCCATACCTAAGTGCCATTAATGTCTTGACTGCCGCGTACTCGCTCTATCTCCTCTTCTGCGTATACCTTTTGACCATACCTACACCAATGATGCGCGCATCCGCCCCACTCCTGTGCTCACTCAAGCTTGGAAGTGCAACATGGATACAGCAATAGAGCTAGGAAGTGTCACTTTCCAATCCTCGGACACGAATTTGAGCCTCCTAATGGAAGCCTCCATGCTCATGCAACCTCATGGGAGAATTCCAGGTGCTGCACGCCATTGGGCTCTCAAACATTGGATTGAGACAGGGATGGTGTGGGTGGCTGAAGGACCAGAGACTAGGTTGAATATGCAGATCAGTGCGCATAGCGCATCGAACATCACAGTCTCCACTTTGGTGCGGGTCATTGGGGAGATGCTCTGCAATTCAAAGGTATCGTGGATATAGATCCTCCACAATGCGGGCGCTACTACTAACAACACTCTCATCTTCAGCTTTGGGTGGACCTGGGCTTAGTCCTCACTTTTAAAAGCTGCGACTATCTCGGCCACAATGACCCTCCGGTCTTCCAGCTGATTTTCGGATTAAAGAGGTCGCTTAGACAGCCCGCTGCCCTGTCAACCGTGAATCGCAGAGTGCCGACAGCTGTGCAAGCACACGGCAATCTTATCCCCCCTCTACACGTCGAGACTATCCGCATGTCCTCAATCGATATCAAATTATATTTTGAGCCTAGATGTTCCGAAGTGCAGCCATATACTCTCGTGTTTCCGATGACCGAGAAGAGAGGCGATGAATACGAAGTATTTGGCATTGAATCAGAAGGATTCAGGGGAGAGCCTGTTCATCGATATGAGCTACTGGGCGACTGGGGCGTCTATGAAGCCCCCGATACCAAGAGTTTCAAAGAAGAACTTGCGGATATGGATGATAGCGATGATAGCACCATTTTAACAAGCCCGCCCTTAGAAAAAGCATGGGAAGCTCATGATACTCACCAGCAAGCGCTGCATTACCTCTTCAACACAGGTATGAGCTCCTTGTTTATCGACGATAGCTCTGAGGAAAGACGAAAAGAACTGGATCTAGAGAATGGACAGATGCAGAGTCTGTCAAGAATGGCACCCCTGCTCTTCAATCCCGGCTACAGCACAGTAAGTTTTTGCCCCAAAGTCGCTATTGGTACCAGAAACTTCCGGTCTGATATTGTTGCAGGCAATGAGCCAACGATCTGCACTGATACCATCGCTCGTCAAATCGATCACATCTATATTGAATCTACCCGTGAATCGTTCTGTCCCACAGAATGTCGACTCTCTGAAGGCTGCATATATACCGGGTGACTTCCCACCAACTGCTGTCGACACCGGCGACGTTCTAAAAGCGGCATTCTGGACACTTGCTCAGAAACAACTCTACAGGGCAGAAGCTTCACGGAAGCTGAGCTTGTTGGAGTCTGCGCTTAGCATGCCAGTCGAAACACACGTCTATGAGTCCTTGCTAGCGCCTGGCTCTGTGAAAGGGCCACCTCATTGGTTTGGCCACACTGCCGAGAAAATCGACATGACTTCGGACTACTACCTGGGCTCCGGGGATGGTTTCGACATTAACAGCGAGTCTCCGGTAGATTCTCTGTTATCAGTCGATGATGAATGTGTATGTTCCGTCACCGATAACTTGTGCGGATCATTTGATGGCATTCAAGCAGCTGCAATGGGCCCGTTTGGGCTGGACCCTTGTAGTGGGGTATCAGGCTCAGGGTCCCAGGAGCTTATGGCTGAAATGTGCACCACCGCAGACTACGATGATATGATGTTCTGATCGTCGTTATTGTTATGATCAGACACCAGTCAGCAAGCTCTGGTAATACGGACAACTGCCATGAATACAGCATTAGATGTCTTGACGCGTCAGCGAAAGCCACACTCATCGCCGTGGAACATTCGCTATAAGTTTGGCCTGAAGATATCAGTTAGGAAGCATGGGTTCAAGTGGAATATTGTTGTTTGCATCAGTGCATTCAAGATCTGCAACTTGTTTCTTTCAGATCGATTGTTGTCCTGCGCCTTGCTTCTCTTTATCTCTGACTGAAATATTTTGGGAGACATCCCTGCCCAACGCCCATCACAATATCAAAACACATGAGTAAATAAATGATAACTGGGTATATCGTGCATCCAATCTCTTCCGAAACAATACAATTGTGTGAAACCTCTGAACACTGCGGGAGCTGCGGGTTCTGCATTTGTCCCACAGTCCTGTTATTGATGGCTTGAAGAACGGTCTCTCAAGAGAAGAGAAGACGCGCATACAGGACAAGAGGTGAAAAGACGATGGGGAGGCGTCCGTCATGAGTCGACTTCGTGGCTGAAGTTGTGATGATACTGGCCGGACCGCAAACCGTTCCCTAATCGATGCGATGTGAACGATGTATGGCATGGGTTACATCGATGTGGTCATCAAGTCACACGTATCTTGCCCAGAGAAGGTAGATGTCGATTTGAAGATGTGACCTGATCCTTAGAATTCTCCTCGCACAAGCTCTTCGACTGGCTGGCGGACTGCCACATCTTCACATTAGAGATTTGTGCCAGGCTGGAGAGCTGGGAGGCATCAAATGCCATGATGAACTTTTGATCCAGCGGCCTTGACTTAGGGAATGAATATGTCTGGTATTCCGCAAGGACATCTTCCATGCGCCAGCCTTGGATTTTGCGAAAGGAGGCAATCACACAGCCGGTACGATGCTATGCAGGTGCCGGTCAGTTGAGCCTAGATGACAGCATCGAATGGCTCTTACCTTTCCTTTGTTGCAGTGGATAAGGACAGGATGATTAGCTTTATTAAGTAATACTTCCAGCACCTGACAAATGACGTAGTCCGGAGACCTGATTGCAGGGTCCTTGTTGGGTTCGACAAGGATACGGAGATGCATGATCCCATTCTCCTTCAAGAAATCTATGTGCTCTGAAGTATAAGGCTCGTCTACCAAAGTGCTAACGGCTTGTGAGCAGGTATCAATCACGCAAGTGGCCCACGTACACTATAGTCCGAAGGCCGAGCTTTTTGAGCGCAGGAAAGCTCCGTGACTGCGGAAAAGCCGAACGGTAGACACCTTTAACAACCTCTCCAAAGTTATCAGGCAACTCCGACTGCATACGCTCATTTCCCATTGACGGTGTCCTGCGACGCGCTGAGTCTACCAAGGTTAGTGCGTCCTAGTAGACAAGAGTAGTGCGAAGATGAACCCAGTCGAAGTCTTCACACGAAGAAGCAATCGGCTCACCATAAACACTTTGCAGAGAACTGTTGGAGCTTTGGGTGGTCAATGGTGAGGTCATTGCGATGGATTTTCAGCGCCCTGCCGCTGCCTGGCTCGTAGCTTTAAGAAACGAGTGAAGTGAGAAAGCCCAGAAGGCACTATCGACTGAAACGACTGCCAGTGCAGAGCCGAGGGTGAATATGGAAGAGAAACGTAGATCTGATACACCGAGAAAGAGGGGATATCCTTCCAAATTTTGGCCAGGCTGCGACAAGACGAAAATTGCGAAGACAGGAGTTGATGGTAGACCCGAAAAGTCTAACCCACAAGCTTCAAGCCCACATGATATTAGAGAATGAAGACATGGTGACCAGTAAGGGGCCAATTTCAAGCGTATCAGGTAGTTAAGTCCGGAACTCGAAGTTGTTGTCGGAGGAGAAAACTACATTCACGCGGAGAGGTAAACAAGGAAAGAGACAAGAGTATGGGGTGGTGCGACTACAGGGTACAGGGCGGTGAGCCAGGGAAAATGAAAATGTCATCAGACAAAAAGCCGATGCGAATCACACTAATCAATTTTCAAAAGAGCAAAGCACATGTGGCGAGCCACCAAGTGCTGTGCAGTAAACGTAGAAAGACCAGCTGGAGACCTGAGGGGCATAGGCTTCTGCTCCATTAAGTATCACGGATCATGCAGGCCACACTTGCCTGTTCCTCCCGGCACATGGAAAAATGGCATGACTCCAGATCTATGTCCCCACCCAAAAAGTTCGGCTATAGCTATTTAGACTCCCGCTGAGCTGCTCTATCATCACGTCAGACAGTTCTGAATGGAAATGATTTGGTGAGATTCCGTGGTTCACTCGACTGTATTCCAAACATCACCCACCCACGGATTCATGATGAGACAACAAAGAATGAGGGACGGAATCTCTTCCGGACACGGATCATGTAGGTTTCGTTGACGATACTCTCGCTCAAGTAGCCTTAGTTTTTCTAACTCTTAGTATCTAGTATTCCAATGCCTGCGGGACAGAGCTTCGTATCGGACAGTGATATTTTGGCGGAATTCATGGTGAATCGACACCAAGACCAAACATGCGAATTGAGTTATTCCAGGCGCTGCTCGTATGATTAGCGACTCATGATAGACCTGAGGGAATTGAAAAGGTTGGTGGCGGGTAAGAAGAAGACGAAGAAGAACTCACGCTTCGCAAACTTCCTCCACGGTGATGCCTTTCACTTTGGCGATGACATGAGCAACGTGAGCAATCGCTGCAGGCTCGTTGCGACCCTTAACCATTAGCCCCTTCTGCCATTTTTCCTTCTTTACGGCTTTTGGAAGCGGCGGGGCTCCTTCAAGATACTTCGCAGACGCATGGGAAGGGCGTATTTCACACTAAATAGCCATCGTTAATCAAATGTGCGATAAATGTCGCATATTCCACATACCCAAGGGCCATCAGTCTCAATCTGAAGCCGTTCCAGTGGAAGGGCCTTGACCACCTCGAGGTTCTCTTCTGTCTTCAGACTGCAGCCGTTGACACCAACATCGAGACCTAGGGCAACCATTCGTTCCATCTCGTCGAGCGTTCCTGTAAAACTGTGCACGAGACCTTTCTTGGGAAGCTTTTCGAGACGAGGCGCCAGAAGCCTCTCGAAATCTTCGCCGGCAGCTCGCGAATGAAGAAATAGCGGAAGTTGGACCTCTACTGCCAAGTCCAATTGGGCTTCGAAATATTTCAGCTGGGGTTCCTTCGCGCTCAGGAAGAGGCGATCGTAATCAAGGCCAAACTCTCCAAAGGCAACAGCTTGGCCCGATGCCTTAGCCTCTAATACGAGCGCCCTCAGCTCCTCTAGCATTTTTGAAGGCCCGCCAGGGAATTCATCGAAGAGCTTCGCTTGACAGGGGTGAACCCCAACCGTAGCGTAGCAGAACCCCGCTGCACAAGGACATCAGTTCTGACACAAGGAGGAGATTATGGGATAAAGCATACGGTAGTCCTTGGCAATCTGGATAGCACGCCGAGATTCCTCCAAGTCGGAGCCTGTCACCATGAATTTCTCGCAGCCCACATCTCGGGCCCGCTGAACAATGTCATCCATGTCATTATCGTGGACTTGCTTGCCATGGTAATTGCCCACGAAGACAGGGTCACTGAGATTGATTCCGATCTATAATTCCAATCAGCTGCTGGACAACATCTTAAGGACATCCAAACAATTTCGGGATGGAACCACCAACATCGACATAGCGGATAGGTTTGCTTGAGTCGCCCATGCTGGTCGAAGTATAAGATCTTCTGTTGATTGCGAAGTCTTTTTCCTTGAATGAACAAAGTGGTAGTCTATATCTATTTCTAGAAATAGTAGGCAGGTTCACAGAGGATCCCCTATACGACACTGCATTTGAGTAAGCTTCACAGCTCCATGATATCATTCAGGGACAGCTCGGGAATGAGTCAGACCTGGACCAAAGCGATGCGCAGGTTTATGATAAGAGGGTTCACGAGCAATGAGACATACCTGATTCGCTATAAATGCTTCGGTGTGGCTGATGGGCACGAGGTCGCCAGCAACCTATAGCAGTAGCGGTGCTCGCTCCGATTGCTGCTCCACGGCTCCAAAGATTTTTACTGTTCCCAGATATCCTGAACAGATTGTTTACACCAAGAGGAGCGTGCATGAGAAAATCAAGAATTATACTCTCCGTTACAGCCACAAATCTCACGAAAGGATCAGTAGTGACTCAACAATTTAGTTTTAGATATTCAGGAACTTTTGTGCCTGAATTATCTCAGCAGCGCAGACCCTCTGGGCGAGGAACCGTGTTAAAGCCTTTTTGCCTCAGGCATATATTTCGGTGCGTCCAGGTCACGTGGCATGCTGTCATAACCCCTTACACCTAAATGTACCTCGTCACCGTCACATTCCCGCTTTGATTCAGGGCATAGACATAAAAAACTGGTCTGTGTCATATCTCGACTTGGGCTATAGACTGGTCAAATTGTTACAGCTACTATAAGTAATTCGTTGTTGAGGGCCTAAACTCAGGTAAGGTCCTAATGCTGGCATAATGCGTGCCTAACTAGCCTGAGGCTTCTACCACAAGGCGGAATGTTTTCCGCATGCCCGCCGCCGTGTATAGTATCTCCCTCGGCGATGCTCCGTTGTTGTTGGTCTCTTCGGAAAGGATGGACGCACATCGCTGCTCTCCGTTACAGCTACCTGGTACTACTCAAGGCCCCTGAAAAGCACGATTAGCGTGGACCATGTCTAAAGTAAAGGACAGTTTATTTAAGAAAGAAAGAGTGAAGCATTAGGTTCATCGCTGTGATTGATCACCTCTTCTCGGCTTTAATGATGCGGTCAACATGCGGCCAAGGTTACTCCGCATTGATGTTACCCCGAAGCATGCGAATTTACCGATCTGGGGATTTATTACTAGTTTCAGGGTCCTTTCCCTGCTGTCCTTTGAATTTATCTTTTCGAATGGACTGTCTGGCGTCACTCTGCATCGCTCTAGGGTAAATATAAGCTCACACAGCTCCTCCCTTCAAGTCGATCTCTTATTCTTGCATACATAAATATTCGGACTGCTTGCGCCTTCCTAGCTATTGACCTGGCTTATATTCTGTGGATTAGACAATGAGTCCCAAGAATATCTTATCTACAGAGCAGATATCCCAGCATAGGTCACCCGATGACTGCTGGATTGTCGTGGACAATCAAGTATGGGACGTGACGGATTTCTTAGAAGAACATCCAGGAGGGTCGACGAGTGAGTGATTCCTAGGACTGTCTGGTGAACGTCCATCAATGACGCGTTTGTCTTATAGTCATCCTGAAGTATGCGGGTCGTGATGCCACAAAAGCATACTCCGAGGTCCATGCCCCGAATGTGATTAGGACGGAACTGCGACCGGAGAGGAATATGGGTGCCTTGGATCAATCTACTATCGATAATGAATGGCTAAAACCACCGCCCAGTGCAAGTCCGAAGGTGGTGCTCCAGCATGATAAGCCACCGCTGCACACATTAATCAACTCCCATGATTTCGAAACGGTGGCTTCTTCAACGGCCAGCAAGAAAACTTGGGCGTTCTATTCCAGCGCCTCCACCGATCTGATCACACGAAACGCCAACAAATCATGCTTCGATCGCATCTGGCTCAGGCCTCGGGTTTTGAGAAATGTGCGGTCTGTAGACACCAGAACCAAGCTTCTGGGTGTAGACACGAGCCTACCCTTGTTTGTCAGCCCGGCGGCTATGGCCAAGCTCATCCACTCAGACGGAGAACTTGCCATTGCAAGGGCCTGTGAAAGTAAGGGGATATTTCAAGGGGTCAGCCAGATACGTGCCATGACGTATGTGGATGCTGACGAATCCTGTTGCAGGTTTCTAACAACTCGTCCTTCACCCTTGAGGAAATACGAGGGGCGGCGCCATCAGCGGATCTCTTCTTCCAGTTATATGTCAACCGTGATAGGGAGAAGTCGGCATCGCTTCTCCATCAATGCTCTGCCAATCCAAACATCAAAGGAATCTTTGTGACGGTCGATGCTGCCTGGCCCGGAAAAAGAGAGGCGGACGAGCGTGTCAAGGCGGATGAGGATTTGACCGTCCCTATGGCACCCTCAAAGGCCAAGAATGATAAGAAGGGAGGTGGCCTTGGCCGTGTCATGGCCGGCTTTATCGACCCTGGACTGACCTGGGAGGACTTGGCCTGGGTGCGGCAACATACCCACCTTCCCGTGTGTCTGAAAGGCGTCATGTCCGCGGATGATGCCATTTTGGCCATGGAGGCTGGACTTGATGGCATTCTTCTGAGCAACCACGGAGGCCGGAATCTAGACACCAGCCCGCCATCTATCATTACCCTGCTGGAGCTTCACAAGCGGTGTCCGGAGATCTTCGACAGGATGGAAATATATGTCGACAGCGGGATTCGTCGTGGGACGGATATCCTCAAGGCGATCTGTCTGGGGGCAACTGCTGTTGGTATGGGACGGAGCATGCTCTTCGCGGTCAACTATGGCCAAGAAGGAGTTGAGCACTTGATTGATAGTGAGTGTCAGATGCTGCTTGAAAAACATGTGTTCTTTTGCTGATATGATGAATTTGTAGTCATGAAGGATGAGCTCGAAACTGCGATGCGCAATATCGGTATCACTAACCTAGATGAGGCAGGCCCACACCTGGTCAACACGGCCGACATCGACCATCTCGTCCCCAATTCTGCCTCTCACCCTTATGCACGGAAAGTTGCCAAAGGACGACGCTCGAGACTATGAAGCTACTCATTTGGCCTAAGATGGTCTATAGGTATCAGGTGAATTATTTTTTTACTCTTTCACCGAAGTGACAGATGGCTGTCAAAGATACGGAGCACCCCTCATGATCTCTCTTAGGCATAGATTCACTCATCTTAAACTAGCACAGTGAAGTTGTATGAAACGCTCCTTCAGTTTCTCCAATCAATTGTTTGAATGAATTTCTGAAAATATATTCCAGTCAGCCAATTATAGATTGAGATTTAGACTCCCCAAGCCTACCTTCCTGCGAGCTGCTATGGCTCCTGCACTCATCGTAGCTACATTATCAGTTCAACAAACATCTAACAGAATCATTACATTTCTTGCGCATCCCGAGAGTCGCGCTTAGTGGAGTAGCCTGACAGACTTCGCGAACTAAACCTACTCTTCTTGAAAGTGCTCGTCACATGTCCTTAAGGAATCCGCACAACAGCTCGTCCATCTATTTCCGAGCGCCCCAACCGCTCGAGGACCTCATCTATATGGTCCAGCTCATATACCTCAATATGCGCTTTGACATCCCCTGCGACAGCCATCTCCATCAACTCGTCCATTTCCTTCGCGGTGCCAGCCGAATTACCTACTATTGTGAGCCCTAACATGAAAGCCCAATGTCAGTCGCCCGCTCCGATTTGCTCTCCAGAGAGTCTCTAATGATTTCCCTTACCTTTGACAATCATCTCAAGAGGCGTAGCAGGGAGCCGGAAGGGTACATTCGGGATGCCCACACAGACCAAAACCCCCAGACGACGCAGCAAGCTCATACTTTGGATGTACGCCTGTTCGCTATTGGCAGTACATATCACGGCGTGTGCGCCTAGTCCGGACGTCAAGGCTTTGACTTCACGCTCGATGTCGTTCGTCCTGTAGTCTAGAAAACTGGTAGCTCCGTGGGTGAGACAGAGTTGCTTCTTCTTCTCGCCGCTACCGGAAGAGGTATTGAGAATTCTGATTAGCTGGATTTTGGCTCATTGGGTCGCACTTTTGTCCTCAATGCGATATTGGATTTGTGCGTTGGATGAGCAGTTACCTATCGATTGCAATAACTCTGAGTCCCTTTTTGATGGCGATCTGGATGCCCCTATTATGTGTAATGTCAGCCCACTTGATCTAGATCCTAAAAGCAGAGAGACGTTTGAGCTTACATGTGGCCTAACCCGCCGCCTGCGCCCGGGAGCACGATCCAGTCGCCCGGTCGAGTCTTGGTCTTCAGTATCGAAGAATACATGGCGATTCCAGCTATATGTTTGATAAGGTTGTGAGCTATCCGTACTGCAGGGAGAAGGCAGGATATAGACATGACATACCACACAATAGGGGAGCAGCGACATCTGGCTCCAGCTCGGAAGGAATTCTGGTGACATGGTTTGCAGGGCTCACGATATATTCTGACCTCGTATCACTTTGCTTAGCTATAGCGCATGAAACTAGAATGGGTGGACTCATCACTCACGCTGAAAAGTGCCGGGGACATTCTAGATCGTTGCGTCAACCCCACGGACTTGTTCCGAATCAGATAACATACGAAAGGCAACTCACTGCTCCGGCATTCTTCTGGTATGAGCACGCCGTATTATTGATGGCGCATATCTCACATTCCAGACAGGAACTATACAGCCAGCTGTAGGTAGCATCCCCAGGCCGTTAGCTTCCATCCTATTTCTAAACTCGACGAAGCAGTAACCAACCGTATCCCCACTCTCTTCCCCAACCAGTCTTGCTCGTCAAGTCCGCTGCCCACTATATTACATGTTCGTCAGCAAGTTAACTTGATTGATGAATAGCATGGATAATTGCCAACGAGATCCCGAGCCTTTACCTTTCACCACTTTCCCCACGCCTTCATGGCCCGCAACGTCAGTCAACATGGGCGTCTCTCCACGCACACTGTGCAAATCTGAGTGACATACCCCCGAGTATTCCAGCTTAACGAGGATCTCCCCTTCCATCGGCGATGGTACGGGGTGGTCATGTCGGATTTGGAGGTGCGCTGTGGGAGAGGCTCCGGTTGGGGGAAGGACAGCTGCGGTTTGGGTCGAGGGGATATTCATTTTGTCCTTTATGGTTTCCAATTCTACTGTCAGAAAGAGTTCAGCTTTGGAAACTTATCAGATATCAAGGACAGGTTGCGAAAGAAGTTGGTTTTGCCGGGCACTGATGGGCTCTGCGGGGTATTATCATTGGAAATATAAACTTGGGGATGCGATAGGGATTAGATGCGGGGAAGCGAGGAGCTTATCGGGCAGCGGGGGGGAAGTTGAAATGGTAGCCCCTGGGCTTGCGAGTTGGACATCAATGACTACGATCTACCTTAAGATTTCTATAGTTATCTTTTGGGTTGGGTTGAGGGCAATGTAATTAGATTTGATTTGGAGGGTGGTTTAGGTGTGTAGCCTATCTGACGGTGTGGCCGAACCTATCTGTGTGGCCGAGATAACCAGCATCGACGATAGGAAAGATGTGGTTGCTGATTGGCCTCGGAAGTAAATAAGGGCTATATGTCTGCGTGAGAATTAGATAGACCTCATATAGTGATTTGGTTTTATTCTGGCTTGACAGATGTGGATATGAATATTAGAAGGAAGAGTGGGATTTTGATCCTCGAAGATTCGCACCTCAACTAACAATAATATCCTAGAAGAACCACCACGGTATAGAATAGTGCACGAAAAGTGCGTGACATGGACCTGAAAAAGAGCAGACAGCTTGACCTCGGCCAGTCTACCACTTTACTGCTCTAGCTCGAACACCTAGATAGTACTATTCATACCTACATCAAAGCCTTAATCCTCGTCAAAGAATGAATTAAAGTATTATGCGACGTATAACAGATTTCCGGATCAAAAAGGTATAATGTATAAACGACAGCCCTGCCTCGAAAGAGAACAATGTTAAGAAGGCAAAGGGTGACGAAAGAAGCACTCAAGCAAAGCCGGTGGGTCCACTTATGATGATGTGCGGTCTTCCATCCGAATTTGAAATGTGTATCAAAAACAAATCTATGACATGACTTGTATCGCAGCGTCAAGCTCATGCGTTCTCCGACTGAAGTGTTTGCTGTAGGCGGGCGGGTGGTGTTAGTACGTGCAGAAAGACAAGAACGAGCGTTTGCACTTACAACCAGCCAGTCCATGCCCTCGTTAAGACCTTTACCATCAATAGCAGAGCATGCGACAATGCTCCAGTTTCTGTCCCGCAGCTCGCCCAGTTTCAACGCCTCAGAAATCTCACCGGCACCCTTAGCACCCGGCTGGTCCTGCTTATTGGCAAACACCAACAGGGCCGCATCGCGAAGCTCCTCCTCGTTCAACATCGCCGCCAGTTCATCCGCAGCCGTACCGAGTCGTTCGATGTCTGTTGAGTCGATGACGAATATGACCGCAGCGGTGTTGGCATAGTAGCATCGCCAATACGGACGGATGGATGTTTGACCGCCAAGATCCTATAGGAGGACAAGGAGCTTAGTGAAAGTGAAACTCAATCGCAATATTGTTTCCGTGACGAGGAATAGCTGCCGTCCTGAGAATGTTGTAAACTCACCCAAACATTGAAGTTCAAATTTCCATACGTCACCGATTCCACATTGAAACCGATTGTTGGTATCGTCGTAACCACTTCACCAATCTGTAACGAAGGAAACCGTTAATTTCTTGAAAAGTATCGTGAGATGGGTACGAGTGCGCACCTTCAGTCTATAGAGTAGGGTTGTTTTCCCAGCATTGTCCTAGGTGGGTGAGCGAGAGCATTAGCCGCGGAGATAGTCATAGGTAGTAGCGTGACGTCGATAAAACTTACGAGACCAAGAATAAGAATGCGAATTTCTTTCTTTGCCCAGACAAAGGACCAAAGACGTGATAGCGAGCCTCCCATCGCGGAGATTTGGATTTAATCTGATCGTGACGCCGAAGGGGAAAGTGGAGGGTGTGAGACGGAGGAGGTCTCGTCTTCAAGTTGTCTTTGCGGCGGAATCAGGGCGTTGAAGCGGTGGCGGAGATGCGGCGGACACAAACACGACGGACCAGGCCAAACAACGGCGCCAACCGGGACTGAAAGCTGCTCCGTAAGTGCCGAAGTGGACGAAGTGATGGGATGTCTCTGTAGAATAACAAATAGAATCGAAATCCACCGCAACAACTCAGACGAGCGAGGATCGAGAGCTGACTAAATGGCAGTAACCGCCATTGGTCCGCGGTCTCCTGCCGATCGGGCTGGCCCGAGCTCAATATGGGATTGAATGGGGGTGAGAGAGTGTGAGAGAGAGTCGGAGACTAGTTAGAAAGTGTACCGTATCGCTCATCCAGTGTTCAATCCCCTCACTCAGTCTCTCCCTCTCTTTCCGCTTCCTTCCCTGTCCATCCCACGATTGTCGCGCCACAACCTTTTCCTGTCAGAGTGGAATTTCAATATACTACGAATGGGTTCCAAGCCACCCTGATTGTCCCAATCACACCGTCTGCAGACAAAAGAGCCTCGTCACTTAACCTACATCGCATCCCGGATTGTACAGACAACTTTCCGACATGGTTGGCAAAAAATCGGGCAAGGCCCTTCTCCGGGACGAGGGTAGGATCTCATGTAATTTCCAGCCAAACTGTTGTCTAAATGATTAAATTTAGGTCTTGAACGGACGGATAATAACATGGAGCTGTCAAGCTGGCCGCAAATACCTCCCATCAACCAGAAAAACTACTACACGTACGTCCCTACCTTCTCACTGCAGTCTCCTACCTTACGTCGGATCGCTCACTGGTTTTTGTCCTAATAGTGATTACCTCAAGCGCGATGATCAGTACCTGGCATTTCGACTGCAAAATGAGGAGGCGCGGAATAGGATGGCAAAGACCGCTAAAGACAGGGATCGCGCGTTGGCCATGGCCAAAGCGAACGACCTAGGCTTACCTGAACCAGAAGCCGAGGGCGAAGGCGATACCAATATGGAGGACGCAGAGGAGACAACTGCTGAAACGGCGGGCTCGAAAGTAATCGTGGTCCATGTTGGCAGTCAGAACCTTCGCATTGGACTAGCTAGCGATGCTTTGCCAAAGACCGTACCCATGGTCATCGCACGAAAATCCTCAACCAGCGAGTCCGAAGATCGCGAAGAGCCATGTCCAAAACGTTTAAAAATGGACGACGGATCGGACATGGAGCCGGAAAAGATGTTTGGCCCGGAGGTATGACCCCCAACCCTCTGTCCTACCCGCGAGCTATTCTGCTAATGGCATACTTCTGCTTCTAGTTCGCTTCACAATATACGATAATGACGGCGGAGCTCAAGGCTCATATGCGACAAAACAAGCGTCGGACCTTGCCAAACTCAAAAGAGATGGTCATCAATTACAATCGGAGAACAGTACCGGAGACCATCTCAGAGCACAACGATCCCATGCGGGTTGAGTGGACTGAGCTCTCAGACCCTGCCCCGGAATACATTGTGGGACAAGCAGCTTTGAGAATACCCGATGCGTCCAAACCGCGGTACAAATTATATTGGCCCATAAAACAGGGTTGGTGTAATGAGAGAGACTACGACAGCAAGAGGCTATTATTCCTGGACATCTCACTCATCCTCGAGGATGCGATAAAGTCACAACTAGGGCTCACGAGTAAGAAGGACTGGCCCCAGTACTCATGTGTCTTTGTCATCCCAGACATATACGAGAAGTCGTACGTTACTCAAGTGCTGGAAATACTCATGCGAGAATTTGCGTTTGCGCGTGTCTGCTTCATCCAGGAGAGCTTGGCGGCTACGTTTGGTGCAGGATTCACATCTGCCTGTGTGGTTGATATCGGCGCCCAGAAAACCTCAATATGTTGCGTGGAAGAAGGGATGTGCATTGAAAACTCGCGAGTTAATCTGAAGTACGGTGGCCTCGATGTAACCGAGACCTTTGTCAAGATGATGCTTTACGACCATTTCCCCTATGCCGAGATCAATCTCTGGCGTAGGTATGACTTCTTGCTGGCCGAAGAGCTGAAGAAGAATGTTTGTACGATGAATGAGGCAAGTGTATCAGTTCAGGTCTATGATTTCCATCTGCGGGTCGCCGGTCAGGATACTCGGAAGTACACATTCAAGGCCTACGATGAGATACATTTGGCGCCTATGGGCTACTTTCAACCCACCATATTTGACCACGGTGACAAGCTCAAAGGACGGAGGAAACTCATTGCTCGCTCAGTTGATATATATGATGGTCAACCTAATGACCCGACGTCGGCAGCTCAGTCTGACATTCTAACCGCCATTGCTCCCCCTCTCAGCAGCGGCCAAGTAAATGGCGAAGCTCAATCTAATACACTGGAAGTACAGGCTACACCGAGCCGCTCCCAGCAGATCAACGCTCTCAGTCGTGTACAGGAGCTGGATGCCACACCTCGGTCTTCTGTTGCCGGGTCGCCGGGACCAGAGACACTGGGTACACCTCTTCCTGGCGCAGCTACGCCTGTGCCTGTTGGCCAGAGTACGAGCGCATTGCCAAACCGTGCGCCCACTGTCGAGGAGCGCGACGATATCTTACCAAGCTTTCCGCTTGACAGCGCGATCTTGACTTCTATTCAGCATGCGGCTCGTTCTGACGAACGTAAGATGCGAGATTTCCTTGGCGGCATCATGGTCGTCGGGGGCGGAAGCTTGATCAATGGATTCCACTCATACCTTGAAGAGCGTCTCCAGAACCGCCAGCCAGGCTTTGCTAAAGAGATCATGATTGGCACTCCTCCCCGAGATCTCGACCCGCAGGTTGTCGTCTGGAAGGGCGCAAGTGTCTTTGGAAAGTTGAGTGGTACCAATGACAGCTGGATTGGGCAATTAGAATATGACCGACTGGGACATAGATTGATGGCATACAAGTGCATGTGGTCCTACTGATTGCCGCATGATGCCTCGATGTCCTTTTGGCCTTTCGCTCTATTGAATAATGGTCGGTGTTGGTCGGTATCGGGTTATCTATGATATAGGTTACGTTTGCTTTATTATAATCTTGGTCGAAATGCCTTTATCTTAAATTCTTTACTATATTCACAGAAACACTTTTGCCCAAGTATTAGATAACTTCTACTCTTCGCTCTCGCACAATCTAACCTTGAAAAGCGACTTGGGAAGATACCGAAGATACCATATGCAAGCAGGCGCAAATCGCGGACAAACCTCTTTCCGACATCTAAGCTAACCCGAAGCGTCAAGCGGTCACAGGATGCAGAATGTCTCCAACTCGGACAGGTGAGTTTGGCTGTCCTGCGGCATATACTACCAGCCTGCAGTGCATGCTTCTTTCCAGTAATTACATCTTTAATATATCTTAGATGCACATCTGTTCTCGGTCGGATACAGCAGAAGACGTGAACTCAAGTCTAACGCCGGCTCCAAGCCAGAAAACCTAGTGGACGGCATAAATCCCGACCACCTAGGTAAGTCAAACATGCGACCTCGGATCTTCACAATAAGAGCAGCTGCTAATTGACTCTCTTCCAGTGACCAATTACTCGTATACGAGCTTGTCTACACTGAAATTATCGCAAAAACAGAAATCGGAGGACTCACCAGTCGTTATGTCGAAATCGAAGGACAGCAGCTCCTCCGGGGGCTTCCACCAGGAGTACATCGCATCTCTTCGCTATCGCAATGACTTACCCCCGCCGGACATGCCCCCGAAGTTTCTAGAAATTCCTCATGAGGGTCTTCAACGATTTCTCACTCCGGGCTTCACGGCTAATTTGGCCCGCCGTGAGGAGCCTAACATCGATGTTGACGCCGAGGGCGGTATGCCACTCGATTTGGTCGGTATCCCCGGCCTGCATTTGGGCGACGAGAGTGGTACGTTTGTCAATCGCATGCGCATAACAACTCCAGAATGATTGCTGATGGCAGGAAATCTGTAGCGATTATGGCTCCGGAGGACCCAGAACCGCTTGACCCCGCTGATCTCTCACTTCTCATGACACCGGAGCAGCTGAAGAACCCGGCCCCGAAGAACACTAACGTCAGTTTCCTGCGACGCACACAGTACATCTCCGCCGGGCTCCGTGCGCCGGATAGTCCAAAGATTACGACTGTCAGAACAAAGTCGCGTTCCCTCGATAAGGGCCGGTCGCAAGACGATCCAATCTACATCAAGAAGTACCTACAGAAAGGATTTGATATCGCGTACCCCAATAGCAAGCATGTTGGTGAAGATACGGCTAGCAGTATCAAGGGTCACACTCCCACGAAGCTAGAAGTTGATGCGTGGGCTCATCCAGTGCATCCTGATAATCCCAAGTTGAAGCCGGTCGGGTTCTTTCCTCTGCTTCCTGATTTGCAGGGATTTCCTGATCCGGGAGGCTTTGTTCAATTCAAATTTGATAAGACACCCATCCAGGAGGCTTCGAACAAAAGAGACAAGCGCATGGATGTCGCAATTCTACATCCATCGGCGCCAGAGGAGCGCATAGTCGAGGAGCACAGCACGAAGACGGCTCTACACAAATCGAATCCTAGCGTGTATCCAGACCCCGGTCCCATTCCTTGGGACTACGATCTCTTTCTGCCGGAGAAGAAAGAGATGGCGAAGAACGTTTCTGCAAGCCTGCAGCTGTCTAACCCGGACCGCAACAATGAAGACCTGTACACTCACGACGGACCTGACCATACCAAGTTCCACCGTTACGATCGAGTTCGCACATATGCTACCAGTGCCCAGACCCTCAGTGATACTCAGAAGCAACGAGACATTGCGGTGACACTTTTCGATCCGTCTGAGCTGCGGGCGGGACAGCGTGAAGGCTTGTCCGCGAGACAGACGGCTGCCTACTACTATCCTATTCTTGGAAAGACACGCTTGAAGCCCGAGAGAGCCCGAACCATTGCACAGGCGGGTCTTGCTCCAACGCGTCCCAAGACGAAGGAAGATCAAGTCGACCAGATGCAAGTCGTCATTCGCGATCCGGACGAGGCAGAGGTTTACAAACGGGCTCAGCACAGACTTGCTATTGACCCGAAGTATTCGAAGAGTATGCCGCCGACTCCAGAAGAGCCCGAGCCAGAAGCCACCAAAGATGAGGACGAGGTTGATGCTTCTGGTCACCGCGAGGCAAGCGCTGAGCGGCAGCCGACTCCTCACGACGCTGACGAGGATGATGACATGAGCGATGAGTGAATCCACGACCATATACGCTCTTCTTATCGTTTTTGTCCCTCTTCTATTCTACCACCATTCTATCCACGGTGGCAGTGATAGCTATATCCATCACGCCCCGGCCCAATCATCCTCGAGTGTGCACTGCAACTGCTTGCATACTCTTCATGTGTCACAATACAAGACTCTTTGGTTTTTTCACCAAGCCTTACTGTCTTCCGCCACATCGGATGCTCACAGCCTGTGCGAAGCAGCTGAACGCGCTCCGGATGGCTGAGACAAAAATGAAGCCATGGTAGCAAAAGCACGGGCGTTGCGAAGTGGTATAAGTGATCTTGGAGTTTTGAAACATAGCGAAAGTTTAGTTCAGTTCCGGTTGGGTTCCCAACCTAATCTTCTTTTCTGGGGTCGCATTCCTCTTGCATTCGCCGACGTTTCGCATCTAGGATCTATATAAGTGATGGGCAGAGGCAATGCTGGTAGGGCTTGCGGCCACAACATGTATTATCCCGTAAATACCTACCTTTCGTTAATTGAACATGAAATTCCACGTGCTGATGTGTTTTGGTACAATCTCGCTCCTCCCCGCCAATCCTTGCTATAAGAACTGCACACCGCCCCACTCTCCTCTCCGTCAGCGCCATCATATTCTGCCGGTAATAATAATCCACCGCCCCAAGCCCGTCCGTTGTCGGCTTCGGTTGACGCAAAAGACCCGGCCGGATATCCTGCATCCATTGGCATTCCCGACCTCTCTCCCGACTCGGGACTTCTCGTTTTTTCCTCGTGAGTTAGTGATTTGCTACTCAATTTTTGCCCTATTGAAATACTCGTCGCTTCTGCCAGGAGGGCTTCCCCCAATTGCGACTGACTGACGCAACTTACGCTGTGGTAAGTGCATCTGCCTTTTCTCCCTACATGCGGTCGACGGATGGTTCCACCCTATTTTCGCGGGAACGGGAAAGAACAGAAGGGAAAGGAAGAATCTATGCATTGGCGTAAAATGTATCGTCTTGCACGTGCAGAGATAACGTCACTTGGGGATGGGAATGTGCATTTCATTTCAATTGTTATAATGCATTCGATTGATCAGTCCATTGCATCCTCATCCTTTCATACCCACCACCCACGTCTCCAAGATTCCCCTACAATCCCGCACCGCATATCGAATATCTCAGCTCAGGCATAAGAACCTCTTCCCCTACTACCTCCTGATGCCATGAACCTGGATCAAGCGTCTCAGTATTAATCATTCTAAAGAACAGCCAACCGACTAATCTCATTCCTTGCGCAGCCCCATCTGGACTTGTGAATCTTCCTAGCAAGAGCCCATACCACCGAATCACGTTATACCTTCACTCCCAAGTCCTCCTCAGAAGCCAAACTCACGTTACAATGGCCGCCAACGCAGTCTGGAGGGCCTCAAGAGCCCGCGCGCTCCCGCCTTCTCTGCGCCTGCAGTGTGCAACCCCATCGCCTGCTCCTTCCTCGATGTTCTACCGGCGCTTGACTGCATCCCCGGCGCAGGCCATGCGCCAGGCGCGATTCGCTTCGTCACGAGAGAAGGCCACGGAGGCAGCGGTGGAGGCCACAGAGTCAGCTGTAAAGGAGAACGCGCCCAAGGTGGCGGAGACGGTTACCCAGGAGGCACCTAAGAAGGCTGGTCGCGGGCTCAAGAGGACGGTGATCGGGACGACGTTGGCGGTGGGTGTGCTCGTGGGCTATGTCTATGCGACGGACACCAGGGCCAGTGTGCATCGTTATGGGGTGGTTCCGTTGGTGAGGATGTTGTTTCCGGATGCGGAGGATGCGCACCATTTCGGCGTGGATATCTTGAAGACGCTCTACAAGTATGGCCTCAATCCGAGAGAGAGAGGTAACCCGGATGGAGATGGGTCGTTGGTGACGAAGGTGAGGCTTGGTTTTTCTGTTTACTCTCGGTGGAATGAGGGTGTACGGATAGTGGTTTGCTGATCTTATTCGCTCACTAGGTGTTCGGATATACCCTGTCCAACCCCATTGGTATCTCTGGAGGACTGGACAAGCACGCTGATATCCCGGACCCACTATTCGAACTCGGACCTGCAGTTGTCGAAGTCGGTGGAACTACTCCTCTGCCGCAGGATGGTAACCCCCGCCCGCGCGTGTTCCGTGTCGTCTCCCAGAACGCCATGATTAACCGCTATGGTCTCAACTCCAAGGGTGCCGACCATATGGCTGCCGTGCTTGAGCAGCGTGTCCGCGACTTTGCTTATGCCAATGGATTCGGAGACCACGCCCTGGCCGAGCAGCGCGTTCTCAATGGCGAGGCCGGTGTGCCCCCAGGCAGTCTGCGGCCCGGCAAGCTTCTTGCTGTGCAGGTGGCCAAGAATAAGGTCACCCCTGACAATGATATTGAGGCCATCAAGCGCGATTACGTGTACTGTGTGGACCGTGTTGCCAAGTACGCCGATATCCTGGTCGTGAACGTCTCAAGCCCCAACACTCCCGGTCTCCGTGACCTGCAGGCCACTGCTCCCCTGACAGCCATCCTGAAAGCTGTGGTTGGAGCTGCAAAGAGCGTCGACCGCACCACCAAGCCCTATGTCATGGTGAAGGTCAGCCCTGACGAGGACGCAGACGAGCAGGTCTCCGGCATCTGCGAGGCTGTCTGGCGATCCGGCGTCGATGGTGTGATTGTTGGAAACACCACTAACCGTCGCCCTGATGCTCTCCCCAAGGGCTTCACCCTACCGCCTACTGAGCAGGAAACCTTGAAGGAAACGGGTGGTTACTCCGGTCCTCAGCTGTTCGACCGGACCGTCTCCCTCGTTGCTCGTTACCGGGCGATGCTGGATATCACCCCAAATACTCCTGAGCTGATAGGAGCCGCTGCGGAGGCCACCACGACCGTGACACAAGTTGAGCCTGACACGGAGAACGTACCGCCGGTCGAACCTCCCAAGCCTTCGGACATTCTCCCCCGGAAGGTCATTTTCGCATCTGGCGGTGTCACCAACGGCCAGCAGGCACAGGCGGTTCTGGATGCCGGAGCCTCGGTCGCAATGATGTACACGGCAATTACTTACGGCGGCATGGGAACAGTCACGCGCGTGAAGCAAGAGATGCGTGAGGGTAAGCAGCAGCAGCAGCAATAGCTATGTCAAGGAACACGAAAGGGGGGGAGCACTTGGCGACGTTTTGAGTAGGGCACTTGTCCATAGAAGGAGATCCCGGGGCACACCCGTGACTGTAAATAGAATAAAAGCAACCGTTAGACTGTCAATAGTCCCACCGAGCCGGGGAGCGGAGGAATGCTTGAAGATATCCACAACCGCCGCATTAAGCAAGTGGCAGGAGGTCAGGTGCCCCCACGTGTTCTTTTTTTTTTTTTTTTCTTCCGTTGCACGGGACCAGCTCCGCACAGCTCGATGTGAGTCCAGAACCCCGGAACGACCAAGAACAACCATCCCGAGAACGAACTGGAAGAGTTGGAGACTATCAAGTCAATAACATAACCACCCTAACAAACCCGGTGGAGAAGCAGCAGACAATCTCGGCATTGCCTTTTAAAGAAAACCCCAGCTTCGAGTTGCATATTTTGGAGTCAATTCGTATCGTGTCAGGTCAGGTATCAATTCTGCCTCGTACTGCGACTCCACTCATTGAATGGAACTGATCTAACGGGAAACACTCTGTTGGTGTCGCATGATGCTAATCTCGCGGGGCCATCGACTTAATCAATTCTACACACACACACACACACACTCACTCACTCACTCACTCAGGCTAGCATCTCCTCGACCTCGCGGACAACCTTGCGAACACCATCGATCTCGTGGGCGAACCTCCCCAGGAACATACCATCGACGGCCTTGCCCAGACCGCCCGCGCCCCACAGGCCAGGCCCGGCACTTCCCCCATAGAGAATGCGGACCTCACCCCCGGCCGGCTGCCCCGCGCGGGCGCTGCCAATCACCGCCTTGATGCCCTCCACCACCGCCGCAATATGGTCGACGCCCGCGGGGGCGGGCTTTCCGATCGCCCATACCGGCTCATAGGCAAAGATCACCGGCGCATCGGATGGAATGGCGTTCAGCACCGCGCGGATCTGGGCCTCACATTCTCGAACAGCCAGGCCCACGGCCTGAGAAACCACAGGGCCAGGGGCGGTGATCTCGCCGATGCAGACCAAGGGAACCATGCCATTGGCGCACACGGCAGCAGCCTTGCGGCCTGTCTGCTCATCTGTCTCGCCGAAGATATCGCGCCGCTCGGCATGGCCGAGCTCCACGATGGAAACACCCATAGCGCGAAGGGCGAGCGGCGACACCTCCCCGGTGTAGGCACCCTGAGATTCCCAGAAACAATCCTGGGCGCCGAGCAGGAAGGGAGATTTGCCCTGTTGGGGTAACGTCGTTTCCCACTGCTTGATGATCTCCGCGCAGGGGTAGATGGTGAGGAAATCGGGGATCAGGGCTAGCAGAAGCTTGGACTGATTCTCTGGTCGGACGATGTCATTTTTGGGGTCGAGCAAGGCACGGCAGTAGTCTATTGTTCGATCTGGAGTGAAGTACATCTTCAGCGAGATGATGAGGAGGTTCTTTGGGAGCACAGGGTACGTCATGGTGGTCGAGAAATTCGGTGTTGGGGAATGAATTTGTTGTTGCTGGTGATGCTGTTGTTGCTGTTGTGATAGTTGAAGATGCAGCTAGATATGTGTTAGTTAATTTGGCTTGGATCTTTACAGCCACACCGAAGAACCGAGTAATGGGTCTACTATGCTCGAATCAGGGTTGAGGCGTGGGGTTCCCAGCATTGCTAGGTAAGCGGACACCTACCTAAATCTACAGAGCGTCAGTATCGGAGCAATCGGGTCGCAGGATGGGTTGGATTTAGTTGTGGATAACTGGGGTGAAGGATGAAGTGGGTGGGAAATGAGGGGTTGGCAATGAGGGGCACGGCCCGGGTGGTACTGATTAGTCCTTACCAGGAATGCATTGCAGGTCTCAGCTCCAGATTAGTCTCGGCGAAGCAATCAATATCATTGAAGCCTGGAAAAATTCCTGGAATGTTTGCGAAACCGAGGACCTGGGACAGAGCCAGCTAGAGCTGGAGGGAAGAAATGTACGTGGTGGGTCGCGACTCGCACAGCATATTGTACATAGTCTTTTGTGCTAGCAAAAGACGGCAGGTGATGTCAGAGTACTGAAACCTGGGACAACCCAACCACATTATGAAGGGACACTGTGTATACTCGAATACCCAGCATGGAATTCTCTCTGCCTTCGTATACCTCGCCTTGAAGAAGGAGAGAATTGAAGGGTTCAGGGAAGCCACCCACCGATGCAAAATGGTGGCACGGCAGAAAGGAGGGGTTGATCAGCCCTGGTCTTTCCTCCCCGAGATGGTGGCTTGCAGCCTGGCTTGAAGGACAGACTTGGAACTGGAAGAGATGGAAAGATACAGAATCGATCCAAAAGACTGGAATTGAACTCGTACCTGGCTGGTTTTCTGCGATTACATGATACAGGGGGTGGGCCAGGCCTGGAACAACAAGCGGCAGGAGATGGACGAGGTAAACTGCTCACTGAATGCTGAAGTAGAGACTAAGGAACTGAACTCGACATTGACAGCTTCGAACCGATCGGACGTGGGGCGGTGAGTGGGGATTCAACCATGCAACCCACATCTCCACTACAAGTAGTACGATAAGTCTGTAATTGATAGCTATCTCCGTAGAGTCGAACAAATTGTGGCGTCGGGACACATCATTACACGGACTAATCATTAACACGTATGGAGTAGCATATGCATCTGCAGAACTCTCCTGGTTGAAGCGTTCAGTCTATGCCGCTGGGTGACATTGTCCGGAAGCTCCTCAACTTTTGGTTGACTTCAATAATGGCGCACAAAGACTACGTTCGACGACGCAAATAGTTCCGTTTGCTGGTTCCGGTTTCTCCCCGGCCTGTCTTCCCAGGTATGTGAGTAGGCGCACGCTGATAGGGCGAACAAAAATCTCGCGTTGTCTGTACTCCCTCCATGCTCTTATGGGTTTAACACGATGTTCCCAATGCAATCAAACCACGGCAGTGCGATGCCGTCGTAGCCAGGCACAGAGTCTGAGCCGCGCGTGTCATCGTTAGACTAGTAGGACAATGATCGAAATTCGTCTTTCAGCAATACAAGTGTTAGAGAGGAGATGATCAATCGTCAGCACTCCGACAACCGGCTGCGCGTTGATGGTTAGGATACGTCGATCCACATGCCTCACACCCCTTCAATTCTTGATGTTTTTGGGTTGTCCTGCGAGCCACTCAAGCGAAGGATAAGGATAGATATCAATGGTAGTTTAGTGATACGTAGCGAGTCGTGTACTTCAGAGGCGTAATCGGACAAGTCAGGACAGGAAATCCACCTTCTAGTAATGATAGATAGGGGATGTCGGCCGGTAAAGGCGCTATCCGAGTCCGGTTAGTCTAATCTGGGGATGATCGCTGATTTCCAAATTACTTCCACCAGAAGAACAACATATTTGCGGCTGGAGCAGAACCAGCAATAGGCTCGTTACATCATGGAGATGATTCAATGAGAGAATCTTGAGATGAACATTACTATTGAGATAGGAGGACCAGAATCATTGGTGCCTTGCTGATGGACCCCGTCATAGAGCCGAGGACAATAGACCGGGTTGATAGCCTGACGGCTATGAATGGATGCAACGCCGGGTTTCCGAATTCAGACGAATGGTGGTTTGCTCAACTGGGATTCAGCAAGAAAGTGCTAACAACTAAGGTGCAGGACACACACAGGCTTCGGGACTCTCCCTTTCCCCGATAGCCCTGTTCATGACGCCATGGTGGACCTGCTGGAACCAAACATTCACATTCAACCAGCATCCCACCCCAAACAGACTTCTTCGGAACAATCGGTGCTGTGGAGAGCCTAGCCGTCCTTTTTCGATGTGCGCGCGTCAGATATTAGTTTCGTTTGTACAGTAACTGCACCACTGGCAATGTCCTGGGTGCACCCGATGCAGTCGTTGCCTCTGATTGGAGCCCCTCATCAATCACCAAACTTTGAGACTAGAGAGGTACGCACGGCTCAGCCTGCATTTTGTTCGGATCTGAAGGGAAAGATTTCGAGAAAAGGGCCCAGTAGAGGAAGATATAAAGGTTGTTTCGACCCCAGGCCCAAACGATATTTTTTCATCATTATTCCATCATCCTCCCCTGCCCTTCATCAGACGAACTTCACGCCTATTCCATCCTTCCCCTTCACGAGAACCATCCAGTCTTTATACTCCACCTACTACTCCATCTAATATCCACCATGTCTGCCGATCTGAAACCTCTCCGCATTGTAATGGCCTGCGACGAGGCCGGGCAGCCATATAAGGAGACCCTCAAGGCTGCCTTGGAGAAAAGCTCGTTGGTCGACTCCATCCTAGATGTTGGTGTCAATTCCACCAGCGACAAAACCGCTTATCCCCATCCTGCCGTTGCTGGCGCCAAACTCATCAAAGAGGGCAAGGCAGACCGTGGGCTATTCATTTGTGGAACTGGTCTCGGTGTCGCAATCTCTGCCAACAAGGTGCCCGGAATTCGTGCGGTCACAGCCCATGACTCTTTCTCCGTCGAGCGCTCTATCCTCAGTAACGATGCTCAGGTTCTTTGCTTCGGCCAGCGCGTTATTGGCATCGAGCTCGCAAAGAAACTCGCCAGCGAGTGGCTGACCTATCGCTTTGACCCCAAGAGCGCTTCCGCCGAAAAGGTCCAGGCTATTTCCGACTACGAAGCTCAGCTGTTCGGCGAAGCCGCTGCTGCTCAGTAACCGACGTTTCAGATGCTCGCATCTTGAAACCGCGATCATCGAAACAAGAACGAGTTCTGTTGCGATACCTCACCAACACCCGTCCTAACACTCTGTCGGAATCCCCCCCGACAGCTGAGGGAGGCGAAATCTTCTCCCCGACTACAACTTTCGAACCAAGCGACTTGGTTGCGGACTGGATCCGAACCTATCTGATCTTGAGCACATAAATACTTCAAAAACGAATTCAATGATACCACGAGATGAATGAGATGATATTGGCTGCCCAGTCTTTCTCATTTCGCCCTGGCTTTAACATGGGGCGATTAGGGTAGAATGGAATACAATATGTGACCTGAGAATTAAATTGACACCACGTAGCTGGCACTTTGTCTATCGACTGTGTTCGAATGGACCTGATACTTGTATCGCCCCATCGTCTTGGTTCTCATACATTTTACCCCATACTTCTGCGGCTAAGGTGCTGACTCATCTATCGTTCTGCGGGGGTCGATCAGCTTCGATTTGCAAACGACAAGAGCAAGTCACAAATACATCAAGGGTCTCTTCTACCTCAACAATGGCGCTTAAACCTCCTGGTTATCCCTGTTTGTCTTTACCGACGGACGCAGTGTTAATCTGCACCTCCTCGGTAGAAATTAGTGTCGAAGTTCTTTTGCGTTATTACCACGAGACATCGACTGAGGGTGCTCTTTGTCGCTCGCGTGTCTTACCATCCAAGCGACCCCCTATTTAGGCCTCCTTCAACACCATCGCTTGTATACATGAGATAGAAGCATCTTTAGAACTTCTACCGTCGTTCCATCGGATCCCACCACCGCATTAGCTCCGCACCGAGCAGTGGATCACCGGTAGACTGGGCCCCACCAGAAACCGATCGCTCCGCTCAATTACTCATTCGCCGGCACCAACAAAAATAGGGACCAAACACTCTCACCACAGACTCTTGAGATTTCGCATTGTCCATCTTCTGCTGCGGGCCCGGTCGCGAAACTCACGTCCACCTTCGGCTATCTCTATCCCTTGTCCCTTCGGCCTGTTGAACCTGTACACGACGGCACGTCTACATCTCCACAATGTCCTTCGAATTGAAAGAGAAGGGCAATCAGCTCTACAAGGCGGGTGACTACACCGGGGCGGAGGAGATGTTTTCCCAAGCGTGAGTTTCCCCTGGTTGCAAGGAGAAGTTTCGCGGCCCATCTCATCTTGGCTATATTCCCTCGCATACCGTAACACAAGGACATTTACCAACTAAGTAACCTGCCTCCAGGATTCAAAAAAATCCGTCAGAACCTACATTCTTCTCCAACCGGGCTATCACCCGCATCCGCCTCGAGAACTGGGCTGGTGTCGAGCAAGACGCGCGCGCGGCGATCGAGCTGTACGGCCCGAAGAACCCTACCAGCCTGAAGAGTCGATACTATCTGGCACAGGCACTGCTGGGGCTGCAGCGGCCGCAGGAGGCGCATGAGGTCGCGATCGAGGCGTATCAGGCGAGTCTGGCGGCCAGGAATGCGCAGTCGGAGAATCTGTCCAAGACGGTGTTGCGCGCGAAGCAGCAGATCTGGGCGGCCAAGGAGGCAGCACGTGTGCGCGAGATGAACGGGACCCTGGCGAACGTGGAACGGTTGATTGAGGCGGATCTGCAGAGAGAATTGGATGACCTCCAGGGACAGTTGGACCGCGGGGAGATCGGCCAGATTGGGTTCGTGGAGGATCAGAAGGCACTCCGGGAGGATGCGGACAAGACGCTCCAGGTGGTACGGGAGACATTTGCCATTGCGTCGAAGGGAGAGGTTCAAGAAAGGGTGAGTTAAGCGGTACCTGGTCGGGGTTGCGGTGCCGCCAGCCGAGGCAACAGGGAACATAGAAGCTGACGTTGTGTGACTACAACCAGGTCGTACCCGATTATCTTATCGACCCGATCACGTTCGAGATCATGCACGATCCGGTGATCACCCCGTCGGGGACCAGCTTCGAGCGCGTCGCGATCACTAAGTATGTGGAACAATCCAAGGCCGACCCGATCACGCGTATACCCATGACGGTGGATGACCTCCGGCCCAATTATGCGCTGAAAGGGGTATGTGAGGAGTTTTTAAACAAGAATGGATGGGCGGTCGATTGGTAGTCTTTTGTGCATGTGCTTGAACATATGCATCTTTTATTGAGCGGCCGTTGTCAAGTTACAAAATGGTTGGGCGTTGGTGGGTGGATAAATCAAGCCGCTAGAGCTGTTTCTTTTGTCGGTTTTTCCATATTCATGTCTTAATATATAGCATTTCTAGATCATAGCCATCACATCTGTTTCCAATGAAGAGTTGAACACATCACTTGACAGGACTCATACCATGACTTAACTTCTACCAATTAACTATCCACCTGACAACTTGACCAGAATCCCAACGATCCCCTCTCCTCTCCGAACCTCAACCCCACCAAAACCAAACCAAACCAAACAAACAAAGTCACTCCCCTCCCACCCCCCCACCAACTAACCCCTCGATCAATCCATTACCCCCCCGTTCTCCTCCTCTCCTCTTCTCTCCTCCTTTCTACACCTCTTCAATTCTCCATCTACTCCTTTCTATCACCCTTCAAAACCCATCAACCCCACCAACCCACACACAATGTCCACCCCGCAGTTCACCACCGCGCTGTCGAGCGCCCAGTCCAAGGCCAAGTTCACCCCCGAGGTGCAAGCCGCAGCCGAGAAGGTCAACGCCGACGCCCTGACCTCGGCCGTCGAGGCCGTCCTTGCCGGCGACGACGCCGCCTCCGTGTCAGGCGAGCAGGCCGACGCCCTGACTCAGGGCTTCGAGTTCGCCACTCTGCTGGTCAAGCAGCTGTCTTCGGAGCCTGGCAGCACCGAGATGTTGAACGTATGTTCCTACCTTCCACCCCCTCCTACGAGACTGCTATTGATAGACATGAAATGCTAATGCCACCTTTTCCTATACTGCAGCTTTACAAGTACTTCAAGCGCGCCAACAACCAAGAGCCTGCTAAGCCTTCCATGTTTGCTTTGGAGGTCAGTTTGTTCTCTTTCCTACTTATATCCCCTGGGTTGTTTTCTTTCTTGGTTGTGGCGGGAGGGTGATGCTGTTTTGCATGTGAGGTACGAACGTGGGGCTAATGAAAACACGCAAATGATAAGGCCAAGTACAAGTACCAGGCCTGGGAGAGCATCAAGACCATCAGCCAGCAGCGCGCTCAGGCTCTCTACATCAAGGAGGTCGACACCCTCATCGAGAAGTACGGTACCCGCGATTAGAGCACCGCATGACAAAGATATCATACTTGGTTATGAGATTTGGCCTGTTTAACTTTTTTTTGGCTTGGTTCACCCCCCGGCCGTCATTTGGCCTATGGTAGTCGAATGAGTTCTGTATTCCATCATGCAATGTTATGAGCGAGCATCATCTTTGTGCCCGTCTTGTCGTCGGGCCGAACACAGAGAAAGGAAATGATCAAGTGTATAGAGCTGGTGATGATGCGGTTTCTTTGGTAACTCTATATACTGTTGGGGTGGTTTTGGTTCAAGCTGAAGTCGCTCAGCCATCCCATGTCTGGCCTAGCCAGTCGGGCTCGCTATAGCTGGCTGTTGCGCACCAGGGGATGTCTTCGGGACTGTACCGCGTCAAGGGGAGATCGTATGGCATTCGGAATCCGACTGTCACGGCGGCGTCTGCATTCGCAGCGGGTGTATCCGTTCGGCAGCACGGCACCATCACTGATTTCGCAGTGTCCGTGTCCGTGTCAGGTGCAAGCCCGGCCAATAACTCCGGCCACACCACCACCCCAATCTCCCAGCTGCAGATCCGCACTTCCCCGTTCGCATTCACGGCTGTACCCCAAGCCTGCGTAGACAGATTCGCCGACGTGACCATCGCCCAGTCGATTGTGTTCATCTCCTCCGTGGAGAACCGGATGTATGTTTTGATATGCGGCGCCGCACGTCGCCGACCCGCCTCCCGCCGGGGCTCGGCCGTTTCGATATCATCCCCTGCCCAACGGCACAGGAAGGGCCGCATGTACTGCAGCTGTTTCTGCTGAGCCGCGCTTTGTAGCTTCATGTGGATGGAGCCACCGGACCCGTACCCGTTCAAGGAGCGTCGGATCTCATCCGGAGTAGGGAAGATGATTGAGTACTGGGATTTGGGCCCTTCTACCTTGGGCGCCAGGGATGCGAAAAAGACATCCTTCAGCCACTTATCCGTTTGTCCGAGCGATGCTACCGAGGATATCTAAAGCATATCAGTACCGCCACATCCGTGCCAAACGTGCATTTCTAGACATGCGTCAAAGAAAAAACCCACCTGGACAACAATCTGCGGCCCTTTCAGACCCGCTTTCCCATTTCGCTGACTATCCTGCGAGGAAGTAGATAAAGGCACCTTGCTCAGCACATCCCTCAACGCAATCCATCCCCAAGGCGTCTTCCGCGAGTCCGTCTCGCCAAGCTTCTGCTTCGACGGCACACTGGCAACAAGAGCCGCGCGGACGGCCCCGAAGTCATACCGCGCGAGTTGCCGGACCAGCGCGCCCGTCTTCTTAGTCCCATACTCATTCAAATAAGCCAGTAGATCTCGCTTGAACCTGGCCCCTGATCCGGGAACATGCTGGTCCGTCGTGTCGTCCCCCGCGCGCAGCGGAAGAAGAGGCGATCGCCAAACGGCCTGGGTCATATTTGCCCAGTCGCCCGGGATCATATTGGCCGTGTGAATGACAACCCTAGACAAATTAGATCTCGCACGTAGCATGAGGGGGAGAATACCGGAGAACAAAAAAAAACATACTGAGCACAATCATCGTGCCGCAACAGAATCATCATCTTGGAATGATGCGTCCCGAACGCTTCGGGCATGTAGGCGACAATAGCCTCTACATTCGGATATCGATCACATGCTTCCTGGAGTGGGTGTGTGTGTGTGAGTGTGAGTCCGTCCACCGGGGAAAGCTGCATTACGCATTACAAGTAGACAGGGAAGAGCAAATCGATCCTCACTTACATCAATCCGCACCCGATTGGGCGCCTCTCTCTTCCATGATCCATGCACCACCTTCAATTGGATCAGGGAGCGCACGTCCTCGTCGAACTGGCTCATCACGAAATCCACATCGTGGAGGTAGTTGAATTGCCAGCATTCGCGGATCATGGGGTCCCCTAGGATGTCGCGGAGACGGACGGCGTCGACATTATTGCCGGAGGAGGGCGAGAAGTCGCGGATGTGGGTGAGCTGGATTGGGGAGCGGAGGGTTTGTGGGTTGGGGTTGAGTGGTTGTGCTTTGGTAGGGGAGATGTTCTTGGCTGAGCGGGATAGTAATGGAGGTGTAATGGAGCGGTGCAGAGATGCTAGGGGTTTGGTGCTGGTGTCCGCGCTATTGTCCCGACTACTAGATGCGTCTTGCTCGCCAGGGCCTTCATGCTTTGTAGTGTTATTTGAAAGTTTCGCCCGTTTCGAAGGACGGTGAGGTTCGTCCATCGTGGGGCAGACTCGATAGTAGAAAGTTGGAGAAGTGAAGTTGGTGCGGAGAAGGAACTTTGAAGGGGAGGACGGAACAAACAGTCGGGGCCTGCAACCGCCGCGATGAGCATTATGTTCCTGTGTAATTCTACGACAACGTTCCGCAAGTTCAATCGAGAGGTAACCAAGATGAAATCTATTTGCATCACTAATAATACAGTTTTCTACATGTGGCACTTCTATCATACACCCACCAAACGGCCTGGAAAATCACCACATGAACCGCTGGACCTTCCCTGGTTCCTGTGGCCATTCGAAGCCACAATACAAGAAAATGTACCCCGTCACTGCATTGATAACCAAGAACCAGTATGTTTCCAAGAACAACGGAAAGTTGGTGGCCATCTTCGCATTGAGTTCATCAATGCCATTTTGAGGACGCCGATGCACCAGCGGTGTCGGCTGGGGTGGCAGATGGAGACGCCACATGACCCACGGGATGATAAAATACCGTGGCTCAACCAAAGGAGCAGTGACAAGGGAGAGTGCCGTGGCCGCGAGCCAGACGAGCACGAAGCTCACCTGCGGTGCACCTTGCTGTTGCTTCTGGCGCGTAATGAGGTGGGCCTGAATCTTGAGAAATGCCTCTTCCGAGATGGGCTCCGGCTTAGGCACTTTGGCAGGTTTCTTCGACGTCTTCTGTTTGCGTTCCGGCTTCTTCTCCGTAGGCTCTTTTTGTGCTTCGGGGTTCTTCCAGGCTGCAGGCTGCGAGATCTGCTTCAACTGTGGGGGCTGAGGAGCAGTGGAGAACCCGAGAGCAGAGATCACCATCCACGCGCAAAGGAAGTAGACGACAACAGCGGCGTACTTGACCGCCGGATGAGTTCGGAGGAGGATTCGGAACGCGTAGAAGACGTAATGGCGGTTATCAGCTAGCGTAAAGGGATGCACAATGGTGTTGAAGTGCACCACAGCCAGCATGATTGGGATTATAACAAGAGCTGTCAGCAACTTCGGGAAGCCCTTCTGTTTCTGAGGAAAGCCGAAGTCGATGAATTTCGGAAGGAGGGACTTAGGGAGAGCCAGGTTGATGACTGGTCCAAGCAGTAGTGGCCAGGAGAAGAACACAATATAGGGCCAGATATAAAGCATCTGAGGCAGATGGATGCCGGCAGTGTGAAACTCCTTATGCCCTGATAATGGTCAGCGGGCTACATGAGGCATATAGGAGCCAGGAAAACTCACCTAGAACAACTCCATCGTTCCACAAGACAAACGCTCCGAATCCTGCAAGTATAAGGAGGTACGGAAAGGCCGAACAGATGACGGTGCCCAGATTACCCACGGCAACCGTCAGCAGCGAAAGAGAGGTTTTGAAGTAGTCTTGGAATATTAGCGGAGCCAGCAACAGCTTTCCAGGACGAAAGCCCACCTGCAATAGAAGCCTCGGAGACGAGTGGGTCGTAGAGCTCATTCCTCCACCCTTGTTGAGCAATATCCGCGAAACCCGACGACCGACACTGCTTGGATTTCAGTCTCAATTGTCGAACCACCTGCAGTCCACCCAAGAAGATGGCCACCCAGAAAATGTTGGTTTGTCGAAAGGCCAGCGCAGCCAGTCCTAGCATGACAAAAACCACGGACTTGAGCAGAGCCGATGCACCATCCGAGGAACGCTTGAGGTCCCAGTTGTATGCTTCAACAACCACAAGCAAGGCAAGGATATCGGTATAGTACAGCCCAGAGAAGAAGAAAATCGGCGGAAAGAGACAGATGTTCAGCACAGTATGGCTAAGCCAAGCTCCAGAAGGACGGGTGTTGCGGGTTTTGCGCAGTCTATCCAGCAGTGTCTGCAACCGATATGGTAGCGCAATCGCAGTAGCTGCCACGTTTGTCGCGCGCAGCACTTCCGGCGTAAGCTCCGTAGGAGAACCACGCAGGAACAAAAGGACAGCACACAACCCATAAGACCAGAGATACAGGCCGGGAGGGGTCGTAATCTTCGGATCCCAATGGGTCCATTTGTGCGCCCAGTAAGCCTGCGCTTGGGGAACATGGAACGCTTCGTCTAGATACGGATCGGGGACGAGAGCATTGATCCTGCTCAACCAGATAGGGATCAGCAGCAAAACAAAAGGCACAGCGTAGCGGGCGGCCAGGACAAAGCCTGACTTAGGTTGCGCATTCATGGTCAAAGGTGACTTTCAGAAGGAAACCATGCTTTTCACATGCATTGAGGGGAGAAGTGCATAAATGAGGCCCGGCAGCTCCGAAAAGAGAACAATAAATCCCAATGCAAACCGGGCAAACAGACCGCCTACCACGCCGCCTGTCAAGCTTTCTTTGATCTTGGATGGCATCACCGATTAGCTCGCCTTTCGCATTTGCTCTCTCTCGTCTCGAACTGACTGACCATAGGGCATGGACCGCGTCCATCCGCTTGGTCTTCAACTTCTTTCAAAGGTCCAACCTGCCTGACTGACAGGCAATGGCTTTCCCCCTCCCGCGGGGCATCACGCCCCCGGAGATCTCCTTCTTGGCCGAGATGGAGATGGTCACCATACTGCCGCGCCAGCGTCTTGAAGGCCTAGAATTGCTTGGTGTAAGTTTTGGTGGCCAATAAGTCCCTGAGATGTCTACATATCCCATTTGCATCGCCGAACCCAGTTTCCGAAACTACCTGTAACCAAATCTTTCCAATCGCTATATCTGTACAACACCCCCGGCGCTCCCTCCGGTCTTCCTAGTATAAGCAAACACACACATCCACACACTCTCTTCCTCTTTGCGCAATTGAAGAACCAAAACTCAAACCCACCAGGGCCCCGTCGAAGCTCTCGCTCCGCCTCGTCGCGCCTCCCTCCCTCTCTGGCTAGCGCTCCTCCTCAAACGCCAACGACGCGCCAACATCCTCCCACCCTCCTGGCTGCACCCGGAATCCCTCTCCTTCATCCTCGACGTCGAAACCCAATACGAAGAGTACAAAGATACATTCTCCCCACCCCTACCCCTACCAGGCCAGCCCCTCCTCCACGACCGCGGCGAGCCGGCCGTCGCCACCCCACGCTACACCCCGGACGGCGAGAAATACTACCCGGCGCCGCCATTCCTGCCGCAGAACGTCGCACGCGACCATGTGCCGGCACAGGAGCTCCAAACGCTGCCCTTTCACTGGCTCGAGGTTGGGAACATGCTCCTGGAGGCCGCCAGCGACGACCTGGTGGACCCCGACCAGACTCGCCGGCTGCTGAAGGAGCTGCGCGAGGTGCGCATGGCCAAGATCCGATCCGGGGTGGACGCGCTGGACGCCGCCGCGATGGGCGGGGGTGGAGTGGCCTTGACGGGTGTCGGGGCGATCGAGCTCGGCGAGGGACGGAGGTTTATCACGGGGGTGATCGATGGGCTCCGGTATGCATCTGTGGTCTCCCTTTTTCCAAGCCCGGGGCAAGAGTCCTTCCTTGGTGCAAATGCAGTGTTGCTAACTAGTGTCTCTCTCTACGCAATAGACGAATCGGCGCGTCGAGAGAACAGGCTCGGCGGGAAGAGCTGGCGGAAGAGATGGCCAATGGTGGATACGATGCTACGCAGGACGATGAAGATGAAATGGAGTTCTAGAATCTTGCGAGGTGACCTGCCTATTTTTGACAGATCATACTCCACAAGTCGGCGTTATGGAAACATACAGTACATTGTTGTTGTCATTTGCAAAAACCTTTGTGAAACAGTTATATGTATATATACCCTTATACCTTTTCTTTCATAACAGATTTACTATACCGCATAGAGTGCATGATCAATCTGTTTCATTCATCTCAAATGATACACATCCTCGATGTGGATAAGCCACGCTTTGCAGACGGGGGCAAATCTCCCCAGAAAGGACAACAGCATACGAGAGTCATCTTTTCGCAACAGTGAATCCAATCCACTCGAGTGAAACCGAAAATGTACTGTCAGCATTGATCAGACCTCGAACCATCCTCAACGCCGACCAGAAGAGGTATATAACTAGAAGTAGAAGAAGGGAAAAGAAAACAGGGGCTAAGAAGGCCAGATATCGATGAAACAAACAGACGATCCAAATTTGTTAAGGGGCAGTAAAGAAGAGGAAGCCCACAAAAACTTCAAGCATATATGCAGGCCATGCTAGGTAACAACGAAGAGGAGAGGAGAGGTGGGAGCAAGAGAGGCGAAACCACATCACAGAACAGAGGGACATTATTGAGCAACCCCCTGACCCTTCTGCATCATCTTCCTCCTCGCTGCCAGGATCATATCGTCCCTGCGCTTCTGGAGCAAGCGCTGTCGCTCCTCCTTGCTCTGTGACCAGCCAGTGGAGGGCTGACTCTGCGAGGCCGCGGCATCCTCGTCCGCGCTGACTTTCGCGCGGAGGTTATACCGAGAGATTAGGTCCTGGCCGTCGGCCTTTGCGGTGGCGGTGGCGGCTCCGGAGGCGGGCTGCGCTGACGCAGTCGGGGTGGGAATAGCGACTTGGGGTTGGAAGGATGGAGGGGGCTGTCAGTGTTTCATGCAACGTTAGTCTGGACAAGTTGCTTCTACTTCCCGGGATCCCCTTCCGACGGGAGGTGAACAGTAGCAGAGTGCCACGGAGATCGATCGCATGACTTACCACTTCCAAGCCTCGGCCTGTTAGAATTCTTTCCGTTGTAGCCGCCATGTTCCCTCCGTTGCGCTGCAAGTCCCACATGATTTCGCGATGGCTGAGCTGAGGGAACATCTGCGAGATCTGCTCGACCTGAGCTGGGTCAATGCCATTTCCTCGCGCACGACTGCGACCACTTCCGGCGCCAGCCTCGCCGTCACGGTTGAAGAACCATCGGATCACGAAGAAAGAGACAACGGCGAGGGTGAGAAGAGAGGGGATGTTCAGGGACGGTTCTTCGTCAGGCATGGTGTTGGGTCACGTGTGGAAGAGGGGACTGCGTCAGTGTTGAGCGATGTCGAATATCGGAGGTGTGAGACACGGATTCGCCACTATTGAGTGTAATGAAAGTTCTGGTCTAAAGTCTCTCACAACACAGGGGCAAACTGTCGCTGAGAGGTAAATGCCGTGTAGAGACGTTTTCGGAGAGGGGATGGTGGTTCCAGTTGAGTTGAGGGAAGCCGCGGCAGTTTAGAAGAGCGGCGATGTGGTGGCGGTGGAGCAATCGGAAGGGCGGAACGGGAGGGCGGAATCATCTCTCTGCTACGTCCAATGAATGCCGCTGGTCAGCAGTATAATACCACCATCTCGCAACTCCTGGAGTATCATGGTACTATCAACAAATATCATCAACAAGAAATGTAACAGCAAAGTCATCAAGAATCATGTACATCATCCGAAAACACCTCATCCAGAAACCCCCATGACCCGGTCATTCAAGTCAACGCTTCCTGTGTCCCAGACCCTAACCAGAATAGCCCAAAAGAAGTATGCACAAACGAAGAATCGAGTCTTTGGCCGGGAAGAGATTATTTGAGGTCCGCAGCAGTCAAGGATTGGACTACACTGGTACCCTCACTAAATCTCGTGCGGAAGATACGGTTGGCGTTCTGGAACATGCCATCCTTCAGCGACACAACAATGAATTGAGACCCCTTGAACCGTGTCTTGATCAAGCGACCGATGTTTTGTGTGTGTGAAAGATCCAGAGCCGCATCGACCTCGTCCAGAATGTACATAGGAGCCGGCTTGAACTGCAATAGAGCCATAATAAGAGAGAGGGCAATGAGAGATCTGCCTATCTGTTAGTCCCCATGAACTCAAACTGTATCTCACTCTGATTTTACGTACCTCTGTCCGCCACTCAGTTCTGTCAAGCTCTGTTTCCAGACCTTACCCAAAGAAACCTTGACTTCCAGACCATCCGTGATGTCCTTGCCCTCTGGAGGGTCCAACTTGGCGAAACTGCCCGGCAGAAGCTCCGAGAAAATCTGACCGAAGTCACCGTTGACCTTGGTCCATGTCTTGTGGAGAGCCTCCTTCTTGTATTCATTCAAGTTGATGATGGTTTCTTCAATCTTGCGCTTATCCCGAATAACAGTTTTCATCATGTTCTTCAACGCAGCTTCCTTCTTCTCCACGCTATCGATCATATTCATGACCTTGGGATTGATCTTCTTCTTCATACCCTGGGAACGTTCCGTAAGGTTGCGCAGAGTCGACTTGCATTCGGCAATGTTGTGGTTCTTGAAGTCATAGGGCGTGTTGGATCGTCCGAAATTGTCCTTCTCGTCGGCAATCCACTCATGCTCATTTTCCATATGGGCAACCGTCTGCGCAGCCACCTGCCGGTCCTTCTGTAGTTTCTCCAGCTGATGGCCCAGCTTCTGCATTTCTAGGCCCCCTTCCGTGATCTGGGAGCTCTTAGATTTCATCGCCTCCTCAAGCTCACGCAGCTCGTTGTCGAAGCCCGTCAGCTTGGCTTGCTCGTCTTCAAGCTGAGCCTGTGCGAGATCATGTGCGTCCTATCATAAAATGTCTTAGCAAGCCTTATCTCGAATCAATTTTGCCATTCCTTGCCTACCTTGATCCGAGCCTGTTCTCTTTTCAATGACTCGACTTCCTCCATCTGGGCCTTTACTGTGTTTTCGGCTTCAGAGCTCTGCTCCTCTGCGGCTGACAGATCACTGCCAACCTGCTCCAACTCCAGCCTTGAGTTCTGAAGCTCCTTCTGAAGGGTCTTGACGGAGTGTGAGTTCTTAGCAAGCTTCTTCTTAAGGGATTCCAGGGAAGCTTGCAGCTCCGCCAGCTTGCTGTCCTTGTTGTCGTTGAATTCGCTCATGTCTTTCTCAATTTGCTTGATATCCTTGGATGCTTCACTTTGACGAGTTTTTGCGTCGGAAATGTCCTTCTTCAGCTGCTCGATATTCGCTTTCATTTCTTCGACGGCTTGAATGATCTGGTTGGCATGAGCTTATGTTTCAAACCCAAAGATATGATCCGGGCTATTCTTACCGTGGAAGACGAGTTACCACTGATCTGTTCTTCCGTGAGCTTGATCTCGTGGGTTTTGAGGTCCAATTCCTGCTTGATTGTGCGAGCTGCATCAAGCTTCTTCTTCTCCTTCTTCATGGTGTCTTCGACTGTGGCGAGGAGTCGCTCTTTGCTGCGGATTTCTCTGGTGATCTCATTCAACTTGCCCAGCGTCACAAGAACACCGCTCGAGTTGGGAGAGCTACCACCGGATAGTGTACCTGAAGGGTCATAGACATCGCCCTCGAGGGTCACGCTCTTGATTCGAACAGATGGGTCGAAGGTGACGCGCTTAGCCGTCTCAGCGTCCTGACAAATCAACGTGTTGCCGAAAACATAGTTCATTGCGGCAGTAACTTCCTCATCATACCCAATCAGCGACAAGGCAAGATCAACCTTGCCGGGCGCAATATTCTGAGCAGCTCCAATCTTCTCTGCGGAGGCCCTGAAGGACGAAATCTTGTTCAGGGGGATGATTGTTACGCGCTTCTTAAGCCTGCCGTTCTTCAACAGTTGCGTACCAGTCTCGGCACTATCGACAACAACGTTGTACAAGCGTCCACCAGCGCAGATTTCCAGCGCAGTAGCGGCCTGGACTTTCTCTTTGTCCAGGGCAAAGAGCTGCGCCACAAGTCCCTTGACCTTCGACCGATCGAAGTGAGGATGAGGGTCGGCGTATTGGAAATCAATGTTTGCGACCTTCCTCTGGAGCTCATCGGCCCTCCGGCGCAGCTCACGGATGTGTCTTTGCAGCTCCGCCTGTTCCTGGTTGAGCTGTTCTTCTCTACCTGGCTCATATCCCAGCCTGGTAAGCTCAGCCTCCAGCCTCTTCGCTTGAGACTTCAAGCCTTCCAGTTCTTTAAGAAGGCCCGAATTTTGCTCCTTCGCCTTTTTTGCTCGGGGCTCTTCCTCCTTGATCCGCTTCTCCAGGTGCGCAATCTTCAATTTGGCTTGCTCCTGTTCCGTGGCCGCTGCGCTGGCACGATTACGAGCATCCTGCAGCTGACCCTGGTAACCACTTTCTTGGCCTTCTTTCGAAGCAACACCGGTCTGTAGTGTCTGAAGCAATTCTTCCTTCTGCTCCACCTCAGACGTCTGAGCGTCAAGTTCTGCTCTTGCGGCATCGAATTCCGCCTGCATCTTGTCGTAGATTTCCTTTTTCTCCTTGAGGACCTTTTCCAGGTCGCTGACTGTCTTTTGTGCCTCTTTCATTTTGTCCTTCTCTTCGGCGATGCTATTATTCTTGATATCAAACTTCGTAGTCAGTCGAACGAGCTCGTGGGAATTAGACTTGACTTGATCTTCCAGCTCCTGGAACTTGCCGCCTTTCCGGAGCTCCTTATCACGAGCGGCCTTGACCCTCTTCACATCGTCCTCCAAGTGAGCAATCTCGCCCTTGAGCTTCGTTGCGCTATCCTCAAGGTCCTGCACCCTTCTCTTCTTGTTCTCGCACTCCTCGCCCGTCACACGTAACCGCTCATTGCCCTTCAAGTAGTCATGGGCAACGACCAGCCGCGTCAATCGCTCGAGGTCATTCTGGGTCTGCTGGAAATCCAGGAATGCGCGCTTCTCAGACCGGAGCTTCTCCAGCTTCGGTTCGATTTCCTCCTTGAGCAAGTCTTCGATCTCGCGCAACTTGAGTTCCTTCTTGCTCATCGTCTTCACGGCTTTTTCCCTCCGATCCTCGAACATCCGCGTACCCGCCGCTTCCTCGATCATCGACAAGATCTCGACCGCCTTCATATTCAGCACCTTTGTGATCTTTCCCTGCATGATCAGGAAATTCGGGTTGTTGATATTCAGCTGCACGCTCTGGAAGAGATTCTGAACGGTCTGCTGCTGCGCCCGATGGCCGTTGATGAGGTACTTGCTCGTGCCGCCGAGGACGATCTGGCGCGTTACGGAGATGGTCGCATACTCCTCGAAGCCGATCGGCGACTTGGCCGTGTCGCGGTTGTCGAAAACGATGGTGACGCTGGCCTTGGTGACACCGGCCTGGCCGCGCTTGTAGATGAGATCCTGCAGGTTCTGCGCGCGGACGGTGCTCATGTTCGTGATACCGAGTACGAAACAGATGGCGTCGAGGATGTTGGATTTTCCACTACCGTTCAGGCCGGTGATCGAGTTGAAGGAATCGTCCCTAGGCAGATACTATACGTTAGTTTATTCAAGAGCGGCGGATCAGTAGCCACCCAGTCGACGCCCCAGTAGCGCATACCATCCTGAGATAACCGTACGCACGGCGTACGATTTGAAGCCCTGTTGCGAGGAACGGAGTCAGTAATCCACTAATCTCTTGTCTGCGGGTAAGTCACGCGGGACTCGACTCACATCAATGATAATTTCTGTGATCCTCATAGCTGCGACTCCGATTCTGCCCCATCAATTACAGTTCCGGGTGCATAGGAGATGAGAGGGTTTGCCGTTGTTGGTTTGACTTGAGGGCCGGGAATTGTTTTCGCGGGCGGTGTTTTGCCGGCGGGCAGCGGTGTTTACTGTTTGCTCCATCGGGCTTAGCCCGCATCGATATGATGATCTAATCATGGAGGGGTTCCACGTGACCAGACAAGGAAGCCGTGATAAACATCAACCAATCACATTAGAGTGCTTCTCTACTTCCGACAATACCCCCAAGCAGACTGATGAGCTCAAGGTGGTTGCTGCAGGACACTTCCAGTCGGAGGAACTACCCCATACACGGCGAACTGCTAAGGCAACTTTGCTCATAGCGCTGTAGATCCATAATCTAGTATGCCAGGATAGTAGAGGTCATGATGCCATAAACCTCGTATTCCAGCGCAGGCGGATAGTACCGGTTGGCTACGCCACTGCCAACATGCATACTTCGAAAAGCATACTCATTATTCGATTGTCTAGCTCTTATACATCCAACCAACTGCTTATCCCCAATCTTAAGGCCATTAATAAGCCCAGTCAGGATTCAACTCCCTGTATACAAAAGCCTGTCCTCAAGGTGCCCCGGAGACATCTCGGAGACATTCATCTGCAACACCACCACACAGCAGCCAGCAGGTAGTGAGGGAAAGGCTATATAAGAATGCTCGACAAGCTTGCAGAATCCAGGTCATACTCAGCTCTTTCTAACTCAGACCATTGTGATCGTTTCTGTGCACGTTGACAACTTCCCCCTAACCCAACAGCCACATATACCCAACTATCAAACAATGACCACCTCCAACCCCAAGATCGAGAACACCTCCTACCACACCCCAGAGTTCCTGGCGCGTTACTACATCGCCGAGAAGCTCACCGGGCCCTTCGCCGGACCACTCATCAAACACTCGGGTATTGCAGAGCGATCTCACTCCGGTCCACGCATGATCTTCGACAATGCTTGCGGTCTAGGCATCGTGTCCAGCACGCTGAACCGCATGCTCGACGACACAACAAAGAGCCGCTGGAGCTTGACATGTGGTGATCTAACCGAGACGATGATTGACTCCACCCGTCAACGTATCGACCAGGAGAAATGGCCAAACGCGGAAGCGAAGGTAGTGAATGCGCAGAGCACCGGTCTTCCAGATGAGTCGTTCACGGACATATTTGCTGCGTTCGGTGAGCTGGCCCCTACTTTCTCTTGAGACCAAAGTAGTGATTGTGGCTAAGGGTACATAGCTAACTCGGGAGTTTTTGTTGTAGCCTTTACCTTATTCCCCGATGCGCAGGCAGCGATGAATGGTAAGTGTCATTTGGTCTACGAGTTCTCATCGATAGAGATAGTTGACGTGCATTTGCCTGTGGAAGAATCCTATAGGATCTTGAAACCCGATGGGGCGCTTGCGATTTCGACCTGGAAGAACCGTAAGTACCGTTCTCACTTTATGTCCGATGACTTCCTGGGCTGGGTGCTGACCGATTCTCGTCATAGCTACCTGGATCTCTCTGCTGCGGTCTGCTATCCTTGGAATGTCTGCGGACCTGAGTTTTCCAACCACGGAAGAGTTCCTGGCCATGCATAACGAGGGCTGGGACGCCGAATCGTTTGTGAAGACGGAATTCGAGAAGGCAGGGTTCAAAGAGGTTAAAGTGACCACTGTGACAGAGCAGGTCCAGATCCCGATTTCTCCATTCCTGGAACTCTCGCGAAGTATGTTGGATCTGGTGATAGAAAAGTCATGGACCCAGGATCAGCGAAAGCAGTATGGGGCGGAGGCACCAGGGGCGTTGCAGAGGTTTTTGGAGGAGAGGTTTGGAGTTGATGGGCTAATCACCATGGAGCCGTCGGCAGTTCTTGCTCTGGGGACAAAGTAAGGAATTGACGAGCGTCTATCTGTTATGCTTGAGTTTACCAAATAATGTCTGCACATCATCACTATCTTCCTTGACAAGAACTAAGTATCGGATCATGGTAGTCATTGATTGAGATAGAGGTATGTGCTAAGGTATTCTCTAGCAGAATGTAGAGAACACCGGGTGCTCCGCTATTACTGGCAACGTTTAAAACGACTGTTTACGGAACCTAAAAGAAGAGGTAGGAACCCTATTTGTAACGCCGTTGCTGACCCCATTCCTTCTCTCCGTGTACCGTATTCGACATTCATGATCCGTGGTGCGGGAATCCAACACGCGCAAGCCCTCGGTTGGGGTCCATGCGGTTGTCCAGATCCTCGTAGCGAAGAATGAATTCACGCTACAGTTCACAATGTTAGCATATCGTAAAATAGGAGAACAAATAAGCAGAGAATTGCGAGTGGACATACTCTGATCTTCTTCCAGCTGGTAGGATCCCACAGAAGGTAGACGCCCCTTTCGCTGATGTTACGTTCAACATCAACAGGAATGGGGTACGTCTCATCGCGAGTCAGCCAGCACCGCTCGATCTTGTGATATCTCCATTTCCGACCCATCAATTCTTCGGCTACAACCTCTTGTAGGATATCTCGGGGCATGCTGTAGAAGATGTAGAATAGCGTTTCATCGCTAAAACTAGGGATCCGTGTTTGCAGAGGTTGGACATTGGCTACACTGTAGCAAGAAGGAAGGGCGAAATCTTGCTCCAGAGGGGCGCCTGTCATGGACGCAACGAATGGTGAGGCGAATGACGTATGTAATGGCCTTTAAGCGTCAGTCAGCGTACTGTCTATTCTGCGTAAATTTGAGTAAAACGCATACTCTGGCTGATTCAGATCCAAGCCTAACGTCATTAAGTCCTGGCCTACAGCCAAACTCGAAACATCGGCGTTATCGCTATGGATCATGCGCAACAACCCCGCTAGACCGAATTTATCAAGTTCACTCATCTCAGCAAAAGGCGACTGTTCGGCTGTTTGTGCAGTTGCAACAGAGGCCTCTTTGCCCGTGGCCGGAAAACCTGGCGGTCGCATGATTGTTGGTTGCTCGCTGTAACCAGCCGAATTTGAGGCTACCGAGCTGTTGGCCTCCTGCTATTTATTTATCAGTTTCAGATCGAGGAAGACGTCGATAGACCGGAAAATTGACCTCTTTTTCTGGCCCTGGAAGCCTGTTCGACCCTTGGTTCACCGGCGATCGCGAGTTGTCTATTCCTGAAACGTAGCCTTAGTGCTCCGTGCGGCGCTTGTGCCTCCGCTAAGACTCACCTGCCGAGCTTGCATTCGCAGGGGACATAATCCTTTCTTGTCCGTTCATAGAGGCAGCAATCATGTTGCGATTTTGCGCGGATTGGGACTGATTAACTCCAGCAAACGGCATGCCACTGCTGTAGCTTCCCAACCCCGTGCCCTGCATCAGCGAGCCCCTCCGATCCTGACTAAGGTCCGCAGGCGCATTGCGTCCGAGGGGAGGAAATTCCTCGATATTGCCCGTCTGGGGTTGTCCGCCAGCACTCAGTTGGCCACTGATACCCTGGCCACCATTCCGGAAGTCTTCCAAACGATTGGCAAATTGTGCGCCGGAGGGAAATACGTCATCATGTGCGGGCTGGGATTGCTGCTGAGGGTGTTGAGTTTGCGTTTGAGGTGGTCTCGAGGGCGCTTGCGACGTAGCATGTTGCGGTCTCTGAACGGGGGTCTGCTGCATAGCACGTTGGCTGGCATTTGCCCATACCATATGACTCGGATTTTGTGCTTGTGATTGTGGAGCCGCGCCAGAAAGCGAAGGGAAGTCCCTGTGAGAAGCCATCATTCTCAGCTATAAGCTTGACAGGCATGGTCGACCTCGCTGGCCCAATCCATCGAGATCGAACCCCGAGGGCTGAGAGTCACACTCACGAGAGATCCAGAGGCGTGCTGGGCTGAGAACCACTTAAGCTCTGGGCGAATGTGCCCATTGTCCCAATACTGCGTTGTTGGCTGCCTTGCATCCCTGGTGTTCCGCTGACGGGCAAGTTGAAGTTCCAGTTCGCTCCGCTCCCTGTTTCAGCAACAAGAGTCAGTTTACGGGTGTTCCTAAAGCCCCATACCAGAGACAGTCGCACCTAGTTTGCCGTTCGGTAACCGCGCCGTTGCTAATGCTGCGTTTCGAGCCTGTGCTTGTTGTTGTGCGGGGAAGCCGGCCATGCCTCGTAGGGGTTGTGGGCCTGTGCCTGGGTGGTTGAAAGAGCGGTCAGCACTACCTTTGAAATGCTTCCAAGGGCATCTGAGCATCTTGCGACTGCCTCGATTAAGGTCGGAAAAGAAGAAGTGTGGAGATGCTTCTGCGGGATCTCGTGGTCGCCCATGGAGGCACCAACGGTGGGAATATGCAATTGGAACCAAAAGTAGAGAACGGCCACGGTACCGTGCATCAAGCACCCTCGGGGCCGTCCACAAGGCGCTTGGGACGATGGGAGGCAGCGCAGTATGCGAGATCGAGAACGTATGGGGCTGCCGTAGCAGCAGGCCCAGTCATGACGAATACAAAAGGAAGGTTGGAAAAGACAAACCTGGCCTGTTCATTGTGCAAAGAAATGGACGTTGAGAAGGAATCTATAAGAGACCAGATTTCTGAGCGTAAATCCAAGAAGAGAATCGTGCTTCAGCCTAACAGCGATAAGAAATCAATGTGCAGCTAGGATCTCTAACCCACACTGTTGCGCCGGGACTGGGAGGTGGAGTGGCTGCAACCGCGCGCTTCCTCTCAATGCACAGACCATCGCTTGCCGCCCGAGTCACGAGGCTCCAGAATATACCAGGTCACGTTATCAGCAGGGGCCTTCATAGTGAAAAGGGTCCAGAAATACTCATGCTTACTTACGTTCGAAAGTTAGTTATGTAGTAAAGATATGACCGTGCCGGAGAAAAGCTGTTTGGGTCCATCTCAGAAATAAACTTGATGCTTTGTTGTGGGAAGCAAGTATAAGTGTGTGATATTTGAAGATAGCTGGTACACCGACAAATAATTCTGTGACTCGTCTTGATTCTCCATAGAACGTCATGCTACATATGTTCAATTGTTGACCTACCGTTCTTTTCCGAGACTCTGTTCTTTCACGGCCCTGCACATGGAACATTTTGCTTGGCTCGCCCTATGGGTCGATGGATTGTTGCACGGAGCATCCTCAAGCGGTGCCGTCACGTGATCTAGCCGCCCAAACTCCGTCCCGTCAGCTTTTGATCCCCCGAGGCCGCAGAACGGACATATCGTGCTAGAGATTCCTCGACGACGAAGGCCGCCCTGCTGCCACAATGCATCGCCAGTCTGTCCTACGTCTGGCTCGCCAGACCGGCGCCTTCCCAGTGGGCGAATTGCCTCCTCCTTATCTCGCCCCGTCCCTCCATTTCTCTCTGAATCGGTCGCCTGCCCAAGCCGCGAACTTTTCGTCCACCGCCGTCGCCGCGGGCCAAGGACGTGATCTGAACAAGTCTCGCGCCGTGTCCGCCATTCACCGCACCGGTCCCAAGTTCAAGCTCGGTGTGTCGAAATACGAGTTGCCTAAGCCTGTCCCTCGCGGAGAAGTCGAAAGGCGTCACCCTACCCCCGATCATGGACTTTGGGGTTTCTTCCCGAAGGACCGACAGGCATTGAGCACCCCGGAATATGATGTCGCTCACGGTTCGTTGCCCTATTCTTTCCTTGAATAATCGGTGTCCGTCGGTCAACTCACATCTTGATCTCCTAGGCCGCTCTTGGTCGATTCAAGAACTTCGCGAAAAATCCTGGGATGACCTCCACTCCCTGTGGTGGGTCTGCATCAAGGAGCGCAACCGCATAGCCACCTCCAACCTGGAGAGAACCCGATTGAAGGCCGGTTATGGTGAATACGAGTCGAATGAGCGGGACCGCGTGGTATGTCCTACCCTTTTAATTGACCTTGTCATCAAGGCTATGCTCGGATAGGATGCGGCCGACGCACGTTGATCGCGGGCGTCGATCTATCTCTTGCTGCATGGTCCAAGGAATCAACATGGTTACTGATGTCTGACTGAACTGATAGGTTCGTGTCACGCAAAACGGCATCAAGCACGTTCTGCGTGAAAGATGGTATGCTTGGGAAGATGCTCAAAAGCTTTACAAGGACGGATACCGGCCGCAGAATGAGGACCTCCCGGTTGCAACTGAGGAGTCTGAGCAGCCCAAAGAGCCTAAGGAGTCTGAGGAGCCTACGGAGTCTGAGAAGTCCGAGAAGTCTGAGAAGTCATGAATTCCATGAGATATGTCATCAAAAAGACGCAGTTCAGAGCTTTTTTTGATTTGACAGGTGACTACCCTATTGGTCCTGTATTATTGTATGTAGTATAGTTTGCAACTTCCCCTTTTTCCTCTTGCTTTAGCTTGATTCACAATCTATACATCGTGTTCGAATGAACGGGTTGCAAGACATGCGTAGAGCGATTGGACTTGGAAAATACCGATGTTTATTGCAAATAATCCAGCCATTAGGGCACCAAGAGAGGTAGCGTGCAAATAGTTCAAGGCTGCCGGGTGATGTGGGCTGTTTAGTCACTTTGGCCAGTCCCCAGACAGACAGACAGACCGGTCGGTAATAACAAGAGCAATAATGATTGTGACGATTCGGTCATTGCCCATGTGCTGCGTGGTCTCTAGTCCCAATGGGAAAAGGGGCAGGAGTTTCAGGAGGTCGCAGACGAGGAAATTGAGAGAGGGGCTCATGATTCATCCGATAGATTAACTTGGTTTACAGTCCATTGTCTTGGTGCCTATGGTAGACGGTAGTCTCAAGCGTCCCCAGCTCGCAGTCTAGTCAAGTCCATAACACAGTAGTCTCGCGTGAGGAGGTTCAAATTCACCCTGAAAAGGTCCAACGTTATTTGCCTTGGTGGAGCCTGGGTGGGCGGGCGTCAAATAGTAACGGGTTCGAGAAGGTGATCGATGATCCGCGGGGGGTTCCAAATCTACCCTTAGACTGACTGAGTGACGGGTCGGCCTCCTTTCGACCTTCTCCTCCTCTTCCTCTCCCTCCCTTCTCCTCTTTCTTTTCTTTCCTTGTAACTCACTGACTGCTTCAGAACTTCTCCATCTTTTCCCCCCTGTACACCTACTGCCCATATTTATTTCACCCTCCCATCACTCCCTTGGAGCTTAATCTGCACATTGTCCTTTATCCCCAGCGCTATCTCACACCATGGATGAGATCGCCCCCGAGTATGATGTCGTGGTGCTCGGCACTGGTATGTTGCTACCCCGCCATTCCACCATAGCTGTTCTAACACCCCCTCGCAGGTTTGACCGAGTGTGTGCTTTCTGGGTAGGGCTCTCTTGCTATAACCGGAGTAATTACCGTCACTCATTATGTATACAGTGTTCTGAGTGTCAAGGGAAACAAGGTGCTTCACATTGACCGCAATGACCACTACGGAGGGTAAGTTTGGGCAGCTCCTTCGGAGCTATCTTCCCACCACCACCACCACCATTTCCTTCGCCATCGTGACAAACACTGACTAAGGATACAGCGAGGCTGCCTCTGTCAACATCGAGACTGTGAGTATCACTGTTCCTTTCGCATCATAGACCAGATTTCTGACTTGGTTTCCTCTTGGCAGCTCTTTAAGAAGTACGGCAACGTTCGCCCCGGTGAGGAGCCCTGGAAGAAGTATGGCCGCGCCAACGACTGGAATATCGATCTGGTTCCCAAGCTGTTGATGGCGAACGGCGAGTTGACCAACATTCTGGTCTCCACCGATGTCACGAGATACCTAGAGTTCAAGCAGATCGCCGGCAGCTACGTCCAGCAAGGAAAGGGTGCTAAGGCTACCGTCGCTAAGGTGCCCTCCGATGCCAGTGAAGCTCTGCGCTCTTCCCTTATGGGCATGTTCGAGAAGCGGAGAGCTAAGAAGTTCTTGGAATGGGTGGGCGAGTTCTCCGAGAGTGACCCTGCTACTCACCAAGGTTCGCCGGAGCTGTGTTTTGTACTAGATCATGACACTGACATGGAACAGGACTTAACATTACCCAGTGCACGATGAAGGATGTATATGACAAGTTCAGCTTGGAAGATAACACTCGCGACTTCATTGGTCACTCCATGGCTCTCTACCCTTCCGACGAATACTTCCTCAAGCCCGGAGCGGCCCCCGAGACTATCAACCGTATCCGCTTGTATGTCAATTCCATGGCTCGTTACGGCAAGTCGCCATACATCTACCCTCTTTACGGACTGGGTGAGCTTCCTCAGGGTTTCGCTCGTCTTTCTGCCATCTACGGTGGTACCTACATGCTTAACACCTCCGTTGATGAGGTTCTTTACGATGAGAGCGGCAAGGTGTCCGGTATCAAGGCCACTATGAAGGACCGTGACAACGAGGGTGACACCATGAGCTTCACCACTAAGACGAAGAAGATTCTCGCCGACCCCTCATACTTCCCTGGCAAGGTCCGCGTCACCGGCCACCTGTTGAAGGCCATCTGTATCCTCAACCACCCCATCGATAAGACCGACGGCAGCGACTCGCTACAGCTGATCATTCCCCAGTCTCAGGTTGGAAGAAAGCACGGTATGTCTTTCACTGCGAAATCCTCCTGGTCTCATGATATACTAATAGCTTTTAGACATCTACATTGCCATGGTCTCTTCGGCGCACAACGTCTGCCCCAAGGGATACTACATCGCTATTGTCTCGACCATCGCCGAGAGTGATGCGAACCACCACATCGAATTGGAGCCTGGCTTTGAGCGATTGGGTAAGATCGAGGAGACCTTCTTCGGTGCTCCCATTCCTCTCTACGAGCCCATCGAGAGTGGTGAGAAGGACAACATCTTCATCTCCAAGAGCTACGATGCTACCTCTCACTTTGAGACCACAACAGGTAAGCCTTGCGTATCATACAGGCGAGAGAGAGTCGAGCCCCTGTGCTAATGTTTACATAGATGATGTCCGGGACATCTACCGTCGTGCGACGGGCGAAGAGTTGGTGGTCGAGGGTCTCCGGGATGGCCAGAGACTTGCGGAGGAGTAGATCTGCCTCCAACATTTGCATACTAGGGTAAAGTAATTTTTCTTGTCGCTTCGGGTGCGCGTTTTTGAATCGAGCCATAATTCCTCTTGGACTTACCTTCACACTCATGAAACATACCACATATTGCTCTTGGACTCCGTCCGCTCCCTTGATCTCTGGCATACCATTATTAAAGTAGGGACCGGAATTTATATTTCTATATCGACCCGGCCTTGCAGGTGTCTGGTACTTCCACCTTGTGAATAAGACTTGCCTTGGTAATTGAACACATGAGGCTGTAGAAATGATCTTCCTGACAATCGGCGGCCGAAGAGCCCGTAGCCAGTGCAGGGAATCCCGAACGTGAGAGAAATGAGCAAGAGACAAGTAGAACAAGAATAAACCCAGTGGAGAGAAGAAGCGAATAACTATATGAGTAATCGTCGCCCCCTCGCCTTCTCATAAGTTCTGTCTCCTTCCTCTCCAACCAAACCATACCCCGGGGGTCCATCCCATATTTTCCATTCACAACGACGAGCCATCCAAATTGACCTTCTCATGGGCCGCCACGATGCAAACCTTCCCATCCTCAGCGCGACAGATCTCCGCCTTGACCAACGCCATCCGCTGCCCCATATTTACCATCTCGCAGACGATGCGGACCTCGGTCCCCACGGGTACCGGACGGATGTAGGTCAAATGGAGATTCCGCGTGGTGCCCGCCGTGGAGAAGTGGCCGGGGCTCGACAGCGCCAGCATCAGCACGGAGGTGAGGCAGTCCACGATGGTGGCGGCGCACCCGCCGTGCAGGTTTCCGATGAAGTTACAGAGCTCCGGTACGGTGGTGAAGAGATACGAGCAGCTTGCGGCCGGGGGCCCGCGACTCGCGGCCTCGAATCGCAGGTTGCAGGTTTGTGGGGAATAGTCCCATGTCTGTTTCCCCCGGGCATTGTCAACATGAGCAGGAGGTCTTTTCGAAGGGGCTTGGGGTCAGGTTTGCGTACTTTTGTGTCTGGGTCTAGGGGAGGTGGTCCCTCTGATAAGCTGTGCACGTGGCGTTCGAACTCGTTCAGTTCGTTGTAGTCCCGCGTGGTCGGTATAGGCATTCTGATGCCTTGAGAATGTGTACTGGACTTGGTTGGGTACCGGGTTATTGGTTTATTTGAGCTGGGGTTTGTGTGGTATGTAGTGTATGAAGGGATTGGATATCTACTAGTCGATGATGGCTGATGTATATCTATTAGACGGGGTAGGTAGGGGGTCGGTTGTATGTTGCTAGAGGGGGGGTTGGATAGTCTTATAGCCGAGGCTGACGGCTGTCCCCAGTACTTGGCTGTTTCGTGGATTCATTCAATCTGTGTTCAGATGCTCAGCCTTGCCAGCTCAGTACATGGATTCATGGCAAGTCATCAGATGGGCGATTCTTATCTGACATCTCCCATTTATCATTTAGTAGCTTTCCCAAAAGCACGTTCGTTGAAATGGTGCTATGGAATGCCAGTGTGGTTGAATATATACTTTCAGATGGTCTTCGAAAAAGGAACGAAATCAGGGCCACACCACAAGATTTCCGTAAACAAACCTACTGACCTATTGGAGATGACAGCAGGCGAACTGCATCCCATGTCAAACGAGGTTATACACTGGAAACTCTCTAAGACATAGCATTGCATGGCTAATTCGAACTAGGTTATACTTCGAAGGGTCTCACATGACCGCGCGTCACGCAGGGTGCCTCAGGCTTGCGGGTTCTCGCTCTCCGTTGGCTCTCCGCCCTGGGGCGGAAGTCCGAAGCAACTCCCATGATCTTAATGCTTGGTCAACAGCATCTGCTGAACTGTGGCCCGAAGGCAACTTGTTGCTTCTGACTGTATGAAAGCTAGGAACCCTATATATCCTATATACCGTTCTCCCACCGTCCAATTAGGCCCCAACCGGTCCCTGTTGGAAATATTTCGATCTCCGCACCTTGCCTATCCCTCCGCTTCGCGCTAACAACTCAAATCGCGCGACACACTCGCCATTGACTCCTACACACTCGGAAGGACTGTGAAATGAGTACTCGACTCTAGAGCTCCTGGTACACAGCAGCCTCGCAACGAATCCCTCGCTACCAATCGAGATCACGCTCCGCCCGTCAACAATGAAGGACCCGCGCGCAAGCAAGCGGAGAAGGGTGTCTAATGTGCAGACCGTGGATGGAGACGGGGATATCGAGATGCACGAAGATACGCCCAGTGCCCCTACGAATCAGACCTCACCTTCCGCCGAACAAACCACCCAGGCAGTAAGCGACACGGAGGTACAGCCCGTCGACGAGCAACCGATTTCACCAGTCTCCGCGCGATCGAAACGGCGCCGGTCCTCCAACGGTACCTCCGCGGCGGAGGACAACAGCAAGAAAGTCGAAAACACAAATGCGACGGAGACACCATCCAGAGTTGGCGTGCGGTCAAGCGGTCGGCAACGGAAAGTGCCTCAGCGATACGGAGATGAAATCGTGGATACCCCGTCTAGCAAGCGCGCAGCGACCTCGGCGCCGGCGCAGAATGGGTCGGCGACCAGAAGCGCACGGAAAGTGAAATATGTGTCGCCGTCGGAAGATGATGGTGAGGAGGAGGTGGAGGAGGAAGAGGATGCTACAGAATCCCCGGAGCCGCAGCCGCGGCGAACCCGATCCACCAGAGCGAAGAAGCCTTCCGTGCGGTTCGAGACTCGAGTCCCGGACGCGAAAAGCGCTTCGACGAATGCTAGAGAGGAGTCCCGAGAGTCCTCGAACCCAGATGACTATCAGGATGGTCTGGAGGATCTGGTTTCCATGCAATTGCAGCACGACCTTACCAGCAATGAGCTGAGTGGTGGTGAGCAGGCGGCTGCGAAGGAGGGGCCGCTTCCTGAGTATGCTGAACGGTTCCAGACTATTATCCAGACGGGCTTGACGGAAGAACTGCGGCTCCTCACACAGATTGTTCTTGAAAAGCTGAACGGGAAGAAGAGGGTGCCTCTCAAGGGGCTGGAAACCGAATTCGACAAGGTCAACCAGCTTGTCGAGCAGACGGTCTCAATCGGCGAGAGTAACTCCATGCTTCTCCTTGGATCCCGCGGAAGCGGGAAAACAGCCATCCTTGATACTATTATCGCGTCATTACAAAAATCGCATAAGAACGACTTCCACGTCGTCCGACTCAATGGCTTCCTGCACACGGACGACAGACTGGCTCTTCGAGAAATGTGGCGTCAGCTCGGCCGCGAGACCAACACTGAAGATGAAGCCGGCAAGGTCAGCAGCTATGCCGATACAATGGCTACGTTGCTGGCTCTTCTATCCCATCACGAGGAGCTCTTTGGGCCCTCCTCAGACCCCGAGAAAGAAACAGCTGCAAAATCAATCGTCATCATCTTGGACGAGTTCGACCTGTTTGTCACACACCCACGTCAGACGCTCTTATATAATCTGTTTGATATCGCACAGGCGCGCAAAGCCCCGATCGCGGTGCTGGGCCTCACAACCAAGGTGGAGGTAACAGAGATGCTGGAGAAACGTGTAAAGAGTCGCTTCAGTCATCGCTACGTCTACGTACCCCTTCCGCGCAGCCTGGAGGTATTCTCCGACATCTGCTTCGCGGGGCTCAACCTCGACGACGACGAGATTTCGGACCTGTTGGAAGACGCCGACCCGGCAGAGCAAACCGTCCTCAATTCAGAGGGTTGGAGCAGACTCCTCGAGGCATGGCGGACATATCTACAGGTGAGCACGCCCCAACATGCAACCCAACCGCCACGATCCCGTATCTCTAATCATCCCCGGGGCAACAGAACCTATGGACAGACGAGGCATTCTCAGCGCACCTCCGGCGGATCTACTACCAAACGAAATCAGTGAAAGAGTTCTTCACCAGCGCTCTAATGGCCATCAGCGAGCTGCACCACAGCACCTACACCATGAGCGACACAACCACGACCACCACGACACCACCAACCTCGCTCGCGATCCCCACAGCAACAACCTTCACCAACCAACCGCTCTCCTGCCCGGACCCAGCGCCCCTACCCTTCGCCCCGACGGTGACCGCATCCGCCAGCCCGTCCTCCCTGCCACTCTCCCTCCTCCTAGCCGCGACCCGGCTCGCAGCCCTCTACGACCCAGGCCTGGAGAACAACATGATCGGGCCGCTGGCGCTCTCGTTCCCGGCCGCGTACGCGGAATACGTGCGGCTGCTCACCTCGGCCAAAACCTCGGCGGCGGTCTCGGGCGCGGCCGTCACCCCCGGCCGGGTGTGGGGCCGCGATGTCGCCCGCGAGGCCTGGGAGAAACTGGTCAGCTGGGGGCTCATCAGCCCCGTCGGCGGCGGCAGTGGCACAACGACGGACGCTCGGATGTTCCGCGTGGAGATCAGCTTCGATGAGGTGGTCGAAATGGCCGGGTCCGGCGGCTCGTTGGGTCGCTGGTGGCGCGATGCCTAGGAGACAGAAGCGAGAAGTTCCACTTCCCATCTCCTGTGTTCCCTTCTCTCCTTCATTCCTTACCTATCTAGCACAAGGAGATTACAGGGAGGGAAAGGTGGGGGTGTAGGAAGCGAAAGCCAAATGGAGGGGGGTGCTGCGGCGGCGCAAGGCTGATGGTCTGGCTAGTTCTAGCTATGTACATACATACTTACATACACACCGTACGGTTCATCTCCCTTGTCAGCTAGCCAGCCAGCCAGGTAGACTGGGCTGGGGCTAAGCAAGTCAGCTAGCTAGTCAGCCTTCTTTCAGACCAGGGTTATTTATGCACAACGGTCCATGTTTGCGTCGTGCTGCACTGCACTGCACTAGAAGCGACAAAAAGTCTAAGACAAACACGGAATCCTTCCTGGCTAATGGAAGGATCAGTGCCGACGATGGTGCTGACGGGCAAAACCGGCTAATCGGATGTGCGGTAGTAAGCTTAACACGATAAGCAAGAGCCGGACGTTAGAGAAGAGGTAGATCAATATCCATGCATGTGTGTGTGTGTGTGTGTGTGTGTGATTGTATGTGCTGAGCAACCTCACTGTAGAACCGTAACCGTCGGGGCCTCTCACGTGGACTGGATGGGATGGATTTACTCTTTTGGTACGGGAATTTCTTTTGTCCTACCTGACTCACCTGCTGTACGATCTTAACTTACATGACTGAAATGCGGTGCAGCCTTACCCCTCCTCTTTTTCCTGCGCTCGTCATCCCGGCTGTAGTTTGCCCCGGGAGAAAGAGAGAGCGGGGGGCAAAATATGGCTCTGGCTCTCATCTCATATGCAAAGACTGTCGGCCGAGGGCATGAACACCCCCCGCCCTTCTTTCCTTTCCGTTCTCCCCGGACCCCGGAACCTGGAATCCACGCGATAATAGGCTGACAGTGCTGTGAACCGTGGCGTGGCGAATGGGATTGTGGATGTCAGATACTAGTACGAGTACTAGTTTTATCAGGAACTGCAGTCTATATCAGGGGACAAATAAATGAGCTGGATTTTTTGCGAGGATGAGCGTGACTGTTGCTGCTGTCGATTGCGTTAGGGACCATTCAACTGTTCACAGCATGACAGAGCTTGCTGCATGCATCCGCCTGCCTCGATACGGAGAGCATTCTTCCTAGTGAGACACTCCTCGCAAGGGCTCAAGGAAGGGGCATTACTATACCGACTGTATTCGCGGCGTATGATAAGCTCGCTCAGATGTTGTGCAACGAAAAAAATGCAAAAAAATAGCGTTTATATTGAAGCCTGAACCACCTGTCACAATCGGATGGCCGGGAATTGCGAAGTTGTCAGGCTGTCAGATGTGAGCAGTAAGGTAGGTAGAGAACCCTTGGATGGGAAGGTTGACCCGTCACGATACATAGAGGTATAAGCGCCTATACCATGATCCGCCTAGCAAGGTGGTATCCGGGCAGTCGTTGAGGTATATGACGCCCGACTCTGATTGGATGGAGAGTGGATTTCTCCCCTTTACTGCAGGAGCTGGACTGTTTAGTAGGAATTTCAAGGCTAGTATGCGCATGTCAGACACAGACGGTGATGATCTCAATCTGAGCTTTTCGGCTGTGCATTAGCGCAACCACCTGGTTGTCCTCATGGCATGGCGTGGCGTGGCATGGGCGTGGCAAGGAGGAAACGGTAGTCTGGACCAGTTGTGCGACCCAGTCCATGCGTCACCTTGCTGCAGTCCGCAAGGGATGCATGGTCTCGCTGACTCGGATCGGAACAGTCAGGGTTCAACTCTCTTCCGACCAACCGGGGCAGTGAGAAACTCTGATCGTCGTGGCAGGATGGAATAGCTATTAGAGCTTAGAGCCGATTAAGCATAGTGAGTGCCTGTTCGGATTCGGATGAAGGAGCAGCTGGTGCATGATGCTCTAGACAGGTGAGGGGAAGAAGGATGTGCGAGCTCTGATTCTCGATTCGCATGTTTAGTCCTCCCCTGGTCCATGCAAGTCGGGGGGTACAACGAATCAGGACCCTTCTGCCTTTCGCGCACTAATGCATGAAAGATCCTGCTGAATCAAGTCGGTGCTACACCGTGGACTGGAGAAGGATCGCTCAGTCAATATTCAATAAGCGGGGAACTAGGTCACTATGGATACGGAGGAGGATCCTCTGAAGTCCGCATTCCAGGCTGGGGAGGGAGATGACGGGCTCGCATGGGGGCCAACGCTAGCTGGATATCGCTTGTCTGATGTGAGGAAAGAAGGTGTTGATATGGTAATCTTCAATCAAAGAGTGTCGAGATGGGATCTTACCAGCACGTCTTACGCCTGATCTTGGCTCCAGGGTGACGGGTGAAATCGGATGCGCGAAATGAATCGTCGATGCGGTCAACCGTCTGACATCCCTGCCATACAGAGTCTCTTTGTTACACACGCTAGCGAAGCCACTCACTTGCTCATCGTGATCGATCATGTCGCGGTTTCGCAACCAATGCTAGTAAAGACTAGTCAGCAGTAAAGGTGGAGCAAGCCTAGTCGATTTAGTATGACGCCGGGGGAAGAAGAGGGGATGTGAATTGTACTAGTGATGAGGGATTCCCGTTGAAGTGACTAGTCACAGCGACCATATGGGGGGGCGATCACTTGTTCTTGGTAATAGGATGCCGATCCTCAAGCTATGCGGTGATTGTTGTTCCCCACTGAGTTGTCGGACAAAAGACCGCATAAACATGAGTCGAAGGTGCGAGCTCGAATCGCCGAATGACGGCCAAAGGCCACGGTGGGGTCGTGGCAGGTTTCGCGTGGACAGCAAGGATCTGCGAGGCCTGCTAGGCGCCGGAGCCCTTATCGACTGACAATTGTCTGATCCCCTTGCTTCTGCAGCTGCAGGAGTGGACGGGATGGTTCACGTAAACCGTCTGGTATCATCGTGTGTATCGGGATCATACAGCTTGTACAGTGACGTTACAGTGCACCGTACAAACAAGGGGAGTTCGTGATGATCATCGGTGGGTTGAAGCACAGAACTTGGAAGGCCAGCATAGTTGCTTTTGTTCACATATTGAGAGACAGAGCCCGTATGCTCTGGCAGAATGAAATTGACAACAAGGCGTGTCTGCGAGCGACACAGAAGGTAAAGACGGAAGGAGGAGATGATCACGTGACTGTACGATTGGTGGGAACGGGAAGCCATAGATTGTACCGGTTGATCGATCAACAATCAATCAGTTGCGGGGGTAAGAGATTCGAGTCTCGCCATTCTTCGTGCCCTTGCAATGCGTCACACAAAATCTCGTGTCTCCGGTCGCATCTGCTCTCTGATCGTACTATGTGTCTTTTGCAAATGAGTTTTCAAGTATTATGTGACGGGTTTGCTGAGATTGCAAGCTCTTTTGAGTCATGGAGGCAATCTTGGACGAGAGACGCAGCCCACAGCTAGAATGAAGTAAGTGTTACCTGCTACTGTTAGCTGAAAATTTAACTAACATCTAGTATCACAGTTCTAGGCACTCACTATTGCTCGATTTTGTCCTTTGTCACAGATGGATTCTTCTTCTTTGGAAACCGTACAGCTGCACCGTGCCGGACGGGAGGTCCCATTTCAACCTGATATCCATATTTCATGGATCCTGCGATAAACCCAAAACTTTGCATGAGCCTCGAAGGATTGTGCAGGAGGATATGAGAGGATTAGCGCTTCTCTGATTTGCTCTTTGCCGAACAAGCGCGGCTAGTTTGTTCCGAGGATGGGGTTGTCGCACCCCATCCTTCGAAGTATGCTACGATTGAGATCGCATGTTCAGATCACGCCAGAAGCTACTACGACAAGCTTTGTGGACTAGCCACAATAGGCTTTAGTTAACGCCACTGCCCAAGCTTGCTGTCGCGCCGGTTTGACGGATTCCATAGTGCCTATTCAATCAGCCTACCGAGCCACAGCTGAGGGCTAGGAGATAACATGCAAGATCCGACCGCCCATGGAGATGCAGAAGAGGCAGAAAAGGCTGAAGACCGCGCCCTCCTCCCTTTGGGACCAAGAAGGAGGACCGCAAGAGCCATCAATCGAGATTAACAAGAAACGGGGCCAGCGTCGTACCTGGACATTTAAGGCTACCACGGTGCTTCTTGTGGTAGACCTGCCTCGTAGCTTCTTATCACGGGCGCGCATCGTGGGTACGCATTGTGACGTTCTGGTCAGCGGCTGCATGGACGATCCAGCCAAACATCAGCCCATCGCTGACTGTATATAGCAAAAGCTGTGCGAAATACTTACACTATAACTAGGGACTTCAGCGCACAGGAGACTTGCACCAGGGCGACAAGCTCCAATGCAACAAGATGACGCCATGCTTGGCTCTCTTCTGATTGTCATGATTCCTGGACAGGCCATTCGAAGCCCACCGAGAGTAGAACCAGACTCAGGGACAAAATGGGCAACATGCGCGTCATCGAAGCACATCACGAGCTGAGGGAACGCCTCCTTAGGAACACGAAGATGACCAAGTTGACTACGACTCAATTGATTGAGACTTCCTGACAAAGATGCAATTACAGCCAGTGAAGCCATACCTAAACCCGCAAGGGTGGGTTATTTCATCAACAAAGATGACGCTAGACCATATTGCGTAATGCGGATTTATGTGCCGAACAGAGCCTGAAGCTTCCAAGCTACTTAGTAGCTGAGTAGTCTACTCAGTACGGAGTACTGTAAGTTCAATTAATAGTCAGCTCGACCTCCCACCGACTCCGCTCCGTCTCCGGCTCCGACTCCGTCTCTCACACTCCCAGGTTTCCAACTTCTCCGTCTGAACCTTTTTGAGTTTGTGAAGGATGGGCCGATGCTCGGTGCGGTGTAACCTTGTACCGTACTTACCATTCATGACCTGCCACTCTTACTCGGCTTGTCCGAGGGTGGCAGTGGTGTCGCTCTGGTCTGCGTACAGTACCGGTCATTACTAGACAGCATCTGGACCAGAACCAGAACCAGAAAACGCACCCTCAATCACCCCCCACCTGGTACATGAGTAAAAGCACCGCCTGCCCTGCAGTGTAACGTTCAAGGTTCGATGGCGGCCTCCCGGAAGATCCTCCACGTGCGTCTTTCCACGAATTAATCATGGGCATTGGTCATGGTTGCTGAGGGCGGCTTTCTGCAACTGATTGAGCCTTTGCTGACTCAGCTCAGGGGGGTGAAGACCGAGTGGCGCGGTGCATCTCGCGTGTACAAGTTGTTGGCAACCAGGGAGGGACGCAGTATTAAGTATTCCGCATGTATAGCTGCAGCACTTGCAATATGGCATCGGCTCAGAGAAGCGTTCT